GAAAACTTTCACAGATCTGCCTCATTTCTTTTGTCCGGGCTATATTTCCAAAAAGACTGTTACTGAGCTGGTATAAAGTATGATGAACAAGTGGTTATGCAAACTGGAGTTTTGCTCTATTTTGACCAATCAAAATCATGCACAGAACACATCCTTGAAAAAAGGAAAATCATCTTTGCTCTCTCACTCCAGCTTAACTTGTTTGCTCTGTCTAAAGACTGTTTTCTTTTATGACCTCTGTTCCGTCTGCAGGAGTGCTTTCACATACCTCTCCACTTGACATCTTTCTGACAACACAAGCCTTAAAGAACCCTCAGATTCCTGGGATTGTTGCTCCACTCCCACGTTGAGTCTTTGTTTGTTTCTGGCATGCAAGTTTGGAGCTGCTTATCTAAACAACAGGACCACTGCAGGTCATCAAGAGACATGAAAGGAGGGAGAGGAGAGGAAGAGGAGAGCGACACCAGAGAGCAGCGTGCAGAGAGCACGCTCAGTGTGATACCTCAGTTCTCTGCTGACGTAACCGTCTCCAGCGTGTGAGCCATTTGTACCTCAGCTTACCTCTCCTGGTGTGCTTGCTGACCTGGTTTCTGCAGCACAAATCACACCAGGAGAGACTCTGCAGCATGTCTGGGCTCTGAGGACAAGATAGGAGACAGGGGAGGAGACAGAGCAGGATCTGTTTTTTTCTCATGACAGTCCTCTATGAAAGCAAGGCTCTTTCTGTACATTTTCACAAACAGACTAATGAACTACTATACTCTACAGAAAGATGACAGTTGTCACTTGACAGAAATAAATAATGGATGAATAAAATGTCCATAGTTAAATAATGACTGTAATGCAGTCCTTACACTTTGGCTTCGAAAGAAGTCTCTTATGTCGACTTTCCTTTTATTCGACATCCTGGCTGCGTCAATTGCCAAACACAGAGACACGCAGGGCCGCTTTTTGTGTGTGATTGGCTATCCCTGCTGTCATTCATTCCATGCCCACCAGACTTGTGTTTTGCAAGTTGCTCGTAAGAGTCAGTCCGTGAACATTGCTATTCACTGATGTAAGTTCACAGGAGGGCAGCATTCATTTTCCCTCCGTAACGTCACATTCATTTGAGGTTTCATTTACATCCCTGTATCGGGTTTGTACTTCCATCCACCCACTGGCCGTATTGCCTCCTCTGTTACTGTGTCTGCGAGATGTGCTGTTTGCTTGGCTATATGTAAAGGCGGAAACTGAATTCTTGAATAAATAAAGTAGGGAGTGTTAGTGCAGGATCAGTCGAGGGAGAGGATGAGGGAAGGTAGGCAGAGGAGGTGTGCGGTGTGGCTGAGTGATTTATATATTTTTTTTATTTGATTTGATAATTTTATTTAAGTGTCATAGACCAAAATTGGTGCCCAGCCCACATGGGCTTATTAGACACTGATCAACAGGTTTAAAACACAATGTATCCAAGACAGCCACGCAACATAATATACAACAACAATAACAACAAAAATCCATTAAGAATTGTAACACAAACAATGAGGATAATGAAAGAAAAACAAAAAAGTTCATCCTACAGGGTACAAAATACTATGCCAAGCCTTTTCAACAAATTTTGCCAAAACAAAAACATCTTTTTCAAACAACCAACCCAAAATCTCACCTTCACTCTTCCAAAATAAATCAGGATTTTTAAACTGAATTGATTCAAAAATGACATTCCTTAAGTCAACGTACAAGGGACAATTGAAAACAAAATGAAATTCATCCTCAACCACCTGTAAATCACAGAATTCACACAAACATGCTTCTTCAGGTAAGCCTTTAAATCGTCCCACTTCTACTGCCAGAGGTAAGGTACCTGTTCTCAACTGAGCACAGAGAGATCTCTGTCTTCTCTTTAAATTAAGAAAAATATAAGGTTCTGTAAAATAATCCTTCTTGAACTGAACATAATTTCTGAGCTTTGGTTTCTTCCATATATCCTGTTTCCATTGGTCTTTGTGCTTCTCAAACAGTTTTTGTTTTACAGAATTTAAATTACATTGCAGATTATTTCTAAACATTACATGCATGTCAGAGGCAAACAGGATCATTGAAATCTCACTGGACCAGGGATGATGATTTGCTCTGTCCCAGTTAAAAATTTTTCTAGTTAGCCTTTCCTCTGGCAGACTGACCAGACGATTCCACAGTCACACCAATTCACAATGTTGTTTTAGAATACAAGGGTCCCATCCTACATCCCCTTCAATTGCTGCCTTTGCTGCATATTTATGGACACCAAGAAAACATCTCAAAGCATGATTCTGAACAGAATTACAATCAGAGACCTCCTCAAAACCCCAAATCCCTGCAGCATATGACAAAACCGGGTCAACCAAAGATTTATAAAGCTGTGTAAATGTAGAAAAACCAAGGTCCATACAAGATTTCATTTTACTTAACACTGAGCCTAACGCTCTTCCTGCAGACTCTGCCAGTATTTTCCTTCCCTCCGAAAACTTCATATTTTCATCAAAAACAAAAACAAGATATTTATAATGGCAAGTATACTCTAAAGATGCTGAGCCAAACTGAAATTTGTAATTACTCTGCAATATACTTTTCTTCCTAAAATGAACTACTTGTGTTTTTTCACTATTAATAGCAAGGCGCCATTTATTGCACCAAGAACTCATAATATTAAGCATAATTTGCAGATTATTTTCATTTTCTGCAATCAAAACAGTATCCTCTATAAGAACACCAACATTAACCTGTTTAATGTCTTGAACTAGGTCATTTATATAAAGAGCGAATAGAGACGGGGAGAGTAAGTCTCCCTGCTTCACCCCAAAAGGTGTTGGGAACCAGTCTGTTCTTAGATTATTTATTTGTACACAAGCAATATGGTCTCTATAGAGAGCTTTTATAGCATGATAAAATTTTCCATTAATTCCTGATGAAAGTAGTTTAAACAATAGGACGCCTTTTTGAAATCAACAAAGCAGGCAAAATTACTTTTACCCTCCTCCAAATGAGCTCTCACCACAGAAGATAATACATAAATATGATCAATGCAGGCTCTATTTTTCCTGAAGCCATTCTGTTCATCTACCAACCCTCCATGAGACTCAAGAAAAAAATTCAGTCTGTTATTAAGAACTCCTGAGTATATTTTGTAGACTGTACTAATCACACTAATGCCTCTATAATTTAAAGGGACTCTTGGGTCATCTTTCTTAGATTTTGGGATGGGTTTGATAATTGATCTGTTCCACATTGATGGGATAATACCATTGTGAAAACATGTGTAACACAGGCAATGTAGTACATTAGATAAGTTAGGACTTTTAAGGACCTCGTGAGGGAGCTCTTCAATGCCAATGGTTTTATTTTCTTTAGCTTTATTAAGCACTTTAAGTATTTCATCTACTGTGATTTCACTGTTCAGTATATCATTTTGATGATAAATAATATTCATCCCACTTTCCAACTCGAACTTTATTTTACAGATTTCCCCTAAAAAATCATCATCAAATGAAGAGGAGCTACTATGGGTGAACAAGTCACAGTAGTCTTTTTCCCATTTTTTCAATATTTGATCCGACTCAAAAGAAGATTCACCATTTTCCAATAAAACCTCCCAGGGTATTAATTATTTCTTTTTTGGACCTAACTTTGCTGTGGGTTACCGGTTTGTCGCTGTTCTAACTTACGAGCTTGACCTCTTTTAAACTTCCTCTTAACAAACCTGAGTTTTCTGTCAAAATTAACTTGGCATTGCTTGAATTCACTATGCAGGACCCTCCTCTTCCCGGGATCCATGTTACAACATTTAAGGAATGTTCTCTCTGCAGAACGTAACTTTAACCATGCCTTGTTTAATTCGTGATTCCAATATGGTTGTTTAGCTCTTTAATATTTTTTGTAGAACCCATTTTTTGTACAGGACAGTATTTCTCCATTTCAGCGTGTAAAAAGTTACAGAGATTGGTGTAACACTGATCCACCTTTTCTTGATTTTCCTGTGCTATCTGTAGTTGGTCTATTACCTCTAGTATAGCCCTGCGACATATTTCCGAGGAGAGGAAATTATCAGGATATGATTGCTTCTCCTTTTTACATACTGTAAACGATCAGCATTATTCTGGTAATTAAATACCTCTCCCACTTGAAAATGAAGACAAAGAACCGAGTGATCCGGGAGTCTGCTATGGTCACCAATCAAATTTAAACTTTCTGGACCGACTTTATCAATGAGATCAGAGGGGGTGTAAACATTAAATTCAATACATGTTTTCATATCAGCATGAGGCGTCACTATGTAGTTTACAACAGCTTTGCCCCTTACAGAAATTGACGTGAAATTGTTATTTTCAGGATTTAACCTGCCGTTAAGTATACAACAATTAGAGTCCTTTAAGAATTCAATGAAGGTATGACCATGTTTATTTACACTTGTGTCCGGAATCATACGAGGCAAAATATCATTTCCTTCTGCATAGTCCTTAAGCTCCCCAATCCGACAATTAAAATCACCACAGATATAGATTGAATCCACCTTATCTGTAATAGTATATAGCACCACCAGTAAATGGCTAAAATAAAAAGATCAGCATTACGGCCCCATTCAGATGATTCTGGAGACAGGTAACATGAAATCAAAACAAAAGAATACTGCGACTCTCAGTGCTCAAATCGTAAACAAAAATCCCAAAAAGTGTTTTATCAACAATACTAGCTGAATATCGATCCAAGACTGCATTTTTTACCAGGAACCCAACTCCACCAGAGGATTTAACAGCTCTTTTGTGAGCAATACGATTATGTCCAAACCAGGTAAATTCATCAATGTCTAGTGAATGTGAATCACTGCTTAAATGAGTTTCGTTCAAAGAAATGAAATCGGGGCGTAAGGATTTCAGTAGTTATATTCTAAGTTCAGAGTTTGACAGCGTCCATCCATTAACATTCCAGTGGACTAACAAAAACTGTTCAGTCACACACCTGTCGGGCTGGGCGAGCCACTTTCAGTCACTGCCAAGGCCAGCTTCTCTAGCCACACTCCGGGATGACTGCGTCCGCTTCATCAAACGTCCATTCCCAGTTAGATAGAAGTCCTTCCCGACTGCGGTTTCACGGATCAAAGATCTAAAGTTGAGTTCCAACAGTCGTCCAGCATGTGATTTCGCAGATGACACATAGACTTTATTGAAACGCTCGTTATCATTCAGCTTTGATTCTCGGCGCAACACGGCAATTTTCACCTGCACCGAGCTCAACTCCACCTTAACAAGGCCCGGTCGGTTTCCTCACGCACTCATCCGCTCCACAGCAACGGGGCGGACCACAGTATCACATCCAAGGCCGTCATGCAATAAATCCCTCACTTTCCCATCCTTTCTATTCTTGCACATAGAATTCCCACCTCAGTGTCCAGATTTGCTCGCATGTCTTTTGTGGCTTTTTCAATCTCTTTCAGCCCAGCGTCCTTATTCTCAGCTATCAGTTTCTCCATCGATCCACACAATTGATCCACTCTGGAGTTAACTTGCTTTTGCATGCTATCAATTCTGGAATTGACCTTATTTTCCAAGTCGATCTGCATGCGGTCCAGTCTTGTGTTCAGCGCCTTCAGCTCTTTCATTATCGCAGCACTGCCACTACAGCATTCGCTGTCATTCTTGTTGCTTCGGCTTCGCAATTGCTTCTCTTGATCCGTCATTGTTTTGCCCAAAATAAGGCACTTCACACCACAAAGCAAAGGTGTAAGCTTCACAGAGCTAATGAAACAACTGTGGGTCAGTTTTGATCAATAAATCACTGGTTTTGTGCAAGTTTGTTAACACAGTTTTGAAGACGTTCACACGCCAATACACTCACGCGACCATCTTGGTCCTACCACTGCAAGTAGTAGTAGTTATAAGTCCAGCAGCTGAGCAGAATGAAGCAGGGAGGTAGGGCTGAAAACTGTGATTAAGAAACCCCCAAAGGATAAGCATCCAGGGTGCAACAAAAAAGGCAGCAAGGTTGATCAAAATTCAGTTCACTAACTGTGTCTGTTTTCGAATTGGCCTTCTCCATACTCCTGCTGACCGCAGTATGCATTACATACTGCATATTGAGTACTGTGTTTGATAGTAGTAGGCAGTATGACTGCAAGTCGGCTGTTATTATGTACTATGCTTGGCTCGGTTTAGCTGGTTTCTGGTATGGAAAAGTACATCATACCCTGGTAAAAAGCAACAACACTACAGTGTTGCCCATTCATTTAGGCACTGAAAAAAAATCTTTTATATGTATTAATTTGATTTTTTTTTTTTGCCGAATACCAGCCATCAAAATGTGTTTTCTCTATGCAATGACTTGTCGATCTGACGGCATTTGATTCTCATCACAGCGCTGTAAATACAGCAAATTTATGTCAGTTATGTTGTCCTCGTTTCCTGCTTAAATGAAAGAAGTTGCAATCCCCACTGAATGTTTTAATTGATAGTGTCTGCATGGTGTGGTCTTATTTCCCTTTGTCCCAATAGTTTGACAACTACAGTGAAAACCCTCTAGTACAAACTCCTGTTTTCTGTCAATTTATTTCAAATACCATCTTGGCTGCTGATTGAGTCAGACTGCTTCAACGTTTACTCACCTTCCTGCATTAAAGCTTTAGACCCCCCTCTAATACCAGCTGCCTGTCCAGCTGTGTGATGTAACCATCGCTGATGGCACGTGCTGTGTGTGGTAAACATCATGTGTACCGTACAGTATAAAGGATAAGGAGAAACAGGAAAATTTGAGGTAATGGAAATAGAGGATAAAAACTGTACGGCAACAAAACATGACTTTCTTGTCAGTGGTTTGCACAAATAATACTGAAAGAAGGAGGAGAAGACAGGCTGTCAGAAGGAGAAGTCATCTGGATGTCCTCTTGGAAAATGAATGCTTTGGTGAAAAGTTTCACCGTTCTCCGCTATTCCGCCATCTGCCCAGGTGCTATGCATTGTTGGTAATAGTAGGCGAAGCAGACTAGTCCGATGCATACTGGGAAATTTTCCCAAATCAGTACGTCATCCAGAAATGCAAATTTCGCATTTGTTCTCTTACTGCATACTGTTGGGCAAATCAATGTACTGCTAGTATAGTAGGCGAATTCGAAAACAGCCTGTGTCTTTGCAACAGTCCAGATCAGAGTTGTGGCTGCAGTCTGGTTTTATGGCAGAGTTAGGAGAATCTGGTGATTACCAATTGCCTGCACCTGTCTGCGCTTCACACACCTCACTCACGCCCACCTGGGGAAAAGGAAAAGAGAGAAGGGAAAGGCTGCTGCAACCAAGCAGAGCTGGAGGGCATGACATGATGTTGCTCTGGTAGTTGCTTAAGTCTTTATCATCAGCAGCATAAGTAAGTTTATGAATAAAAAAAGCAAGGATACATACAGGCAGAGAGGATTTGTACTCACACTGTCTGGTCATCATCTCAGTAACTAAAACAATACATTTATTTAACTGAGGGGCTGTTATCCTGGTGTGATTGGGCATGTCTTGTTTTCATCACCAATTCAAAGGACATTTATTGTTATAATGTTCACCAATAAAATCATCATCAACAACAGCAGAGGCAGTTTTTTTTACATCCAGAGTTCAGTTTAGCTGAATTCTAGATCCCAATTGGGTGATTTATGGACTTCAAGCCCCAGAATCCATTAACTGACTAAAGCATGTCGGCCTTTGCAGCAGTAGGTGGTGTGGTGATGCTTCTTCTGTCAGATTACTATCGGACTGTCTCCTCATAACCTATCACGTCACGTACCAAAACAATCGACAAACAGGTTATATGACATGATTAAAACTCTGTGAGTAATCGGTGTTTTCTTCTGCTTCATCCGGGTCCGGGTCACGGGGGCAGCAGCTTCAGGAGGGAAGCCCAGGAGGCCCTCACCCCAGCCACTTCCACCAGCTCCTCCGGGGGGATTCCCTGGCCAGGCAAGAGATAAAATCCCTCCACTTGGTCCTGGGCCGGCCACGAGGTCTCCTCCCAGTGGGAGCAGCGGTTCTACTCTGAGTGCCTCCCGAGTGTCCATACTCCTTACCCTATCTCTAAGGCTGAGCCCGGCCACGCTGCGAAGGACACGCATTTCGGCCGCTTGTATCCGCCATCTTGTTCTTTCTGTCATTACCCACAGTTCATGGCCATAGGTGAGAGTTGGCACATAGATTGACCGGTAAATTGAGAGTTTCGCTTTATGGCTCAGCTCTTTCTTCACCATGACTGATCGGTTAAGCGTCCGCATCACTGCTGAAACCGCTCCGATCCGCCTGTCAATCTCCCATTCCATCCTACCCTCACTTGTGAACAAGATCCCGAGATACTTGAACTCCTCCACTTGAGGCAGGACCGCCCCTCCGACCTGGAGAAGGCAATCTACATTTTTCAGACTGAGGAAAAAGGTAGATTGATAGATTGATAAATTGATATTGATAGATAGATTCTCCTCCATGAACCGTCACTTTACCGTGGTGGAGGAGTTTGCGTGCTCTAATGAACCTAGGGGCTTTGCTGTCCGGGGCTTTTTGCCCCTGGTAGGGTCTCCCAAGGCAGATTGGTCCTAACCGAAGGGTCAGACTAAGAACGGTTCAGAAGACCCTCATGGAAAACAACAAAGGGAAACAGTGTACCCGGCCCAGAGGGACACCGGGGCCCCACCCTGGAGCCAGGCCTGGGGTTGGGGCTCGCTGGCGAGTGCCTGGTGGCCAGGCCTGCACCCATGGGGCCTGGCCGGGCTCAGCCACATGGGCACCACCTCCTGTGGACCCACCATCCGCAGGAGGAACTTGAAGGGTCCAGTGCTTGATGGATTGGGCGGCAGACCAAGGCAGGGGCCTTTGCGGTCTGATCCTCGGTTGTGGAAACTGGCTCTGTGAGTCATTATTGATGACTGTTATTGTTTCTTTAGCTGCTGTAAACACTTTGCCCACTGAGGAATGCATTAAGGAGCATCTTATCTTATCTTACTTTCTAAGTTCTCACTGCTAACTCGTAATTTTTGTCACAAACATGTTCAGCATCTTCACTTGTGAAATTGAGATAGAATTAACCGTCCACAATTTAAGGGCACCTCACCCTCTAGAAAATCCCCCATGTTTCTGCTCAGTATCTGAAAACTTTTGTGGTTAAGTGTGGGAAATTTTTTAACATGTCAGCAGGAAAAAAATGTCTGTTACTTTTCTTAATTGCTTCTTTTTCACTTCTCCTTTCATTTTGTGCCACAACTGTTGGTTGGTTCAGTCAAATGTCAGTTCCTTGTCATGAAACTTGTGATTATCAGCGGAAGATCCCGTTTTAAGGTCAACCTCATAGCTTCAGTGGGAAGTTTCAGACATGAACTTTATGTTAGTAGGAACATCACAGTCTCTGAAGGCAAAACTGAAACTTTGATCTTGTGGGTGAAGATTCCTGGAAAAGGTTGAAGGTTAAAAACAAAAGATTCTTGGAGAAGTTCCTGGGGTAGAACAGAACAATATGCCAAGATACAATAAACAATATGACAAATGATATTTTATATGGTTTGAACATGATGAAATAAAATATGGTACAACATGGCATAATATAATGCAATTAGAGAAACAATACAGTATACCGCATAACAATGTGAAAGAGCAACCTCTGTGTTCCAATAACAGGGCTAATGAAGTGCCAAAAACTGTAGTTCCACAAGTTAACACTTGGGGCTGTTCCCAAAAGCTCTAGAAGCAACATACACACCCTCTGAAAATAAGACAATACTGTACCTGCTATGGTCTTTTTAAACCGTTTAAATGTTTTTTTGTGTAGTCAAACAGCTTGTTTAAAGGTGTCCAAACTGACTCCTTAAAAACACATTCATGTCTTGAGCATTTCTGTCCATTCAGAATCATATTAGTGAAAAAAGCAAGTAATATTTGTCTTTGAGCAGTTTCTCCATATAATCCTGTTTTCTTTGTTTGAGAGAGCAGCAGGCTAACTTTCCTCTCTGTTATAACCATATAATTTTATGACAACTTTTTATATCCACGTATCGAAGACAAATAACACTTTTAACAGTTTTAAATCTCTTCTCTGCTGAATGCCATTGCATGCAGAGGTTTGTGAGCTGTTTTAATGCTGTAAGGAGGTGCCGTTTACCACAGAATCTGTGGTATTTTCCTCATCTCAGATGGGATGAGGAAGACGCCACAGATTCTGAAGAGGAGGCTGACCATCTTATGGAAATGCTGGGTGCAGGAGGAAGAGGAATCAGATAATGACTGGTAAACATCATCTGAGCTGCTGCCATCTTCTGAGGTGACTGCAGCTTCTTCATCTGTGGAAGAGGATTTCTCCTCATTCTCGCTACCAGAGTGCATCACGAAATCCACTGCTTCAGCAAGAGAAAATGATCTTGCCATGATGATGAAGAAAGAAGTGATCTGGGAGCTGGTTCACATACTTGTAGCTTCAGTAATGGCTTGCACCTGCATAAACTTCCAGGTATATTTGTAAACTGTGCCCGAGAATGTTGTTATTTCCCTGCAGCTACCTTTTTGAACTCACCAACTTACTTACCTTTTGTTTTTACTTTTGGGATATGGGTATCAAAGGGTTTCATCAAAGTAGCAAAGTATTCTGGGAAACCATTGAAAAATCTGTATACAGAATTTCACTGTGCATTACAGAACCTAATTTCACTCACTCTATTTTCTGAATATGTATGTGCACTGCAAATTTCTTTTTTTTCCATGCAGTTTTTTTTCCAAAATTTCCCAAGTGCTGTTAAACAGATTAATGATTTTTTTACACAGCTTTTCCAAATATCCTAGTTTTATTTTGGATTCTTACATTATTTTACTTTGCACACGGAAACAAAAGCATTTCACAAAAAACAAAAATTACCAGGGTCAAAATTATTAGCCCCCTTAAGAGTTGACGTTTTTATTGAGCCAAAACAAAAACCACTGTTGTGCAATCACTTGCTTTCACTTTTGAGTGCTCACAGCTTGTGATCAATCAATCAATTAAATTAAAACAAAGGGTTGTCCTATACTTAACACACAGTATAAAAACCTCGTTGTGCATTTGAGCTGTCACTTGAGTAGGCATCATGGCAAATATAAAAGAATTCAGTTTAGTCATGAGAAAAAGAATTGTCGATGCTCACAAAGCAGGAGAAGGATATAAAAAGTTATCATGGTGTTTCCAAGTGTCAAGAGGTGGAGTAAGAAGTATCATCAAGAAATTCAAGGAGAGCCACACAGTACAGAACAACTCTAAAGGTCCTTACTCACCACTCGCTGTTGTGTTTGTGGATGAAAGAGTGAGGAGGTGACACACTAAAGGAGGCAGAGGTCTTAATTCTCTTAATAGACCTTTAGCGAAGGAAGATGTCGGGCTGTTTGCACCCCTCAGCCTCAGGACGAGTCGTTTCCTCTGATCGGCTCTCTATTCTTATTCAGCTTGAGGTAATGCAGAGACCTGACGACACATTCGCTTTCAGCTGTGTAATGCACCACAGGTTATATCACAACATGTGGACTGCTGACATTTCTCTTTATAAGTTAGAAAATGTAAAATAATAATGATAATAAACCAAAAACAGAGATTTAGCAGCACCTGTCGGTCCTTACGTGTTGATGTAATTCTTATAAAGTCTTAAAACCGTCAATTTAAGTACAAAGTTTTCCCAACTGTGACCCCCCCAAAATAAATAAATAAATAAATAAATAAAATAAAATGAAATAAAATAAAAATAAAAATAAAAAACCTCTTGTACAGCCTAGTTGCCAAAAAACAATTTAATATCAGAGTTTACCCGTTTGCTGTTGAAAGATAACAAAATCACTGAAATCTGTCATTTTTACTTTTCTGCAGCCTGCTAACATTTGACTTATCTGCTTGAGGGATAAAGCACTTGTTTGTTTCCATAAAGATGGTGGGTTTCGTCTTTTGGTCTTTAACATTATTGTGCACAACAACTTTGTGCATAATACTGAAAAAACGAGCAGTCAACATTTAAGAAATATACGGACACTTAAAAACGTATGACTTTAGCTCGTTAGTTAACTCAATATTTTATAAGATAATTAAACGTCGATGATTCAAGGAAAAATATGACAGATGAAGAAATTTGAAGAAAATAAATTTATTTGTGGCCTTATATGGACATGATTTTAAAACTCTTTAGACAGCTCGACGTTAGGGAAGATATTCACTGCAGTATGTTTGTCTGGGTGAGAATAAAACTTTACAAAAAAACACACGAAGAAGAGACAGTCAAAAATCTAAAAATATCTTTACAATCGTCAGAAAATGGTGAAAAGTCTTTTTCATATTCGTCCAACCGTACCGCAAAACAACAGTACATCACGTGACGTCACGCCCCGTCCTCGCCGTCACGCGGAAGTGAGAAGGGTCGTCTGCTGAGTGCAGATTGTTTACATTTCCTGCAGCTCTAAGGATGAATCCTCCGATGATCGTCTCCACCAACTCCGTCTCCACGACCAGAAGTAAGGACCTTTTCACCGTCCGACAGGTCCTCCTGCGGTCTTCCTGAGATGTTTGCCGTTTATTGATCAGCCGAGACTTAAAATCATGGAGCTAGCTGTGCTAGCTATTAGCCGCTAACTCAGTTCTGTTTGCAGAGAGTTAGAATATATATATATATATATATATATATATATATATATATGTGTGTGTGTGTGTGTGTGTGTGTGTGTGTGTGTGTGTGTGTATAAGAGAGAGAGAGTAAAGACTTTAATTCAGGTTCAATGAACAGGATAAATGTACAGATTAAGTTTAATTACAGTCAAGATGACTATACTTTTTAATTTCAATAACAGTAATTCAAATTATCCCGACTGAGATAAATTACAGCCTGTGACCTACACAGATAAAGCTGAATAAACAGTTTCCCTGCAGAGAAAATAAAAAAGAAGAAAACACAGTAAATGTGAAGTAAAAACTGACATTTGTGTGAAATAACTTTAAAGTCTATATAGTTTGTAAAATTTTAAAATAAATGATTTTAATTCAGGTAAATACACAGGGAGATAAATGGAGACATGTAAGTATTTATCAGAGTACTTTAGTGCCAGAAAAGTTGAAGTATTTACAGAAATCAGAGTGATGCAGTCATGTTAAAAAAGAATATAAGTGTGAAAATGTTAATTCATTTAAAGAAGTCGCAAAAGAAGGTTATATTTGTTTATTTACTGATTATTTGTTAGGGAAAATTGCTCTGTAGTATCTTATAGTGGCCTATTTACACATGACGTAATACTAATGTAAATTAACTATATAACCGTTAAATAAGGACTTCAACAGAGATGGACAGCAGCACAACAACAGTCAAACCATGAGCACATTTGTGAGTAAGGTGGGCTTTCACACGTGTTTGTATGTGATCTGTAGTTTTTAAGTCTCTCACTTTCTGTCCTTCTGTGTTCAAAGCCTAAAATCCTCCATTTAATGTGGTATAGCATTTTTTAGTTTTATTCCTCTCACTTAGACAGATGATTGACCGAAGGTTGTTTGGTTTGTTCAATATCCTGTTCCTCTATCTCTGATTTCACCACTTTGGTTATTTACCAGCAGACTCAATATTTCTGGTGCAATTAATAAATGAAAACATTGTTAAAATGACGGACTCAGAGTAAGTAATAATGCCAATGTTTTAGGCATTTTCCCTCTTAAGTAATCAATCAATAAATATAGCTAACCCTTTTTTTATATTTCTTAAATTTTGGTAACATTTATATATGTTAACCACTGCAGGGTTAACAAAGGAATTTCTGACCCCTGCCCCTTTCAGTCATTAAATATAAGATAGGATGAGATAAGATGTTCCTTTAATACAGGGAAATTCCAAATTTACAGCAGCATACAGACATACAAAGAGAAATTAAAGTAGAAATTAAAGCATATATGACAAAGACAAAAATATGTTAAACTGTGAACTGTTTTCTTCTTGCAATGGGAAACTGTGGACATCACCATGACAGGAAATAATAAATTATAATGGAGGACAATATAGTATAGTATATACGACATATAGGACAGTATAGCATTATACTGCTATATAGTCCTTCACAGTACTGGTTTTCAAAGCAACACAACTCATCATATCTCATCAAAGTCCCAAACTGTAGCTATATCAAGCACTGGTACAGTTGAAGAAAACGGTGTCTCTCTTCGGGTATGATTTAGAGCAGCAGTGTCAGGTATGTATTAAAATAAATTAGATAAATTAAAAATAAATTAAAATAAAGACTCAGGTGTTCAGACGGATCATTTGCACACGGACATGTAATATTTCTAAGAAGGACCCTTAGTTAAAACGTAACCAATAAAAAATCTTCATTCCTCTAACAAAACCTCTGATCCTTTCATAGCTGATCTCCACTGACTGATCCTTGAACCGCTCTGAACTCTGTCTTTGTCTTCAGGGAAACGAGAGGCAGAGCGCTCTGTCAATTGGACAGTGGAAGAGACTCAGGTGCTGCTGTGCGCCTGGAGCGATGAGCGTGTACAGAAGAGTCTGGCAGAAAACCTCAGAAACCGGCATGTCTTCAAACACCTCTCGGCCCGAATGAGTGAAATGGGATTCTCCAGGAGTCCTCACCAGTGCCGACTCCGGGTCAAAACTCTGAAAGCCAATTACGTGAGGGCCAAACTGCAGAGGAGCGTGGACAGCTCACAGCCCTGCACCTTTAAATACTTCGCGGAGATGGATGCCGTTTTAGGCCGCAGGTCAGCTGAGGGGGAGGGAAGGGCCTACTTTATTTCACCTGAACGGATGGTTGAGTGTCACCTTAACTCCATCAATGGGACAGGAAGTATCCTGCCAGATTTAAACTCTAACACGGAGAACAGCGGACACCATTTTGGTTCTTCAGGGAGGACGGAGAGACAGAGTTTGAGCTCCTCAGAGGAGAGAGGAGGACATCAGTCCTGGCAGCTGGACTCTGAGGTCAAGGTGGAGGATGGAGAGGTTTCAACAGATGAGTTTGAGTTCAGCAGCCCTGGATTCCCGAGAGACAAGCATGAGGTGTACCTGGAACCGTCCTTGCATAGAGACATGAGCGGTACGTACAGAGACAGATTCATCATCATGAGAGACTTAGGGTTACAAAGTGCTGATGAAAAAAGACTATGTTGACTCATTCCTCAGAGCTTTAATGGCTTTTTGATGCTTCTTACAGACTGGCCAAACTGGGATCTTAGTCACCTGGTTAGCTGTTACTGTAGCTTTATAAAACACATAAAAAGGCACAGAAATATTGACTGTAGAGTAGAGAACACTTCAGTAATCTTTATTTGTATGTCACCTGATCTGCTGTCATTTCACCTTCTGGTGAAATAAAGAGTCAATCAAACCGACCAAATAAAGCTTAGATAAAGAAGAGAGTTCATGAAACAAAGACAACAGTCCTCTCAGGGTTATGGAAATCAGATGTAGAGATCGGTGATGCTCTTGTTTTTCTTTAACCTCACTTTCAGGTGTGTCACCATCCCTGAATTATGTTTGCAAACTACTCCATAACACTCACGGAAAAAGGAAACTTCTTGAAGTTGTTTTGCAACCTCCTCTTTCAACAGGCTTAGTGTTTTTATCATCACTTGTTGTCTTCTTTCTCTCAGGAAACGAGCCAAACAAACGAGTGTTTTTGTACAATTACAAGCTGCAACAACAGTTTCCCCTCTTTCTCAAAGCTCCACCCTCTGCTTCAGATCTATATATGTATGGGAAAGATGTTGGTCAGTGTCGGCCTCGCTCTGTAAGGCCCAGAATCTGTGCACAAGAGAGATGGTGTTTGATAAATTCAGCAAAACCCTCAAAAACAAGAAGAGCTCTGAGAAAGATGATTCTGGGCTCCTTCAGAGTAATGCAAGGCCTGTACAGTCTGCCTGAAGAGTTTACCAGAATCTCCTCTCCTACCCAGAAACCCTTACAAATGCACTGATAGAGCAGATGTTGTTACTGGGGAGTAGAAAAGTCCAAATGTCAAAAAGCAATTTTGATTTCTTCAAAGAACAAGTAGTGGCTCATTTTACTGCTGCTGAAATGTTTCATACACACAAAAAATGTTTGTTACTGTAAGCTTGAACCAAATCATTCATTGAAAGACTTTCAGGTCCAGAACCTCCAGAAAATGATCTCTGACCTCATCTTCTGTCCTGTGTCACAGCTCCACAACTGGGAAACAGCCTAAGCAGCCCGTCTCCACCTGTGGCACAACCTCCTCCACCTGACCAATCGGCTTCCCCACCTCCCCCTGCACCCCTGGATCCAAGTCCTACCATCATTCCCACTCCTAACCCCCCTCAACCAGAGTCCAGTGGCCTAGACCCGGTCGTTAAACAGCTGTCTGAGTGTTTCCAGGGTCTGGTTTCAGAGACCAGGAGCCTCCTTTTGCAGCTGGAGACTCAGCGTCAGGAGCAGGCGCGCTGGCATCAGGAGCTCCTCACTCAATGGCTAGGGAGGGAGGAGCGGCGGCTGAGGGAGACCGCTGAGAGGGAGGAGAGGAGGGAGAAGGCTCGCATGGAGCACGAGATCCGAGTACTGGAGCTGCTCACCAGTTTAGCCAGAGAAAATAGGTGTAGGTGTGTAGGCGGACAGACTGCAGCAGAGGGAGTTGGAGTCGTGAACCGAACCAGGGACAGAGACAGAGACTAGGATTAGCTCAGAACCGTGAACTTTACAGCTTTAACCCAAAGAGTGGAGGCTCAAGTGCATCTCCAAACTGCACTTGCAGTTAAAAAAATCACAGTCTGGTTACTCTGCAAAATGTTGACTGATCTGAAAGAAGGAAAAGCCCCTCAAATCCCAGAGGACTGATCACTAAACTCTGATCTGAAGCATGGAAGAAGAACTAGGGCTGAGCTTCAGAGACGAAGACGTTTGTCCTCACTGGCGTCTGTTTTATCACCTCTGTGAGAATCTCTCAGGTTTAAGTTGATCTTCATAACAGACCAAAACTGTTTGTGCACTTTGACATGAATTAAAAGTTTCACTTTTGAACTTTGTGTGTGTGTTTATGTGGAAGTGTGTTTGCTGATGGATGAATCTTTTGGAACTAACTCCCTCATCTGAACTCTGAGTTGGCCACAGTAACACGTGACTGAAGCCCCTTCAACCAAAGTGAGGGTTTCAGCACTTGAGTTACTTCAGCTCAGATACCTGACAGCTGACTTGAGGGGCCTGAAATCACACACCCAGATGAGTGTGAGAGCTGTTATTGTGATGAGAGTGAGCTGTGGTCGAGCTCTGCAGTATGACAGGACTCTGGATGTCAAAGTTTGTCTGTGGCTTTGCTCCATCAAGTTATCTCAGGACTCTTTATAGAGAAGGCAGTTCCACACTGAACTCACAGTGAAGAGCATGAGGAGAGAAGGTGGTTTATTGATTCTTCATCAGCTCTGGTGTCTGACATGATCAGAAAATCTGACCCTTGACCTTGAAAGTCAGGTTTTGAAGTGTTTATCATGGTTCAGGATGTTTGTATCCATGAGGAGGACAATGCTCAGTGACCTCAGTGCCACAGCGGGACGAACGTCAAACTTGCCCGTGTAAATCTGTGTGTGCTGATGTTATCGTCTCTGCTGGCTGACAGGAATGCAGCTCAAACATCAAAACATTTATTTGTGTCTCTGCAGGAACATGTTTAAAATAAGAACAGCAGCCTGGGACGGATACTTGCATAACAGACCTTTAGCATGGTTCTGGTACCAAAGTGAGCAGCATACACCCTCACTTACAATAAAGGGAAGGACATAATGGACCTGATATCAGCGGGTATCAGAGGTGTGTGTTTTACAGTCTGACCTTGTTGAAGTCAGTGTGTGTAAAGTGTTGTTCAAGCTTTGCCTACAGCTGCCTGACCACACTACACTCACATCCTTCCATCCTGTTGTTTCCTTGTTTCTCTACAGCTTTGCCTCTTCCTCCAGATAGTGATTTTTTCAGAGTTACCCTCAATCTTTGGGTCTTTGTACTCAGGTCAAACTTTTCTTTTATCTCAGCCCATCAAAGACACATCACAGTGTTGCATCTGCACATGGTGCAAACAAACAGGCTGTCTGATGGTTTCTCAGTCAGGTTTACACTGACACTGAAATGTTTTCATCGTCCCATGTCAGAGTCGACCTGCATGCAGAAAACTGTAGCCTAGCTTGCATGCCCTCCTTTTGATAATAATTGGAACCCTTCTTCAGCTCTTTGCCTCTAAATGTGACTGAAACTATGTGCTCGGGCTCAAGATGAACTGGTAGTCAGCTGTTACATTTCTTCTCCTATATTCCAGATAAACTCTCAAGTTTCCCAGAATTTCTTTGACAGTGATAAAAAAGAAATTACAAAGATGAATTCCCCAAATGTTCAGTTTGGTTTCACTTCACACTTGTGTTTTAGGTCTGTGGTTTCTTTTCTTTCCATCCTGATCTCTGTGGTTCAACTCTGCTGGCCCTTTCAGTGAGAGGAAGCTGGATAAGGGTGCCTACGTAAATCTGCACTAAAATCAGATGATGTAACTTCTCTGGATGTTGATGAAATTTGGGATGATTCGTCGATATTTCACTGAGGCTTATTACTCTGCTGGCAAACCCAACAGGCCCAAAGGTACTGCTGCCCATGAATCAGAGCTGTGAGAACGTTTGGTCTTGACATCTTCACTTGTGTGAGGACACCTAAGTGTGTAAAGCACATGTTTCCTGCAGAAATCGAGAGCAAAAGAGAAAAACTGTTTTCCTCTACCTACTCAGTCAGTGAAGTCATCAATTCATTTCCAATTCACTTCTTTTCAAAAAAAGTCAATAAATTAGCTGGTTATCACACCGATGCCCTCTTTTACTCAGCAGTTACACATTCAGAGCATGAGATCGCCAGTAAAAGCCTCACCAACAGATGTATCACAGCTCACACATACATGCGACTGTGTTTCCTTTTATTTCATGTTTTTCAGTGCATTTTTCTTCTATTTGATCAAATAACTCAGCCCTAGTCTAGACTGGTCTTTAAATCCTGAGGCTGGATGAGGGATAAATACTGAAGGGTAAGTTAGTTCTGTTAGAGACAGAAACATGATGAGTTTAAGGGCATCCAGAGGGAACTTTTTTTTTCAAAGCTGTGCTTACTGTAGGGACACCCACACTATGTTATACTATGTTTTCAAGTTTTATGTACTGTAAAGGCATCAAGGGAGTACTTTTTAATGTTCGATATACTGATAGGGTAACCAGGGACCACTTTTTTACATTATGTGCATTAAAGTACATCCAGATGGTGTTTGTTCAGTGTTTTACCCAGAAGAAGTGTGTCCAGAATGAGCTTTAACCAGATTTGTACACTAAAAGACATCCACGGAGACAAGACATATTTTATCAGCTGGAGAGGCATACATACACGGTATAACTTTTTGTAAGGCTGCATGGGGGGGATTCTGCTGTGTTTCCCTGACACACACAAACACCATTTCCCACACAAACACAATTTACAGAAACTACGATAATAACACCAACAAATTTTCCAGACATGAGCTGGGATTCCCTGAGGCTCAAATCACACCATCGCTGAATGAGGAAGTAAAACAGAGAAAACAGAGAGAAAAGCACCAATGGAAAAACCGTCAGAGGGTGAGAGAGAAAGTGAAGATGAAGAGAGACAAGTGCAAATGAAGGGGGGGGGGGGGGGGGAGTGCAGACAGGGAGAAGGGGGAGGAGAGAGGCTCTGATTGGCTGCTGCTTTTCCGGCACAGTGAAGTCTTGAGGCTGCGCGCGGATCTGAGCTCAAACACACGGAGAGAGGACACAGAGGAAGTAAGCGTACAGCCAGAGTTCATTCATCATGTCACTCTGATTTCTTCTTGTACTTTTACCGCTGCACTCACACCGTGGACACGCAGTTTACTCCCTGTATTAGCAGCTGAATGATGCGGCAGTAAGGAACCGGAGCCGAGGAGGGTCGTCTGCGCTTACCGCTTCGCTTTTATTCTCGTGTGAACGGAGAAAGTCCGCTTGGAGAGGCTGTTTGTTTGGAACATTTCGGAGCGGAATACAAGGAGGATTCCCACTTGGAGTACTGCTTGTTGAGGTGAGCTCACAGGATTTACGGAAAGGGTATTTTTTTGTGGTTTGGGGTGTATTGAATTCAGTGGTGTTTGTGCGCTTTGAAGATTCGTTGTTTGTCCAGAATGCGCGCAGGTGGTGAGGAGAGAGCGCACTTTGTCTGCAGCCAAAGAGGATCAGGAGCGTGACTTGGTGCTGTCTACTCTCAGTCTGTTATTTTACTACTTGAGTTCAGATTTGAAGCTTGCAGGTTCAGATGTCGGTGTCTGCACATTTTTTTTGCAGTCTAAGGGCTTTCCGTGTGCCTTTGTCACATTTTGTCTACACCTTTCCACCTGAATCCAAACACATAGCGTAATAGCTCCTGAATTGACTGTCTGTCTTTGATACTGTTTTTTTTCCATCCCGGGCTTTAATTTCTGACCCCTGACATTTACCCCATTAACGAGGTCTAAAAAATCGGTGTCAATGGCGTTCATTTTGATCCTTCTGGCTAAGAGGATTCTCCCTCCCCGTAAGACAGCGGGGATCAGTGAGTAAATCCAGAATCTCTCCTGTGAACGCGCCCGGTGTTCTCCTTGGCTCTCGCTTTGTGTGACACAGTGTGTGTGTGTGTGTGTGTGTGTGTGTGTGTGTGTGTGTGTGTGTGTGTGTGTTTTTGTGTGTGTGTGTGTGTGTGCGCGCGCGCGCTAATTCTGTTTAATGTGCTGACATGTTGAATCCGGTTATTGGTGATAGTGACAGAGGGATCCTCCTCTGAGCGCTGCGCGGAGTTGCTGCTAAAGTGGATTATAGAGCTGCGATTGTGCATGTGGATGGCTTTTGTTAGTGCAAATGCAGACAAATAGGGCCTTAGGGGTATGGGAGGTTTCCTGTCAACCTGGATGGGTCGGAGGACAGATAGTCAATTTCAAAACAAGCCTTTTCAAAATAACCCTATATCATTTGCTTAAACCCTGGATAGTATTGATTTATTGATCTGGTAAGCCATAACCCCTACCCCCCCCCCCACCCCCACCCCCACCCCAAATATCAGGGTTTTTGCAGAGAATGTAGACCTTATTTCCATCCTGTCACCTAAGTAATTTAATTTTTTGCCAGCCTTTGCAAAGTTGTCATGAATTCTTAAAGCTCCCAAAATCCAAAGTACTCACAATGGTGTTTCTGCAGCACCCACTGTGCAGGATGTCTGCAGGGGTCCTGGGTGTGTCTGTCACAGAATGATGAGTCCAGGTGACAGAGTCTGGTCATGGAAGCTCAGAGCAGCAGCTGCAGACATTACTACCAGTCTAAACACTGCTGGTAGAGCAACAGTCATCAATGCTCTGTGTGGGGACTGCGGGGGATGCTGTTGTCCAACCTCCTGCTGCTGGACAGTGCTTTGCAGCACACTTTAAATGTGGAGGAACAGCAGTGATAACATCATTGAAGTTCAGTCTAGGGTTCTGTAAAGTAAACGTGCAGCATGAGGGACATGAGAGACAAATGCCCTATTTCGACTAAACCTGTCTGTTTAAATACTCAGCAGAGCAGCTGATAGGTGGATTTTTTTAGGCACACGCCTCCACAAAGCACACGCTTTGATTTTGGTGTAGAAAATGTAAAGCTTAATTTTTAAAACTTATGTTGCACAAAGTTTAGACTCTGGTCCCATGTTTACCCTGAATCAGCAGGACTCAGGTGACTCATGATGTCAGGTCTCTGATAAGTCCCAGATCTCTGCTGTTGGGATTTAGACTATAAGTTTGTCATTGAGTCCTCTGTGGTCCAGCTGTGTCTATCAGAGATGTTTTTGGTGTGGGAGCTGAAGGAGGATATTTGCAGTTGCTTCAGCTTTGGGTCCGAACATGGTGGCTGTGCAGCTCCCTCACACAGGTGGGTTTGTACAGAAGTCTCTCTGACCACACACACACTGAGCAGCCGTCTGTATTTAAAGCACCTTTACTCCTCCTCCTCTGTGCAGACACTCTGATATCTCTCACCCTCATTTCCTGCAGACATGGATGAGTGAATTCCTCATGCTGTTCAGTGTTTACACAGCAGGCTGTTGATTTACTGCTGTCCCCCCCAATGGTCCCCCTCCTCCCCTTACAAATACAGAGCAGAAAACTCCTTTCTTCTCTTTCTCTGAGAAAGCTGTCTTGCTCAGGCTGCAGAGAAACTTTTATCACATCACAAATCTTAGCCTTTTACTGCTCTGACCTGAGAGCTGCTGTGAGGCTGAAGACACATCCCAGTAAAGAGACTCAGGGAAGTGTTTTAACATCAAACCTGTGTCTAGATGTGCGTGTGCTTCCTGCACCACAGGAACTCTGTGTGTGTCCAGTTTTTCCTCTGCAGCCTCTGATCCGCTGATGACTGTCATCATTAGTGTCGTTAACACTGCGGGCATGGCGGGAAGAGCCCTGTCCATTCTCTGAGAGTTTTAGTGACACTTCTAGGGAAATAACAGTCCAGCCTCAGACGCTCTCAGCAGCCCCACCCTGATGTTCAGAGACAGAAATCACTGGGAAGCTTGTGTCACAGACGGCTCTGCAGCCTGGAGGGTATTTCATCTAAACACTGAGTTTGACTCCTGGTGTGACATTTCCCTGAGGTGCTCTAAAAGCTGATGCTCTTCTCTCTCTAAACGCCCCCAAAGGCCGAAAAGGAAAATATTTTGACATTTCTGAAATTTATCCTTCACTCATGACCTCAAACTAAAATGTCCCTTTCTCACTCCCCCTCCAAGTCATATTTCTCCCACACATAATTACTTTCATCTCTTTCACTTTCAGTTTGCAGGGCTTTGTCCTGGTTAATGAGTTACATGTGTCTGCAGATTCAAGACTGCAGTTTTAAGACACCACCTGTGCAGGAACCACATTTGTGATGTCTAAATACATCTTTAAGTTTCTAACTAAATGTGTCCTGTCAATGCAGTCCTGAAACTGTAGCCTTCAGCTCTGCAGACACATGCTGTTAGTTTAAATTCTTGACCGACAGAGAAAGAGTCCCGGCCAGATAATATCAGAGTTCCACAAGTCAAAGCAAGAGTATATGAGAGTAAAACATCAGCAGAAAAGACTGCAGAAAATAACGGTGGAAGTGTAAGTCACCCTGGAGTCTGATCACAGTTTAAAGGGTTCCTGTCTCCTGTTTCTAATAGATTTTGATGTCTGTAAAATCCCCCAGATTTCTGAGCACATGTGCTCAAAAGCAAACATTCACTTCAGTCTTTATCCTGGTGTTTTCACAGGAGCCTGTTTTTTTCCTCCAGGATGAGCAAAGGCAAAGAGAAAGTTAAACTACACTTCTTTACACATGAGAGCAGATGGCTACACACACACACACACACACACACACACACACACACGCACACACACACACACACACACACACACACACAACACACCAGAATAATAGCAGTAATTAAAACCATTCATCCAAACCAAACAACCCCCCCCCCCAGTGTTTACCTTCAGCTGCCACCTAGCCGGGGCCGCACTAAACCACCAGCTACTTGCTAACAATCTGCTTTTGCCAGACTGCCCCCCTTCACCAGCTTCACCAAGTCTAGTCCAGCTCCTTCACCTGGGAACCAAATGTGGATCATCAGAGTCTCAGTTGTCACACAGTTTTAGGAGTCTGTGAGAAGCAGCTGCTGAATCTGGTGTCCTCAGCGATATAGTGTGCATGTTTTAGTTCTAGTTACTGCTAGTTCTAGTTACCGGTCTTTGCATACAGACTTTCATTTTTCTTTCTTTCCTGAATGTGCAGCAAAAGTTCTGACCAGTGCAGAAATGAAGCACATTTGGATCTTTATTTCAGAAATCTGTGAAATCAAGACAACCAAGAGTCTTCAAAAAGGCCTCAAGAGCATAGGTTTAGACAGACTGAAAGCATGTCTGCAGACATTTGTAGCCTAGCTTGCATGCTGATTTTCTTGGCAGTTCCCTTTTCAAGGGGCCGAGTGACATGTAGGTCATACAGTCACACTTGAAACATACTGAAACAGACCATTAAAATGAGATCATAGCGACATTTAAAGCAAATTTGTGACATAGGGAGTAAATATAAGGAGAACTTTCCTCACCAGTAGGTGGGTCAGGGATCTGCTGGTTCAGATCCCAGGACCGAATGAGCCCTCTACAGTCCATCATCATCTGTTTCATCTTAAAGCTCAGATGTTTCAGCTCATTGGTGGTTTTACTTAGAAGTCAAAAACTCTGAGGTGGGAGGAGCTCCAAAATCCATCTGTAGCAAGTAAACAAATCCAGAAACATTCAACTCTCATGGTGTTTCCCTCCATCACACTCTTGATCTTCCCCTGTGTGTGTGCGTGCGCGTGTGAGTGTGTGAGCGTGCATGCGTTTGTTCATGCGTGCAATGCTTTAGCATCGAGGACACATGGTGCAGCAGATGCTTGGCTCTCTTGCTACTCTTTCTCATGGAAATGTGTGTGTCCGTCTGGATGAATAACAGTGGTGTGTGTACGTGTGTGTTTTATGCAGACATGCGTGTTGGAGAGGATAAGTGTGTGTGTCTGCATGTGTGTCTGCGTGTGTGCACACAGTGAAGGAGGCCTGCAGTGAACTTGTGATTAATCTGTGTGTGTGTGTGTATGTGTTTGTTTGTAGCTGTGTGATCCTGGGAGAAAACGGAGTCTTGTGATTTCTCTAAAGGTTAATCTCAGACTCGGAATAATATCAGAAAAGAAACACGATGATCCAGTTTGGAGCACAGAGAAATCCAAACCATAAGAGCTTCAGCCTTTTTTTTTTTTTGCAGACATGAAGCAGAGACCTTTGTCTTTTACTGTAGGACAGATTTCCTTATTTTTGATAAGCAACAACTATGCACCCAGTCCTATTCTGCACATGAAACAAATCTACACAAATAAGAAAAGGGCCAAAAGTTCAACACGCTCAGGGTGTTGAATGTCTTTTCTTCATCCATGTCTCCCTGATATTTATGAACTGTGTGTCAAAGAAGCTAAATCTCATTAAAAAGAGCCAGATGATCATATTTCTAAACTGCAGGAACAATCCTTCAGTCCTTCTCCACTGGGGGCTGTTTAACCCTGTAAAACCATTTTCAACCATTCAGATGTTGTAGGAGGCCTTTGGGGGTGAAAATGGAGTGTTTTCAAAAATGTTATGTTTTAGTAAGTTTTTACGGAAATGTTGTAATATTGCAACGTTGGGCTTGATGGACAGCAGAATCTTCTGTATTTCCACTCTTTGTCTGAACTAGTGCTGCAACTAACGATTATTTTTTTGTCGACTAAACTATCGACTATTCGTCCGATTAATCACGATTAATCACTATCTTCTTTATTTATAAACACCTATTTCCGAGGTGTCGGCGTTTCAGGTGCTCATGCATCGCCGTGGTGCTGCCATGGTAGGAAAGCTGAGCTTTGATCAACGTGTTTTTTTGGTTTGTTCTCCGTAAAATGTTCCCAAAATTTTGAAGTTTTGGGTCGGAGTTTTGGAGCGTCTTTTTCAGTTTGTTCTGCCATAATGTGTGCACTCTTCTTCTGTGTTTGCTCGCGGGATGTAAACAGCGAGCGCTACTGCCTCCAGCACATCCTGTAGTGCACTGCAGTTACAGATGAGCATGAGGCGCCGGCATGTGATTCTTAACAACAATAACACGACGCGTCGACGCTTCGTTTTCGTGTCGATGAATTTGTTGTGTCGACGTAATCGATTACTTCGACTAATCGTTGCAGCCCTAGTCTGAACAGCTATACAGAACTAAGGATTCATTTGCAGGGTTTTGCTGTTCCCAAACCAGTATATAACATGAATAATAATCCCAGTCATGTTGTTATAAAGAGTAATTTATTCCAACAAGAACTTTAACATTAATTTACATTATTTACATTATAAGCAGTTCTTTTCCTCTGAAAAACAGAGGCAGATATCCAACCCAGTCTCACAGCATCACATTTGCTTTGGGTATTAGCCTTTACTGCAATGTCTGCAGCGTCCTCTCTTCGTCTTCAGTGGAAAATGTCGTGTGAAGTCTGTGTGCACATCCACATTTTTTTTGCAGTGATAGTCCTTGAAGCAGTTCTTGGCATCGCTATCTGATTCTTCGTCACTTGCATCAGTGTCGTCGAAATCCATGTCCACGTCAATCTCTCTGTTTTGGACTATGGCAATTACATCCTGCACACTATACCAAGAATCTCTCCTTGCTGGTGGCATTCTGAAATGGAAAAAATAAAATTGAAATAAATGTATACACAAATAACACACATGCTTACTAGAATCTAGATGGCCAACAGGAAAGATGGGGTGGTGGGGAGACTGATTTCATTATCAGGTTTTTACACTTTGCACTGAAGTAGCCTATTCACACATTTCACACAATACTGACCTATTGACCTATTGGACTTTAATTATCTTCGTAATGGGAATGCATGTAGCCTCCAGTATACAACCACACCTTACATCCATGAACATTAACACCTGTTCCAGAACCATGCCACAAATGCACCAGGAACATCCCTACATGGACTATGAATTGCTAGGAACATTTTCTTATCAAGAGACTAAAACACTAGGCCTGCACGATATATCGTTTGAGCATCGTCATCGCGATGTACGTGTGTGGGACAGTCACATCGCAGAGCCTGCGATGTCAGAGGTTGAATGAACTCAGTTAATTTCAAGGATAACTGACTGAGATACACAGCATGTGACTCTGCATGTGCTTTGCAGCGATCCACCAATCACCTTCGTTCTTTACTCAGTTGCCAATCAGACTCAGTTCTCAGTTGCCAATCAGACTACTCTGCCAGCTGTCAATCAAAATCAGAGAGGAGGAAACCCACCCCTGCACATGTTCTGCACATGGAGGGAGTCGCTACCGGAGTTGAGCCGAGAAACGCTTGTCGGCTGAGAATTACTTTCGGAACATTCTTCATCACTGTTTAGCCCAACAAATAAGAACTGTATGGGTTTTAAATTGTACATTTCCGTGGACCACTCTATTATAAGCAGTGCGCGTTTTGTGAGGTGCATGCAATTCTCGGAGGAGATGCGTTTCTCAGCACGACCCCGTTAACAACAACAACAACGATCGCAAACTGAGCAACAAACAGAGAAAACCACAGGAGATGAAGACTTGTTGCCAAAAAGAAAAGGAAAGTCAGTTATCTGGAATTATTTCGGTTAAAAGAAGGATGATGTCGACCAAAACACGTGTTATGTGTTCACCTGTTTCCACAATAACGTCCCAGCACAATAAAAGCAAAAAATATCTCTGAGACAGACAGAAGCCATTCTACTAACATTCACAAAAAGAGGTAGGATCAGTGCAGGTGAACTGTCCTCAAGATTTCAGCAGTGCATCACAACATAAAGTGCTATTCAGGTCATCTGGTGAAAATTCCTGTATTTTTTAATATCGCAATATATATCGCAGGGTTGAAAAAAATCGCAATGTAAGTTTTTTCCAATATCGTGTAGCCTTATAAAACACTGTGTTTATCATCTTAATAGGATTGCATGTAGCCTCCAGTTTACAACCACACCTACAGCCATGAACATTACCACCTGTTCCAGAACAATGCCTCAAATGCACCAGGAGCATCCCCCACAACTGCTTTGACTAAGAATTGATAGGAGCATTTTCTTATCAATAGAGACAAAGACAAAGGGCAGACATGCACAAACAGAATTTCTTTGTTAGAAAGTCCTGTATTCTGTGATAAGGAGAAAATACTGAGAGTGTTGAAGGTGGTTAGAAATCATAAGTAAATGAAATGTTTAGATACAGCAATATATCTTAATATATAGTTTCTAATACAATAAAATGTGTAATCCAATATAAAGCTAAGGCTAGAATGTGTAAATCATGTGTAGTTTAAAGTTATATCGTGAAAATATAACTTTAAACTACAAAGTTCCTCTCAAGACATTCCTCTCAAAAGCAGGGCTGTTTTGGCTACCACTTTGAACCAACGTTGTAATGTTGCAACAATTATAAAACAAGCTGTAAATAAAATGTTGGGCATATTTTCCACAATAACTACATATGTTCATGTTCTAGACATTGTAATAAACACAAACACACGTCTTGCACAGCTGGAGGGAAAGTTCACTGAACACATGCTCTTACACACACATTCTTGTCTGACTTTCATTTCCAGAGCTGAGACAGAACTGAACGCCTTCTCAGGTGCAGATAACCAGCCCAGGCCTGTGGACATGAACCTGTAAGGGGGGCTGAAGGCTGGTGGGACTAGCTTTGCTGATGTTAGCCACACTCATAGTTCAGCTCCAGTGTTGAACCAGCTGTTCAGGGGTGTTTCTGGTAATCATTCATTAAAGAATTCGTCATTTATTTATCTTTGATGGATAAATCCATTTTTCCAGTAATCCTTGCAGCTTAATTTCCAACTCTTCAAGGTTGCTGCCTCTCTGATGAGACACCTAATTAGCTTGAAGGGATGTTTAAGGTGGGGTAGGCAGGATTCTGTTAAAGAAGTATCTTTTTTTGTGGTGTATACAAAAAAGCTTTTAATATCAGTCAGTAGCTATTAGTCACTGATGACATTTGATAATATAATGATATTGCTGTGTTTTTTTTATGTATGTGTAGTCAACATTTTCAAATTTCAGAGCACTACGCTCTTTCTGACTGTAAACAAAGCCGCCTCCCCCAACCTGATTAGTTGTGAGGCAGATGCTGCTCCCTCATGTTGTGAGGCAGACGCTGTCATTTAGCAGCCCAAACAAAGTTAACGTGCTACAATATCAGACAGTACAAACCAACCAGAAAGTACAGAAAATTGTCTGAATCCTCCTTTAGCCATGACTGTTAACACAAGCAAGAAAACTAAGTAAATACCTGAGAGTCTATTGGAATAACAGGCGCTTAAAAAGGAGGTAAACCGGACAAGAGCGAAGAGGCTGGGTCAACAATGATGGGGGACACTTCGGGGTCTTACGGACCCTGTAACCTTTCTGCTGGACAGGTAAACCGCTTTAACAAAGTAAGCCAAGTGTCTGTAACAGAAGTGTTTCTTGTCAAACGGGACCTGCTGCCTGTTGTAGCACCGCTAAATTGTTTAGCTCGGGTCCTGGAGTATGTCACTTTATCCTAGTTGTAGAAGTCCTGCAAACGTTGTGTTTGCTGGTAGTCTGTTGGCAACTACAGTAGCACCAATACTTTTTACTTTCACGTTGACTGGGCCCCATTTTTTATTATATGAAGTAGTGCTGGGCGATATGGAAAAAAATGTATATCACGATATGGATCATTTTATATCACGATAACGATATATATCACGATATAGCTATGGTATGCTTTCAGTTCTATAAAAAAATTTAAGTGTATACAGCTGCACAAGTACCAGTACAAGACCAGCACTTAAAACTAGAAAAATGAATAAATAAATAGGTGGCTGAAGTGCGTTCATGTCTGTGCTCACCCAAAGTTATGCAACACTCACAGAAAACGCCGATAGTGTGAGCCAAAGCACTCCATAATAATAGTAATAATAATAATAATAATAATAATAATAATAATAATAATAAATTTAATTTGTAATGCACTTTACATTTACAAAAAATCTCAAAGTGCTACAGTACACAGTAAAAAAAGAGCAGCAACAATAAAAAAGCAATAGAATGACAGTCACAGATTGGCATAAAAAAAAGAATTAAAAAAATAAAAAATATAGAGTTGCAATGTAAGAGGCAAGGTAGTAAAAGCATAAAGCATAGAGGAAAACTAACCAAAGGCTTTATTAAAAAGGTAGGTCTTTAGGGCCCTTTTGAAGAGGTTGTTCACACTGCTAGATGTTTCTCCTCCAAAGCTGCTCTCTGCCTCCATCATTGTTTACTTTACTCTTGAAGCACGTAGGAAGACCCGAGCATGAATCTGAGCGCTTTATTCGCCTATCAGGGGCAGACAGGTAAGGTGATTTGATTCGCCACGACTCCAGAAATGACTGAAAATCTACAGAATGTCACAAAATTACGTTTCCTCGCTGCTGGCTTGAAGGGTAGAGATGCGCAGCCGCGCTCCCAGCTGACAGGAAGTCAAACCACTGTTGTAGTTCTTTTGTGTTGCTAGCGCGGTCAAGAGTGTTGGCTCTCACTGAGAGATGACTACAAAAATGGACGCACCTGTTCATCTGGTTGTTAAACACGGCTGAAAATGATCATCTTTTAATGTTGTTCCAGCTCCTGCCCACTCCCGTTGCTTTTTTTCCCGTCCCGTCCCGATCAAGGGATTAATTAAAAAATGACTCCCATCCCGTGTGATTCCCGCGGGAATCACGTGACCCACGGGAATTCCCGAAAAATGTCATCCTCTACAGGGAAGGTCCCGGAGCAGATGAAACAGGTGCCGGAGCGGCTGAAATAGGTCCCGGATCCGATCAAAAGAGGTCCCGGATCGCGCTCCGACTTGCTCCGGCACAAATTAAGCACTGCTTACAATGATCCCCTCACGTGTGTAACCCAGGTAACCCGCAACGGCGGGAGACGCTGGACACGAAGAGGGCACGTAAAGCGGCGTCATGTCGCAAAATCGACAGAGAAATGCGAGCCTACATGTCAACGCATCCTTTTCTTTGTAAGAAAATATTGTTTTCTTTCCCGTTCGACACCAAATAGACTTACTGAATGTGCAATTATTGTTGTTGTTACTATGAATCATCTGATGGCACAAGCCCTATGGATAAAATACAGCCTATCGCCCGAAACGATAAAAAGAAAAATGGCACGATAGACATTTTCTATCGTGCCCACGATATCTATCGTCCTATCGCCCAGCACTAATCTGAAGTATTTGCATTATATTTGAATTTTATTGAAATGATACAAGAGAGCAGGAGCGTCTGTTTGTGGGTGAGGCTTGCTGAAGCAGGGATGGAGGGGAGAGGAGGAGCTGAGGGGAAAACTAGTTGGGAGGGGTAGTGTTTACATTTAAGATTTCTCCCCAAAACTGGCACTTACTCAGATCATGCCTACCACACCTTTTAATGGAGGTTTCTCAGTGGTTAAGGTTCAATTCTCGTTCAAAGCTTGTGTTCCTGACTGTACTGCACATGCTCATAAACCTCCTGAGAGTCTTTTTTTCTGTACATTTGTGTATCATAACCACCGTTTAACTCTCAAGCCTGTCTGTGTCTATCCAAAACCAGAGCGATGAAAACATCCAGCAGAAGGAGAATGGGACTCGACCCAAAACAAACCCATCCTAACCCCAGTTCACCGCTGTGTTTATGTCTAAGAGTTATTCCTGATCTCTGTGTCTGAACGCTTCTCTGACCCAGCATTCCCGTCTTTGTCTCTGCAGGACATCATGCCTCAGACTCCACCCTTCAGCGGGCAGCTGAACTCCAGCAGCTACAACAAGAACCACCTGTACCAGAGCAAGGACGAGGGCTTCCCTGGACTCTATTACCATGACAATAACCTGGTGTCCGGGTCCCTAGAGGCTCTCATCCACCACCTGGTTCCCACAGTGGACTATTATCCAGACGTGAGTGCTGGTTCCTGCATTTTGAATCCCTGCTGCGCTCTTCCTCATTGACTGTTGCAATCTTTCTCTGATTTTTCTTTTTTTATGATAGACCCTCTGGACCTTCCAGCCCTTTTTTTTAAAAACCCAAAATAGTTTTTTTTTCTTCTTTGATGCATCTTTTTTTCTGTAAAATACCTGCCATCCTAGTTTTTTGTACCTTTAGACATTGTTTCACCCAGCTGGTTTTGATTTCATGCCTGTTTCTAGACTTACTTGATGTAATAATAGTGTTGCTTTTTCTCTCCACAGAGGACATATATCTTCACCTTCCTGCTCAGCTCTCGCCTCCTCATCCAGCCTTTTGAGCTCATGTCCAAGGTGTGTCACCTGTGCATGGAGCAACAGAGACTCAGCGACCCACAGGCTGACAAGGTGTGCACTGAACACTTTGCTTTCCCTCTTCATGAATCATTGGGGTATGGTGTTATGTGCATATCCTCATTTTTTCTGAGCATGTCTTCGTCATTCTGCACTGTCCAGATGAGAGTGAGGAAGATCACTCCAAAGATTCTCCAGCTGCTGACGGAGTGGACAGAGACTTTCCCTTACGACTTTAGGGATGAGAGGATGATGAGGAGTCTGAAGGAGCTGACTCACCGGCTGTCCACCGGAGACGAGGTCAGTCTTCCCTCTCAGTGCATGAACACCATGTTACTGAAACTGCAGGAGTGGAGCAGGTCAAGGTTTAGTTCAGGTGTTATCAGAGGATGTGAGGAGCTGTTCAGCACCAAAGGCACATCAGATCTTTGATAGCTGACAGTGTTGGAGATGTGTCCAGATATTGATGGAGGACACAAACATCCATCTGTCTGTTTGAAGACCCTCCTTCTCTGTCTTTCTCCACTTTATACAGGAAACTACAGCACCCCCCCCCCCCCCCATCCAGCTGCAGAAGGTGTCACATGACTCGTAAATAGTACGAGCTCCAGTATTGATCCTGATTAAATCTACCAATCAATACCTGTCTCACATGACAGGCGGACACTTTTACAGCTCAACCCCCGGACATTAAAGGCATCATTGCCCACCATCAGATATTCAGTCTCTCACAAAGCTCTTCTGATTTGAGATCTTAGCTGTACAGTTATTTCTTGAGCTTATCTGAGACAGCACCTGTAACCATCACCGACTTGTATTTGAAATAAGAAGTGATATTTCAACCAGTCTAGTCTAACAGACCAATTAGGATCAACTGAAGCTCTACTTTGGGTTTTTAATCTTCAGATTTGTTGTCTTTCTGATCAAAATCGGTCTACCGTTCTCTGAGTGTGTTTGAAACCATCTAAAAAAACAGCCACATGACGACAACTAGACTTTTAGACAAAAAGCACAAAGAGAAAGGAGCTCAGAGTGAAGAGATAATGAACTGCAAACAAAGACAGCTTTATCAACCCTCAACACTCTGCAGATGATATCAGACAGTCTGTGTACACACGTGTTTGTGTGAGGAGAGCAGGACTAATGTGGAGATTGTGGAGACCAGATCATCCACAGAGACCCACAGAGACTGTTTACTGGTTTATCTGAGGCTAATCATCTGTGGAGATGAAGAAACTCTGTTTCCTATAAAGACTGAAGTTTCAGTGAAGTGCCCGTCAGCAGCAGCAGAGTTACCGGTCCAGTTTGAACCCATGATTCTCACCAAGTCTCCAAAGACAGCTTTTAAAAACACAGATGTCTGAGTCAAAGACGTGGTTAAAAACTAAAGAGAAAGATGCCGATTCTTCAGAGCCAGGACCGCAGCACTCTGGGAGTCGGTTTGGATCCTGAATAGCTGCCCTGAACATCTGGGCTAGCTCAGGTCCAGACCACATTGAAAAACCCTCCAGGACCTTGATCCGTGCAGCAGGACTGTCATTATGGATGTGGTGGGATATTTCAGGAAGCAGCAGGCGAGGAGAAAACAAGTGCTGTGCTCCTGCTGCTTCAAATGAGCAGCTTTTATTCTACTAGGAGCTCCTTCTTCAGTTTATGATGGTTTTAGGCTGATTTAAGAGATCCCACTTTATAGAACTGATCCGGTGGCTTGGAAACCTCCATATAGACTGCAGACTGTTGCACAAACATGACTCCTTTTAATTTGAATGATGCAAACAGAGGGCTGTTTGTTTGAAGTTGGTCCAGAAACCCTCCACTGCAAAATGGACCATTTTCTGCTAGAGGAGTTAAGCTAAACATTATAGATGATTGTTTTGATGTGGACTTGTTTGCTCCTGGTTTAGAAAAGACCAACTTGAAGCTAAACCAAAAGAGAAGACTCATGATTTGTGATCAGAGGTGGACTTGAACCATTCTTTCCACCTCAAGTACCTCGGGGGCTTCTTATGAACTGATCCAGACCTTTACATCCCTTGCTGTTTTTGAGGTCTAACCAAAAATGCCACTCATTGAACAGGAATCTCTTAGGAAACCAAAGGAGACTTTATTTAGACCCAGGACCCCTAGGATGAAAACTCACCCTGGTCTCTACAGAGACCCCCCCCCCCTCCCCCGGCTGCTTAAAGCCCCTGTGTTTATTCTGCAGGTTTGGAGGTATGTCAGTCTCATTGTGACCTGGCGTCTTGTAGGTGTAGATGATACTCCCTGCTGGTGCTCCGTCTTTTTCTCTGTTCATTAGATCTTAAAACAGGTGCCCTCTGCTTTGGGTCAGCTGTCGCTCCGCAGGAAGTGACATCACTCAGCCATGACAAACAGTGATATGATAGCACAAACCAACTACAGAACCAGACCTGGTGATTGGTCATCTGCTGCCTCAGGATCACTGCCAGAGTGGACACAGCACTCCCCGCAGGGCCCCCTCATACGTAACGGCAGCGGTCCCTGTGTGTGACTGTCAGGCGTGCTGTTGCAGAGATCTGAGCCTATTTTTATCTCTCTCTGTTTGTGGAGCAGACAGAAGCTCTGGCAGATGGCTGACTTTGAAGAAGCAACTGGAACAATTTCCACTGGTGGCATTTCTCACTGACGGCCAACTGTGCCGGGCTGTGTATGAGCTCGAGCTGACTGATTGCACGGTTTCTACTGATACCACCCTGATCATGTGAAGGGGATCCATGCAGGACTGCATGAAAAGATTCTTCACTTACCATATCACTTGACAATTAAAGCTGTGTCCTGCTCTCTGTTCCACCTTTCAGAACTTTAGAGTCTTGTCCAGCTAACACTGGAAAAAGAAAACCTGAATGAAAGCTGCATGCAGCATGAAAACGGCCTCCTTCACACCTTCATGAGTGCAGATGAGCTTTGGCAAATGTCAGGGTGTGGAGCAGCAGCAGAGCTATTTTGCACTGTGTTGCTTTAATCAGAGTAAATGTGGTTCTGATCTTCTTTCCCCTCACACTAAAGCTCATGAAGATATTTTCTCCAAAATCAAACCTGAAGTATGTTTGGGTCTGCCACACCCAAAGCTTTTTTTCAATTCTGTTGGAGAGAGGATCGAGCAGGGAGTAGGGAAACAGAGAGGTGTCTGGGCCGCTCCTCTTTTTCTGACCTTTTCCTCTGTGAAAACTTGCAGCAGACAGATACATCAGTCAGAAAAAGTGCTGCCCGCCTGTTTCCCACTAACTGATGACTTCTTCTTTCTAAGTGAGCCGAAGTCCTGATTGCTGTCCCGGCTCCTCGGCCACCATAAAGCTCTGAGTGTTTCCGGTCTCTTCGCTGGACTCAAGTCCTGTTTGTAGGACCCAGATTCTGGAGTCTGAACTGACAGAGAGTTTAGGGAGGAGGGTTTGTGGTCGTGAGAAACTGGGTCTGGATTTTCTGGGACAATTTGTACAGTCAGTGTGGAAGGAGGCCACGAGCAGGATGCTCCTGGTTTATACAAAAACACTCTGAGAAGGAAAAACACATGTTCCTCCTCCATCATTTTACCCTCTTATGCAACTTCAGCCTCAAACTGTGTCAGCGGAGGAACTCTTACCTAACCAAAGCCTGGTTGGAGGACCTTTTGACCTCCTAAATGGGGGGGTAAAGTCTCCCTTCTTGCCGCCCTTGAGCCAGGGGCCTCATGAGTCCTGCAGGAAAATGTTTGCATAGCTCTGACAGGAGGAACAGGAGGATGCTTTCTGCTGAGGAACAGAGGCAGGGGTTTCTGAGGATCTGTCTGGTTCTGGTTCAAAACAAGGGACATGAAGCCGGCGTGTGTGTGCAATGTAGTCCTCTCATTTTTTTTTCACTCTCTGCCTCTGACCAGCAGGTCTGAATGAAAACGTCTGCAGCACAGACAAACAAAGGTGACTGCAGGGTTAGTGAGACTCTCACCACACACACACACACACACACACACACACACACACACACACACACACACACACACACACACACACACACACACACACACACACACACACACACACACACACACCTCTGGATAATCTTTGAGTTAGATTCATTATTCTTGTGCAGATCTTTTTCTCTGCTCTTGTCTTTTCTGCACTGTCATGTTGTTGGTGCATCTGTCTGCACAGAGCTGCAGCAGCAGCATCAGACCGACAGACTGCTGACTTTTGAATGGAGTCCCAGTTCTCCTTGTTCGAGGTTTCAAGGCAGTTTCCTGTTCAAAATGATACTTCTGATAAACTTCTTAAACCATAGAGTTGAGACGGGCCATAGACTACGTTGCCTGTCACATGAATTTCAGCTTTTTGGTGTTTAGTCCTTCAGTGTGCCGGTCATTTTGTGGTTGCTTTGGCTCTATGAAACTCAGAGGCCTGGAAAAGAATAAAGCAGATAAAACTTTGAATCTGAAAATGTTACAAGAATCAAAAAGGCTCCTACTGATGTTTTTGGTTAGCACAAACCCCAAAAAAGACAAAACGAGGAAGTTGAGCCTGAACGGACCAGGAGAGTCCAAATGAACTCCCTTTCTTCTTGAGTAAAGCCATCCTGGGAGGGAGTTTGGGATTATCCTTGAGCACCAGTTTATGCAAAGGTGTTCAATGCTCAATATGCCAGATTTCGGGGGAACGTGAGACAGAAATCCAAATAATGTTTGTAGCTCCTGAACTGTAAATCTGAATGCACTGACTCTCTTCCCTCCCTCAGGTTTACAGGAAAGCCGTGGCTCAGGTGAGTCAGGGTCTGATACGGAGGCTGACGGTGCTCAGTCAGTATGAGGAGGCGCTGGTTAAGATCAATTCTACAGCGGCTGAGAGACTGTCGGCTCTGAAGGCGAAGCCTCAGGCGGCCATCCAGAGGGATATGCTGTCCATCTGCAACGACCCATTCACTGTCGCCCAGCAGCTCACACACATCGAGCTGGTGAGAGAACTGATCATCTTAAACTCTAAATATCAGATTTTTTAGGTTCTCTTCATGGCAAAGACGGCTTCCATTAATGCACTGAAACCTTACAGATAAAGAAAAAACTAAGACTTCCCATCAATCTTTAGTTTCAACAGGTCAAACCAAATCAGGATGTCAAAGTCTCAGACCAATCAGAGTCAGTGCTGAGGACAAACGAATAAATCAATGAGGAGAACATGTGAGAGGAGGAGGAGCTGACACTTTTGATTGATGAGAAATCATCATGGTGGTTGAACCAAGCGTCCCGGCTCCTCTCACGTTTGACTGACCGCAGCATCAATTTGAAACGGCAGAGTCTGACCACAGATTTATTTTTATTACACCTTGGTCCGCTTCAGAGAAAAGAATCAGCCGGACATGTCATATCTAGAGCTGAGGTTTGGTTCAGACAAAATCTGAAAGAAGGACATTAAAGATGCACTCTTTATCTAGTATGTTAAAAAAGCTGTCAAAATATTTCTGTGCCAATGCAACTTCTTCTTTATTCAGGTAAATGGGGTCAAATCACCTGAAATATAAGAGTCCTTCAGTATCCATGCTGTCTGGACAATATTTTCACAGAGAAGTCAGGAGTTATTTTGTTAAATGTGATGAAGACGCAGCAAAGACTAGAAATATCAGACACAGTTTCAGGGCCTTCATCAATAATTCTGCTTTAATCAATCAATTCACCTTTTGGTAGACTCAATATTTTTATACTAAAGGGGAACAAAAGCTTTTTATCATTTTTTATTAATCATAACAAATGAAGTCAATCATACAAACAGGAACCGTATGTCCAAGTTTCCTGCAAAGTTTTGAATTTTTGTCATTTCCACTATCAGACAAAGTCCAAGACCCCCAAATCATCAGCTCAGTGATATTCAAACTGTTGATTTCAGTCATTTCTGAGGTTTGATTTGGCTGCAAAAGGTTGATAAGCTTCCTCTCTCTTCTCCCAGGAAAGACTGAGTTACATCGGACCTGAAGAATTCGTCCAGGCCTTCGTCCAGAAAGACCCTCTGGACAACGATATGGTAACGTCTGCAGAGGGGGGTGTTATGTAACCTAGTTTTGGCTGCAGTCCTGCCTGAAGACCTGATTAGTCTGGCTCTGGTTTGGTCAGGAGTGAGACAGCCCAGTTTCTGCTGCAGTTTACACAACACGCAGACACACACAGACCAACCTGCTGCTGCAACTGGGTCAGAGCGAGGGCAGGTTAGCTGCTGCAGACTGAGTCAGGAGATAATAGATGCACACAAACGCACAGACACCACATCACACACACACACACACACACACACACACACACACACACACACACACACACACACACACACACACACAATTTCCTAAGATCATCCCACTGTCTGGATAAGATGTACAGACAGACACACACAGTCACACACACCACCTCTCTTAGCAACTGCTGCAGCAAGTGTTTGTTTTGGAAAGGGTGTGTGTGTGTGTGTGTGTGTGTGTGTGTGTGTGTGTTTCACTTTTCTGGCATCGGCTGCTGGGCAACAACCCCTTTTTCTTGGAGCTGCTGTGAGTGGGGGGTTAATGCTGCCTTTGTGCCTCAGGCTGGATGACTGCAAACCCCTAAAGAGCCCAGAAGAGAGGAGAATAATTGAGTGTGTGTGTTTGTGCAGGAGTGTGTGTGCATGCTTTCTGTGCCTTTGTGTAGGTCCTGGGCAAGTGTGGGTACAGGTTAACCCTTTAAATGCAGCCCACCGACAGGTGCAGAGGAGAGAGGGGATCTTTTCTCCTGTTTTCCATCAGTGAAGTCAAACCCAACATCTCTGCAGCTGAAGAATTCTGCTTTTCTCCACTCTCTTGTTTTAAACCATCTCAAATACAAACTACATGAGCTGAACCATGATTTAAAAACTAAAATAACTTGGAGGTTGTGTAGATTTAAGAGAAAGGAACCATACTGAAAATACTTTTTTTTTTTTTTTTTAATGGCGTACAGGTTCAACAAATTTTAAAGATATTAATGCATACTCCTGCAAGTTTGTGCAACTGCTGTTGTATGGCATTGTTTTTTTTGCTTGTTTTATTCTTGTTTTTCCTTGTTTTTGACAGACTCACAATGCTGTCATCAATGATTAAAGCTGGTGGACCGATGTAGCCTCTCAGCTCAGCTTGTAGGGACTCTAAGAATATAAAGCTTTATAAACACTCCAAGAAAAGAAATCAGAATGAGTCAGAGTAACCCTGTAAGTTCTGGCAAGTTCTCTTCTGCAGTTCCGAGTGAAACTGTTCACCGGTGGGAGATCCTACAGGCTGTGTGGGCTGTGGGTCTGTGGGGGTGTCGGTGTCGTAATGCAAAAGGAATGTGTGGAATCCGATCAACAGTCCCCACAAAGAGGCAGCGTGCAAAATGCAAATAGGACCTCCTCTATTCTGCTCCTGGTCTGAGAGTGAAGCTGAGCATGATCTCCTCCTCAGCCGCATCTTATTTATTCTGCTCAGTCAGGCATCCATGAGGGGGATAGAAGAAGAAAAAATCCCACGTATTTTCCAGCTCAGCACAGTTTCTGCTCTGCAGTGATCAGATGCTTTTATTAAAATCTGTCCCTGTCCTTGTTGATGTTTCAGAGCTGCTTCAGTGATCACAAGAGGGCCAGCAACCTGGAGGCTTATGTGGAGTGGTTCAACAGACTCAGTTATCTGGTGGCCACAGAAATCTGCATGGTGAGTGGAACTGAGAAAGAAACCTTGATGAGGAGAATGAAACAGAGCTCAGCGCTCTGTCTTTGGTTTGACTGATCCAAACACAGCTAAAACTTTGGCAGGTGACTTTTCCTGATTAAGAAGGTCTTTATTAGATTTAAAGTGAGCCACATCTTACCTGACAGGAGCTCCCCTTATTTCAAGATGTTACTAGCAAAAATAAAAGACCTTAATTTGTTTTAACGAGTAAAAAAAATCTGACAGTGGAGTCAGAAAACCTGAGAATAGTGTCTTCATTCAGGAAACCTAACGTGTTCTGGTCTTGCCTCACAGGCTGATTGTTTCGCTCCCAATGAGACAAAAACACTCGCTGAGGTTTGAGTTTTTAAAATACCACAAAAAATCAGCTCAAACAAAACACTGAAGATTCATCTGCAGAGTCAATAATCTTTACATAAAGATAGACTGTCTTCACTGAACTGGACTCTGTCACCTTTGGACTGTCACTGTGTAGAATGAGTCAATGCTTACCTGTCTGCAGTTGTGTGTCCATATTGACTTCATTCAGTTCTTCGGAAACTTTCAGGTGCATAAGTCAAGGCTGCAGGTTTACCAGACATGTAAAACAAAGTTGAAGTCTAAGTGCCTGAAAGAGTTGAACACAAGCTGAAGGCTAATCAGGATGTTTTCTTTCTTTCTTTTTCTTTTACAAACAGCCGATGAAGAAGAAGCATCGAGCTCGAGTCATTGAGTTCTTCATCGACGTGGCTCGTGAGTGCTTCAACATCGGCAACTTCAACTCCCTCATGGCCATCATATGTGAGTTACTTTAGCTGTCTGTCTCAATAGTGTATTAAAAAAAGGAAAAGTTCTCAGGGCTTGAACAGATTGTTTCCAGAAAGTAGATTTTTACTCCGGGAGGAACGTTCAGTTTGTGATAACAGAACACTTTCTGTTGATCTCCAGCTCCGCCTCTGAAATGGTTGTGATCAGCTGATTTGTGTGTCTGTCTCATTTTCTTCCCTCAGCTTGTTTTCCTCCGTGAACTTTTCTCTGTCGATCATTTGTAAATCAGATCAGTGCAGTGAATTCAGTTCCTTGTTGAGGGAGAATTTCACGCAGCGTTGTAATCTTTCCCCTGGCGGATGGAACCTCTTCTGACTTTGTGGCAGCTCGTGTCAGCCTTACATAATGTGCCTCAGTGAGCCAGCAGCTGATCATCAGGAGAGCCTTTAGTTAGAGGACGGAAACACCCAGAGTGACATTTGTCTGCACGACTGAAAGGTCCAAACACTCAGAGAGTAGCTGCAAAGGATCATGGGCACTGCAGAAAACCCCTTGGTCATATGACAGAAGCACAGTGGTACACCAGGCCAACATGTCCTCTACCTCTACAGAAGACATCAACCTGCATGTTAGGGAGAGGAGCAGAGAGAGCAGGTGTGTGAGTTAGTGGACCATCATCAGCAGTTCAGGGGATCCCAGAAACATCTCAGTGTTCGCAAGACATCTGGTCATCTCCACAAACCTGGGTGGGGTGGGGGTACAAACTATGAGGCAGATGGTCAGCACTGACCAGAGAGAAGGAGGAAGAGAGAGAGAGAGGGGAGGATGCTGGTGTGCCGGCTGTTCTCAGGGAGAGAGAGAAACGCTGGGGGCACATCCCCTCCACTCCTCCTCCATCCCTGTCTCCAGGGAAACCTGCGTTTGTGTGTTTTAGTGCTTATTGAATCCTCATTACCAAATGCAAACATTATTCTCTGTGAGGAAGAAACCAGAAAGTGAAGCCTGAAACCAGACCAGAAAGGTGATTTTCTATTTTATTTGACAGCTTTGGAGTTTTTCCTGAACCAGATCTAATCCTTACGAGAAAGCAAAGGGGCCCCAGAAATCTGGATTATAGCAGAAATAAAAGACTTTTTTTTTTATTACTGCACTTGCAGCTCATTTTAACTCTGAGTTTGAAGGGTGCTCTGTGAAGATGAAACAGCTCAGATCAGAGACTGAAAAAGGTAACAGCTTATTTCATCACTATTTCACCAGCTCATGAAGATCCAGAACTCTTTTTTTAAGGGTGACCTGGTTAGAAGGTCACCCTTAAAAGCCAAACTGTCTCCTAAGAGGAAGACGAAGTCAGAGAGGATGAGGAAGACGAGGAGAGGGCAGGATGAGGAGAAAACTAGTTTGAGTGGTTAATGGGGGGTTTCTATTTCTGTGACTCTGAGCTCTTTTGTCCACTGCAGGGATGTTTTGTGTCGTCACTCTGCTCTGATAGTGACCCCTCTGTGTCTGAACCCACACACACACACACACACACACACACACACACACACACACACACAGGATTAGCATATGGGAAGCAGAGCTCTGGGAGGGGAAACGAGGCATGTGTTAACTCCTTTGTTTCGGCGGCCCTTTGCTTCACTGCATCACACGAAACAACAGAGAGAAAGAAAAGGGACGAGGGGGGAGGGTTTGTGTGTGGTGGGGGTGCCACCATGTGTCAGAGCCATGATGTTTAGGTGTCTTCTCGAACATCTGACATCTCTCTTTCTCTGTCTCCTGTTTGTCTTCGTCTCTCAGCTGGGATGAACATGAGTCCAGTCTCTCGGCTGAAAAAGACCTGGAGCAAAGTCAAGACGGCCAAGTTCGACATCTTAGAAGTGAGTTTGTGTGGAAACCAAAACATGTGTTTAAAAGTAGAACTCCATATAAGTTTATGTTCAATTTGGACCAACCACAGTGTTTTTTTTAACTCTGTTGTAATCCATTATCAATTTTAACTCAAAGCTGAACTCTTGCTGTTTGTGCAGAAGAAAGCTGAGGCGTCTGTCTTTGACATTTTCTCATTACATCATCACTTTGTTCCTACCTTTACTGCATCTTTTTGTTTTTGCACATCAGCTGTGGGAGTTTGTGCAACTCAGAGTTGCAGTAGGCGGCTGCAGTCTTGCAGCAGGAGATCACAGTTTACATAATCCTGTTTAGAAAGATATAAACCAAAAGCTGTAACAGTGAAAGCAGAAACACCAGGACTCCCAGTATTTAGCTGCTGCAAATTCAAGGTCTATGAAGCTTTTGAAGGCTTTGAAACCATAATGACTGCTCTTGTGTTTGTTTGCAGACTTTCAAAAACTTCAACATTTGTAGAATTGAAATGATTTCTGTGGTATTCACAAGTTTTTCTCAGATTACACACCTCAGTTAGTTCAGCAGTTTTGACCTTTTGGGTTCAGAGTCCTTGAGTGAGACAGGTTTTTATGATGGTTACTCTACAGACAAATACAAAGAAACGTAGACTCGGACAGATACAGTGAAACTGGGAACCACTGGAGACACAAACAATCGTGCTGAGACTCAGTGGGGACAGATCCAGGGGATGAGGCTGGAGATTTAGGGTCTGAAAGCCAAAGAACGTGGAGAACTCACTGCGCTTTATGTTTGAAAATGTTTATGTTTATGTCATCCAGTTAGAAAGCTGAAATCCACCACCACGGTCTTTACACCTGCATTTATCCAGAGTGCATCCTCAGAGCCCAGCAGACTTTCAGTTACTCTTTGATGCAGCAGATCTGGGCTGCAGATGAGTGGAGCTGGGAGTCTCTGAGAGCTTTTCAGTTCTTCTTCAGTGGAGACCCCCTCTGTGTCCTCCTCTGTTTGATCTCCTACCTGAGAGTTTTATTTGAGGAGAGTCTGAGCTTGAACCTTCTCTCCTCAGAGGTTAATTTTCAAAAACTTGTAATCTTTCATCCTCATTTCTGCATCACATGACCTCACAGGAGGATGTGGTAAGGTTGGAGTAACTGCCCCACTGCTATCTCAAACTTCTATCTGTGACTTTGCTTCATTTTTTTAAGCTTTAAGTTTTTAAATACAGGAACCGTTTGTGAATTTCAGCTCCTCTCCTCTGTGATTGATCTGTTTTCATCAGATGTAGCCCTTATTCGAGCTAACCACTATCTCTTCCTCTCCACAGCATCAGATGGATCCTTCCAGCAACTTCTACAACTACAGGACGGCCCTGAGAGGTGCCACGCAGAGATCCATCACCGCCAACAGCAGCAGAGAGAAGGTGAGTTCTCAGCACACCTCGTACTCTCCCTCTGCTTTCTTGAATATATCACCTTTGATTCTGCAGAGCTCAGCTCCTCTCTGAACGCTCTCTGCTGGGCAGGAGGGAGAAAACCCAAACCTCATGCTGATGTTTAAAGCATGAAGGGAAATTGGGTCAAGATGAAGAGGCCTAGATTACAAATCAAACACTTTCGTTCTACTACAGACCAGGCAGCAGCAGCAGCAGTGTTTACTCCAGCTATCCTCTGCACTAAGTCAACACAGGCTGCTCTGTCATGACAAACATGCTGTCTCCTTCACTCAGGCCTGAAACTCACAACCATCTAATCTGCTTCTAAGACTGTCGAGAGACCACATAAAGGAGGAAGGATGACGTGCACCACTTCATCTGAGGAGTTAAATCAACTACTGATGAATCCAGAACTTCTGCCATACTCAGGGTCAGGGTCGGGGTGTGCAGGGGGGCTGCTCTTATTGGCTGGCTAAATTTAGCCTTTTGAAAGTGTAGATGGATGCAGAGGCAGAAAAACACCAAAACATGGCGAGCGCTCCAGGAGAACCTGCAGGAGAAGTGGTAGTACCTAAAGAGCTGCTGATGTTGAGTCATAAACTGTCCGTTTGTTTTCAGTCTGTGTCAAAGTACCTGTAGATTTGTATCGACCCTTGCGGTGGTTAGCAGAAACACACACACAGATGCAGCACCTGCATACTGGTGTTCAAAAGCAGCCTCTGTTTTCTTTGGTTCTACAGTTCTCGGCTACAGTGTCGATCCTTCTGTTGGTTTCTGCTCCCCAAAACAGAGCAGTTAGCTGTTAGTCTGCCTCAAACCTTTGACTTTTTGACATTGCAACACCGGAGCAAACCCAGAGGAGTGAAGGAGGACATGGTGCTGCTTGAGGAGTTGGATTGGTTTTATGTGCATACCAACACAAATCCCCCCTGTTGTTGCATCATCACAGGAAAGGTAGAAGCTCTGGTTCCCCAGCAGATGGTCTGCAGAAACAATTCAGAGGTCTATTTATTTATCAGCTAGAGGAAGGCCACATTTTTTGTGCATGGGTGAGGACTGTGGAGACCTTGAAAAATATGTTTTTCTGTCTCTTTTTCATTTTTTTTGCCTTGCACAGACTCAGTTGCAAAACATTTATAGAAAAACAAAAGTTAGAAAAGCTGTGCTCTAGATTCTGGCTGATGTTTTACATATTTGGCTAAAAGTCACTGAAGATAAATAATCTCTGGGCTGTGTTTTATTCCAAACTTTCAGCAGCTGCTGTAGAAACCAAGAGTGACCGATGAGTTTAAGATGAAACCTCCTGACCGCTCTGACCACAGTGTGTGAGAGGGAGTTCAGATTATTATCACGCTGCATCTTTGCATGTTCTGCAACGTGAACATGAGGGACAGGAAGTCAGAGCTGAAAAACAAACCATGGCCTGGCCTCTTGCTGTTCTTATCGTGTTTACAGCAGAAAACAGAAGCGGACAGGAGGGGGGAGGTTACATAACAGAGGCACTCAGAGGTCGAGCTATAAGTGGGTCAAGATGGGAGGAGGGGTCTTAGCCCCTTCTTCATCAAACAAGAGGAAAACAACATGACTGCCTGCCAGATCACATCGTGTTCCTGCTCTGGAGGAGCTCGTGGTCAGCCACACGTCATCAGTTAGCCTCTCCCAGTGCACCACATATTGGATCCGAGTGTTTATCATAAACAGAGGGGAGTGTCAGTGAGAGTGACTCCCTGAGGTTTGAGAGGGAGGCCCCATGGAGCAGAAACAACAGCATGTCAAAAACACAAAGTTCCCAAGAAGTCTGGCATGTCGTCGCCCTCCTGACCTCCTCTTCTTCATCTTCTTCTGGGGAGAAACGGGAGGGGCAGGGCTGTTTACAATTTCCCTGAGAAATCCTCAGAGCTTCAGAAGATCAGAACAGATTCTGATCTGCTCTTGCCTGTGCAGATGCAGCAGTTTTCTGCAGCTTTGAAAAGATTTTAACAGTTTTTCTGACAGAAGAGGGGCTCATGGTATCACATCCAAAAATATCCCTCCTGTTTATGACTATATCTACAGTTTTCTAATCAAACTAACGCAGATCTGGGTTATGATCTGAAGATTGATAAAAAGTTAACACCATCTGAGACTCTGATCATCAAAATCAACATGTTTACACCAAGAGAAATGTAAATCCTTTATTTTCTTACTGATGATGATCAAACCCAAAAAGCTGCAAGATTCTGTTGAGTAGATCTAGATCAGGGGTCGGCAACCCGCGGCTCTGGAGCCGCATGCGGCTCTTTCTTCCCTAAGCTGCGGCTCCCAATGGATTTGGAAAATAAATAATAAATACTTAATTAAATTTTATTTTATTTTATTTTATTTTTTTTTTGTAATTCTAAATTAAAAGATTATAATGCTCTTGTAACATTAAATAAACTATGTTAATTTTTTTTATCTACTTTCTTATCTGAGACTATTGTTTGGCTCTGCCAGAGATTCACAGTGATGTGAATGCTGAAATACTCAGAAATGCAATTTTGCACTAATATTACATCCTGTATTATGTCCTGTGGCATCAGGAAAATGATATATGAACATGTAGACAACAAGAATAACATGATTTTCATTGAAGTGGGTCTTCAAGGTTATTTCTAACTATTTTAGATATTTTTATTTGCCTGCAGAAATAACATTTATTTTTCTCTGCAGCAGTTCATTTATTTCATAAATGCAACTCGCTACAGTTTTTTTATATACTTTGTATAAAGGTAAAAAAAAAAAAAAGATATATGCAATGTTATCTTCATTTTAGATGTCAAAGAGGTTTTGTGGCTCCCTGTGTTTTCTTTTCTGTGGGAAACTGGTCCAAGTGGCTCTTTGAGTGTTTAAGGTTGCCGACCCCTGATCTAGATGAATAGAAACGGGTGTCCTCCAACCATCAAACCTCACAAAGGTCCGGCTTTAGAAAGCTTCTTTGTTTCATCTTTTGCTGTAAACTCATCGTCCTGCATACCCAGATGTTTGGAGTCATGCACATGTCCATCCTGCTCTGATTGCATCGTATGCAGACTGTCTTACTTTCAGCATGGCTTCACCTGTGGTCACCTGCACCCAGATTCAGCAGAAGGTCAAGGAGGAGGAGGAGGAGTTTCACCTGCAGAGGTTTAGAGTCACAAAGATGTCTGACTGTCGACTCTTGTGGGGAGCTTGTTTTATTGAAGAGCAGCCTCTGAATCAAACACTTTTCTGTTGTGTTGAGTAAAATATTCAGATGGTTGTCTGCTCAGTCTTTGCTCTTCAGACTTCTAGGGGCTCCTCTAGCATGAATGTTTGCTGTTCTGTGGTGTCAGGGCTGTCAGGAGAGAGGTGACACTCTTTTAGGTCACTGTCAGATTGCAGAGATCTGCAGAAACAGGAACAAAAGTAGATTGTATTTATCAGAGAGAGACAGCAGCAGGAGGGTTTGATTTCCATGACCCTCAGCTTTACCTCCTATTTAACTGAGTAAACCACCCTGAAACAGTCTGGTTCCTGGTCTTGCTCTCTGTCTACATTAGTTAATACAGACATGCAGTGACCTGGATTTTGGTGTCTGGTTGGTGTGATGAATTATTCAGGGGACTTTAATGGGGAGTTCATCTTCTATGGAAAACCCATATTTTCATTTCTGTCTTCTTCAGAGCTGTTATTTGTGAGCTGTTATTTTAGGTGCTTGGATGTTATCTTTAAAGTCAGAGAGAGAGAGATGCAGATGCTCTTTTCTCTGGAACTGATGTTACAGAAACAAAAGGTCCTCCTTTTCCTCTGAACCCTTGCTCACAGAGACCGTACACAGGTCTGTCTGTCTGTCTGTCATGGAGAAACCCCTCACTCCTCCTAATCCCTCTCTTCCTGTCCTCTTTCAGATCGTCATCCCTTTCTTCAGCCTACTCATAAAGGATATCTACTTCCTTAACGAAGGCTGTGTCAACCGGCTGCAGAACGGACTCATCAACTTTGAGGTATGAGGGAGTTTCCATGGCAACAGACGACTCCAAATCTGAATGGTTTTATCAGAAAGTGTGGCTGTATTTACTAATCATAGCAACAGATTCAGAGCTTTTTATTTCCACTTCCCTAAAGGGGTGAAGTCAGGCAAAAGAGTGAACAGACACACTGACCGCTGACCCTCACACTCATGGTATTTCCACTGATCTCTGCCCACAGTAACCGTGAATCAGACTCTATTTTTAGGACTGAGTCTGTCATGGGAGCCTCTGCTGGCTGCTTTTCTGTCCCACCCTGTTAGGAGTTTGATAAACACATCAGAACAGCTGATTATTACATAATTTAAAGACATTAGCTCACTTTGTCTTTAGAGGTCTTTTACCTTCATCAGAAGTCTTTAGATATGAAGTCTGACCTGTGTTATGTGGCTTTGGTCTATTTCAGAAATTCTGGGAGCTGGCCAAACAAGTGAGCGAGTTCATGACGTGGAAGAAAGTGGAGTGTCCGTTTGAGAAGGACCGTAAAATCCTGCAGTACCTGTTAACGGCACCGGTGTTCACTGAAGATGGTATGTTCAGCACTGAATCCATTAAGAGATTAACTACGAAGGATGTTTGTGCAAAAATCCAACTGATATTTCTTAGAATTTTGCAGGAGCTCTGTCTTTGAAACTTTCCTAATAAGTCCTTTGTTGTGAAGTTTTCCATGTGTGATGAGCTGAAGGGAGGCTCTGAAGGCTCTCTCTTAAAGCCGATGTAATATTTAAATATATTGACTAACTGCTCTGTTTTCTGCAGTTCTATGAGTCTGAGGTTGATCTTATATTCAGTTTTAAATGATCTGCTTCAATAATGTAATCAATACCTCTATTATCTTTGTCTCAGTCCCCTCAAAGACTCATTAACACCAGATCAATATGCCATTAGGTTTTCAGTGACGCTAATGGAGTGCCTCAGTAACACATACCCAATGAGAGAGAGTCATATCAAGAATACCATGATTCCTTAAGGGTCAGAGCAGCTCCTAGAGTTATTACTACACATTTATTTTTAATTGAGTTAGTTTATGAACCAACATTTGTGGCAGTATGAATGCATGCGTCAATGTAAATAAGCCAGAATTAGCCCAGTTTATCACAGTTTGTGTGTATTAAGTTCACAGAAAATTGCCATTTCTATTCAAACCCTGTAAATAGAACTGATGATGAGTTTCTGGTTTCCTGCAGCGCTGTATCTGGCATCATATGACAGCGAAGGTCCTGAGAACAACATGGAGAAGGACAGATGGAAGTCTCTGAGGTGTGTATGAGCCCCATCTAAGACACACACACACACACACTAAGGGTTTTGCAGTCTTTCCATCATGGGTGTCACACTGTGTCCCCTCCTGCAAAATCAGAGGGATGTGGGTCACACACCAATGCTAACCTGCACTCTGGTCAATAAATGCATGAAACACACACACACACTAGAGCTCATCAGTCTTCTGGGTCACTCTGTCGCTGGCATGGATGCTCATAAAGGACATCACTCATTTTCACACAATGACACACACACACACTCCCTATTATCACAGCAGTCTGGATGTGTATCAGAGTGTGTGTATCTGTGTGTAGTCAGAAGATGGATGGAAGGAGCCTGTCTTAGATGGCTCTTATTTAATTCGTTAAAAAAGCCCCAGGATCTTACGGAGATTTTCTGACTGCAGAATCACACGCTGACTCTTCTCTGACACAATCTTTCTCTGAGACGTTTAATCCAAAGCACTGCTCTGCTGCAGAGTTTAAACTTCCTTCAGTTCAGGAATCAGGGAAAAGAAAGCAAAGAGAATTATGTGCAGGGTTTTTCCATTAAGATTAGCCGAGATACGATGCAGTACAATTGTACTTGATATTTGATAGGAGCAGCAAGATGGCTCAATTGCGGGAAGACAGGATACGATACTATACGATTAGATTAGATTAGAGGTGACACCGTTGGATACATGATTCATTTTGTTTTATTATGTTACCGCATTATTTGATCTAACACAAGACATTACAATATGATTTTATATGATATAAACTGATCTATTAAGGTTTGACACAACACAGCAGGATACAGTATATTCTGATACAATACAGTATGTTGAGATTTGGTACAGTATGATTCGATATGATCTGTCATATGATACCTTATGTTCAAAAAGATTCAATACAACAGTTACATTTTAATATCAAACAACATCTAAGCATGATGTATGTAATTTGATGGGATAGGAGTTGTTACAATAACATGATTATAATTATAATATTCTGTTATAATCAAATTCTGTATAATTTAGTACAATTTCGTGTTATATATTCTGTTCATAATTATATTCTATCTGTCGGTCTGTCTGTTCAGGTGTTATGATACAATGATATATGAAACTATAACAAACAGTAAATTTCTTTACAGTTTGATGTGACACACTTGCTCACATGCATCTATAATAAACCAAATGAATAGAAAAATATTACAAACCAACAATAACCTACATACAATCTATCTCATGAATGATAAACACAGAGGCAGTATGTTTAATAACTGAGAGCTGACAGTCTTTCCGGAGGCAGTTAAATCTGTACATGTGAACACATGAGTCAGAGCTGCTGGCATAGTCCGGGGTGAGAGCAGGTTTTAAACCTGGAGCTCTGAGAGAGTTTGGTTAACTGTGTGTGCGTGTGTGGTCCCATTTTCACATCCTGTGCCAAACTGCCCTGCATCCCCCCTGAGCTTTGCCTCCACTGCGACACGATCTGTCACTTTATTCCAGCCAAGCCGTGTCAGCAGAACGTGCTGCTCAACACTGCAGTCACTGTCTGTCTGCACACTCACACACACACACACTGACATTGCTGGAGGTGCTCTGCAGATCATCTGTTGCTGCAGCTCAGATTCTGCTTTAAATATGTGAAAAAGACCAAAATAGTCTCTCAAAAACACGTTATAAAGCAGGTTTATCAGATTTGTATATGCTGATAAAGGTTTTTTTGCTGGTTTTGAAATAAGACTTCTGTATACAGTTTTCTTAGTCGCTTTGGTGCATTTCTCACATAACTATCAACATTTGCTCAACAATAAGTGCATTTCTCAAAACACCATTGTCAAAAAGAGTCAGATTTTGGTGAGACAACCTGAAAAATGCTAACAGATCACAATGAGGATTGTGCAGCTGCAGTGTAGAAAATATCTTCATCTATCTTATTTAACAGCTCTTTTCCTCTCCACAGATCCACTCTGCTAAGCAGGGTCTAAACCTATAATCTGAAGAACAAAGACCAACAAGCGAGCCGCCTCTGGTCAACGCCACTGTTGCCCAAACCCAGTCGGGGGGAAAAATGACAATCTGTACATGTCCTGGCGAGGATGTTCTCTGACCTTCCCGCTTCAGATTTCTATCAGTCTCTACTTTCCCCGACCCCTCCTACTCTTTGTGCTGTGTATTTCAGAACAGCTGTTTTTCACCTCTTTGTATGACTTTGTAAGCTTTTTTTAAACACACAAACCTTCAAAATAAAAGCACAGGGAGCCCACGCTGGGCCTGATGTCCCCTGGCTAGTTCTTTTCTCTGAAGCTAAACGGTTAGCCGCTGGTTGGCTAGCTACAAAGAAACTCTACTCTGGCTGGTTCCATTAGTCGGCACCCTTTGTATGGAGATGTCAGACTTGACCTGCAACACTGTTGATGAGTAAGCTAGACTTCATGTGTACTTTGATTTCCTCCTTCTGTTTGAGTGTTTGTCTGACCATGGGCCTATTCTACAAAGCAAATTCGACCTAGCTCAACTTAGCGTGGTAGCCAGCGGTCTCACTAAACCAGGGGTCAGCAACCCGCGGCTCTGGAGCCGCATGCGGCTCTTTCTTCCCTAAGCTGCGGCTCCCAATGGATTTGGAAAATAAATAATAAATTTTTTTTTTGTAATTCTAAATTCAAAGATTATAATGCTCTTGTAACATTAAATAAACTATTAAGGCTGCAACAACGAATCGATTAAGTAGATTCGTCGTGACGAAAAAATCCGTTGCCAATAAATTCTGTAATCGATTCATCGGGTCTTTATATATGTCCATGGACACCGGCGTGTAAACATCAGCAGGACGCACAGAAAAGAAACAGCCATGGCCGAGGCAGTGGCTGAGAAAACCATGGACACAACCCAACCCAAATCCCGACCTAAAACATCAGTGGTGTGGGAAAACTTCACCAAGACTGAAAAGGAAGGCGTTCAGTGCAACATTTGCAAAGACCGTTTTGCATGGCTCGGGAGTACATCGATGATGCGTGAGCACAGGGCTCTCAAGTCTCACGCATTCAGCGTATGACACACGCATTCCCACTCGTTCACACGCTCACACACCACACATTGTATTTCTCACGCATTTAAATGAACACGGTGATGTCCACCAAGTTGCACTTCTTCAACTATTGAACTGGGGGAAATCAACTGAGTTCCTCCGAGAGTTCAGAAGCTGCGTGCCACGCACAAGCCAATCAAATAAAGTAGATCTACTGAACAGCCAATCAAAAAGCAGCATTGCTGTATCCGGGTAGATTTTGATATCTTGCGGTTTAACTACAGAAGAAGACAGACACTCGCCGAAATAGTTCATTTATTTCATAAATGCAACTCGCTACAGTTTTTTATATACTTTGTATAAAGGTAAAAAAAAAAAGATATATGCAATGTTATCTTCATTTTAGATGTCGAAGAGGTTTTGCGGCTCCATGTGTTTTCTTTTCTGTGGGAAACTGGTCCAAGTGGCTCTTTGAGTGTTTAAGGTTGCCGACCCCTGCACTAAACGGTCTTACGACGCTGGTTATCAACCTCGTAAGTGGATCCAGCTTTGCTATGAGCGCGTGCACGCATGTAAGGCGGAGCCCACCGCATCTGACCAATCGCGAACATGGACCAGTCTGGAGCGTCAGAGCAGGCCGGAGAGCGAAGGACCGCGTACTTTACAAACGAGGAGCAGGAGACGATCATGAGAAAGTATGGAGAATTCAAATCTATCATAAACCTCAAAAGCAACACCGTCGCCGCTGCAAAAGCACGGAAGGAATGCTGGCAGAAAATTTCAGACAGTCTCAATGCCTAAACATAGTGCGCAAAAAATCTTTGATGCCATTATCACCCTGAAATAGCACTGTTCAACATGCGCTTTTAACATGCACCAGACATGTCTAATTCATTTCCAAGATGAATTCATTCATTTGTTCATTCCTATCGTGTTTACATTTTTTGTGTGATATGTAGGCCGTATGAGTGTTTCACAAAGGTGGTCATCCGGAAAAGTACGTGAAAATCCACGCGCGCACCAGAGTGCCCCTCGGACAATGCAAGCACTGAGGTCTATAGGATCCTCCAAGAACAGACAAGCCGTTTTTCGAGAGAGCTCATTGGTCAGTGGGCGGGGTTTTTATACTCTGTGAGTTCAATCTGGAACCTAACCTGCCACAGAGCAGGTTAGCCGTTCAGTGTACGTTGCTATGGAGACTCACCTCGCTAAGATATGAACCCGCGTCGTACAACATGAAACCCCGAACTTACCCTCGAAGTTACCTCGCTAAGCAGTAATCCTGCTTCGTAGAACAGGCCCCATGTTTCTGTAGGGTTTGTTTGTGGTGACATGCCGAAAGTGCACTGGCTGCATTTTTTTTTTTTTTTTTGAAAGCCAATCTCAGTTTTGATTTGTATAAAGTTTAGTAATTTTTTTTCTGCAGGAAGCAGCACTGGCCTGGTTTATCTTGGACACTCTGCAGTTTTCATTAAAATCACAAAGCAGCTATTTTTTTTTTCTTTTTTCTTTCTGTTATGTAACATCCAGAAAGTGAAGCTCTCATAGTATAAACAAATGAAATGTTGTCAGGTTCTTTGGAAACCTTAAAATCTGCATATTTGAGCTTCCCAGCATAAATAAGAGGATCAGCTGTTGTGTGACAGTAAAGATGTCTTTTTGGCTTCAGTTGCTTCACCTTAAGATTTTAAACATTAAACCTTAAGTCTCGTTTTCAACCCTGAAGCGCACTGAGGTCTGTGTCGGTGAGCATTCGTTGAAGGTGTACTTCATGTTTCCTGATAATCAGTGTTACTCTCTGCTGCTGTAGGATAAACCAGGCAGTGGGTCCGTGTTCACCATCTCCTTTCTGTTTCTCTCTTTTTGTTAAAAAGTGTTGCTGCTTGTGCTGCCCCCTAGTGGTTCAATGTGAAAAGTGAATGGTTTTTGTGTGGTTGAAAAGGTGAATTGAGGATCTCTGTTACAGCCCTGCATATGCTAAGTAATCTCATTTATGTGTTTTTATTTTCATATTATTGAGGTTTTTCCATGTTTGTTCTATTTATGAATATATTTGTGTAGTCATATTACGTCCTGATGCCAATTTGTACTTGATTTGATGCTTATTTAATTTTGTACTAGGTACATATCATGCTCCAGTAGTTGAACTGTTATTTTGATGAGAGTTTGTGTAAGACACTTGTTTCCCAAGGTTCCTGCTCAGAGTTTGAAGTTAATCTGTTTGACTGACGTCTGCTTGGCCTTGACCTTCCTCCACACTGAGTGCTTTTGTGATTGATGGTGTATAAACTGTAAGTTTCTGTTTTCCTCCCTGTGTTCTTTCATTTGTATCTGGACTGTTCAAATGGATTGGAGGAGCTGTTTATAAAAGAATTAGTTGTGTTTGAGAGATAAAGTTAATAAAAGATGGTTTAAAAGTATAACATGTTTTGGTGTTATTGTTTATTTTCGATGTATGAAGGCCACATGTGAGACCAAATTTTCAATCAAGAGTTCCTCGACTGTTTGAGTTTCCTTTTTAAAGTTCAGCACTCAGGGAAAAAAATGAATGTTGAAAATCACTTTGTGAACATTAGCAAAAAGTCACTGATTACCACATCAGAAAATGTGCTGACTCATATTTCTTACAATATTTAACATCGTGTTATCCCTCTGCTGCTGGTGGAGAAAAGGTTTCTTATCATTAATATCACTAAAGTAGATCAGCTGTTTGAAATGTGAGTAACAGATATGGAGGATTTCAGATGATGAAAAAAAGCTGACATTAAACTGAACAGAAAAATATTTGCTGAGTGTCAAATGTGACAGAATGAGTGGATTTCATCATCTACAGAACATAATATCATTCAAAGATTCAGAGAATCTGGAGAAATCTCTGTACTTAAGGGACAAGGACCAAAACCAAGACTGGATGGTCCTGATCTTCAGGTCCTCAGGCAACAGTGCACTAAATACAGACCGGACTCTGGACTGGAAATCACTTCAAAAACCATTGTCTGTGAACACAGCTCATCACTGCCTCCACAAATGAGGTTGAAATTGAACCATAAGAAGAGGAAACCAGGATCCAGAAACACCTGAGACTTCTCTAGACCAAAGCCTGTTTAAGGTGGACTGAGGGGAAGAGGAAAACTGTCCTGTGGTCTAATGAATCAAATTCTGACATTCTTTGTGGAAATCATGTACCCTACACCCAAGACTTGTCTCTGCAGCCTCTGCCCAGCTAAGAAGGACTGAAGCAGGACTGGCAGTGTAAGCATGTGCTTCATATTCAGAGTCTATAGTCCTCATCATGATGTATTACAACAGCATGGCTCTGCAGAGGAAGAGTCCTGCTGCTGAACCGGCCTGTCTGCAGTCCTGACTTGACCCAGTCTTGCTTTGGTAAGTCATGACACTCCAAAAGTTTTCAATGGGGAAAAATATTTGACTGTCAGACTCCAGAACCTGGTCTGCTGAGTTTACTAAGGCCTACAGAGGGTTGATGAAAGAAGAGCTGAGGACACCTGTAACCAGATGCTGCTGATTATGTGCTTTATTATAGCGAAATACTAAAGTCATAGTTATTAATGAGCTCACTATGCAGAGAAAAGAGTGGACTCAGCCACTTTGGACTCCTTCAGTTTGAAGTATCGCAGATTGTTTCTGGATCATTAATAACCATAGTGTGCTGACTGCATCTATAAACAGAGATCAGGAGAGGTTGGAGTTAACAGAAGAACACATATTTAAAAAGCTGGACTCTAGAGTTTAATTTATGTTTCACTCAAAGTTCATCTTTCAATACATTCATATTTAGGGTAGAGACTGAATAAGTGATCTGATTGCTGCTGCTGATGGAGTCGAACGGCTGGGTGTATGCTAAAAATAAAAGTAGATATTTGATGCCACCAAGTGACTTACTGACAGTAATGCAGTTTGAGGTGTTTCCTGCTGAATTCAAAACCTGGTCTGGTGTTTTGTGAGAAGTCAGAAAGTTTGACGGACTAATAAAGTACGACAAAGAGCTTCAAAATAGATAAAGTTATGAAAAAGGTCATTTGTTCATCCAACACACTGACTGTAGTTCCAGGCACAGCCTCCAGGGGGTCTGATCATGTGATCTCCCTTTTTGTGACAAAGACTGACTTTTTTCAGGAAAAACTTTAATGACTGTCTGTAAAAAGTGAAGATACTTGTGGTCTAATAAAAGAGTGAGTGAGTTTACATACAAAAATAATTTTAATGTAGATCTATTAAAGACATCTCTTCAAGTATGATCCTGTTTGAGATCAGGCTCCTGACTGAACTAAGTCCTTGTAGGAGGGAGCCTGGATAACAGCATCTGTTAAAAGCCTTAAGAGCCGCATGTTTGCTCTCTGTGATCCTCTTAGGTCCAGGTTGAAGTGGCTGACCTGGATTATGTTTGTGGAGGTCTGAGTGCTGCAGATGAATCAGCTCTGGCCACCTGCCATCTTTGTTCTGTCAATGAAATGTGCTGCAGGCAGGATGCTCACACACACATACACCGCATGCACACACACACGCACACACACACAGTGTGGGAAAACCAATGGATTATCTCTAACAGTTAAAGTCTACAGCTTTGGGTCTGAGCTGCACCTCTACCTAAACTCAGAACTGTAGAACAACAGCATATCAAGACAAACGGAGCTTATTTGATCTTTCTTTGTCATCTTTGTCAGACTCTCTGATGTCTGCAGCGCTGAACAGTAACCACAGAAAAGTGACATCAGGCTCACAGTGGGGAGCTTCTACTGTTTCTGTTGTTCAGCTTTATTGCAGGTTTGAAGTCTTAGTCATGTTTACAGGTAAAGATTCTGTTACTTTTTTCTGATTCACTACCAACTGAAAAGACAACGAGGCAGCATTGACATTAAATCTGAGCTGACACTCTTAAGGCCTGTCAGTGTTTCTCATCATAATTAAGCTTGGACTGCACAAAAGTTCCCTTGAAGTGAAGACAACATTTATAGCGCCCTCTGCTGACTGGCTGTGGTATAGGTCATGAAGCCCACCTCCTCCATAGCAACAAATGGGACTGATGACGCTCATTTATGTGTTTATTTTTTTCTGACAGGTTTAGTTTTTGCTACATCTGCAGTAATTGTCCAAATAAATATCTTCTAATTTCCTGCAGCTGAGGTCGGGGAAACCTCAGTAGAAAAAAAGATACTGAAAAGAAAATCATACATTTGAAAGATGAAATGACTGAACATAGAAGAGTCACAAAGTGATGAAATTTAGGTACACAACCTCTGAAGTTCCAAAAAGGGATTCTTGTTATTCTGTGATCACGCTTTGATCTTTTGAGCATAAAGAACCTCAATGGCCTGTATTTAAATGTCCAAAAATAAACAAATAGATGTGTAAAAAAAAAAAAAGCGTTCACATTTTTAAATAACAGACAAGAGTCACAAATGAACAAGAATAACAACATACATCAGCGGACATAATCTCATAAGAATCACTGTTTATCAAATAAGAATAAACTATACTCGATAAAAACAAGATTAGAAATTCTAAGATTTAAGTTGTGAGTCTTTTATAGAGAATCACGTCATAATCTAAACGGAATTACGTAAATTTACTTGTTAGTGCAAGTGTTATTTAAATTAAGAAAATCAAAAACGTAAATTTACAAGAATAGAAATATTAATGAGGATTAAAGTCTCAAAATGACAACAACAAAGCTGTAAATCTATTAGGATAAGTTGGTAAACAAGGAAGAATAAAGTAACAGAATAAAGGTTTGTTTCACCAGAAAAAAAGAGAAAAAGAAAAAGAGGCATTTATGATGAAACTGACCGATTTTCTCAATAATTAACGGGTTTTGCTAAACAGTGACAACATGAATTCTGCACATTATCTCGTCTGTTTTAAACTTTTGAAGCCTTCCCGTTATTGTGGTCCCAGTCCTCTGCTCAAACTCTTATTCGTCACTATCAGAGATGATTTAATAGTTCTGGAATAAAAAACGTGAGCGCCGTACTGACTTAGATAACAGTCTGTAAGTTTAGCAAAGTATTGTTTTGCCTCGCACCTGATGATCCTTTAATGATGCAGCTGTGCGCGCTCCCGTGTGCACGAAGAGGAGAGAGAGCACGCGAGCAGGGGAGACAGAGGGAGGAGAGGATGTCATCAGCGATGTAGAGGAACAGTCTGTGTACGGATTCGCGAATGAGGAAACACGTTATTCCGTCTCTGACATCGTCTTCAGAGCTCATCTGAAGGCTGACAACCTGTACAGGTAAGAACCGACAAGACCCCTAACCGAACCAAATCAGGATTCAAACAAGCTCAGGAGAATGACGAGGCAGGTGAAGTTTCAGGTAGACGATGCTTATAGCAGAGGGTTTGGAAACTTAATCGAATCTGTTTTTAAAGGTGAATCAGGCTTTTCAAGTCAAAGTTATTTTGAGCTTCCTGTCTTTATATGTGAGCGGGTTCGAGCTTCAAATAGTAACAGGAATAAAGGGCCAGTCTACGCTTTTATCTGTGGAATCAGGTCTAATTTCCTGATACGAGTGTGAGAACAGTCTGTCAGCAGCACTGTGATGACTGAAGTCTACTGTATGTGTGAGTGGGCATAACTCCACAAAGGCAGGATTGTTCTCAAACATTTTTTACCCATGAGCGCTCTTACTATGAGGACAAAAACACGCTCAATCACAGATCAGATCATGAGCTCTATTCTTGTAGGTGCAAAAACACGATTTTATCATTGTACCTCCTCAGCAGAGTCTCCCCTTGTGCTCCTTGGACATTCCATCTTTGCATTTCGATAAATTGCTGTTTACATGAGTATCCTGGTCGTTGGTTTCCCCCCTTTGTGCCTTAGATAGGGAGTGACTGTTGCTGTAATGTAATACTTCCTGCCTTCTGAATAATAAATGGAGGAGACTCACTCATTGACCATTACTGATTACGTAACCTCACTTCTTCCTAAAACGGACCTTTTCCTGCTAAATGTTGGCGTCCTCTTGGAAAACCTCCCTCCTCATCTTGACTCTGAACATCTCTACTCTCTCCAGGTGTGAAGATGGGGAACGGCTCCATGAAATCAAAGCATTACAAGCACACAGACAGCCACAAAGACAATGGCTGTGGGTTCAAAAACCAGTCTGTGGACTCTCTCAGGGCACGGGTGGAAGAGCTGGAGCATGAGGGGAAGAGGAGGGAGGAGGAGCTGTGTGCTAAAGAGCAGCAGATCAAAGGTCTGCAGGAGCACCTGGCCAGGCAGACTCGAGTCCTGGCAGAGCTGAGTGAGGAGCTCCAGAATAAATGCATCCAGCTCAACAAGCTGCAGGATGTGATGAAGAACCAGAGCGGAGCCTCAGCTGCTGCAGCTCTTGTTTCCAGGCCGCCATCAGTGAGAACATGCGGGAAGAACAGCCCCAACCTTAGCATTCGCATCAAGGAAACCCTCAACAGGAGGAAAGGAGCCAAAGCTGGGGTGTCGGCCGAGCCCACTTCCAGGACCTACGACTCCAGCAGCCTGCCAAAGTTCTCCTTTGAGAACGTCCGAGTACCCAAGGATGCAAGGTGAGGGAAGTTCAAGAACATTATGGGGCAGAGGCCTGGCAAGACTTTCCATAGGAAAAAAACAAACAGAACTTGTTTTACAAGAACTTTTACACCAGTTTTTTTTTCAAGGTTAAGGTGCAACCATAGACTGTATGTAGAATGGATGCCGTCTGCCTCCTCGCGGGGTGAAGCCACTCCGAGAACAACACCCTCTGTTGATGGGCTGCAGTATAGGTCATAAATCCCGCCTCCGCCAGCAAAGCTTATGGGGCTGTGGACAAATTTTAGAAATTTATTACACAGAACATAAATTTTTCTCCCCCCTGCTTGCGATGCTAACATGTAGTTATTGTAAGACTGGTTTGTGCTCAAGTCCTCTTTTTTCTGTGAAGCTCCAGTTTTAAAAGTTATTAGGGGGTTCATGTTTGCTATGATTGACACCTGATACAGCCTATGGGCGTTCAGGGATTGAGTAGCTCTCCCGGGGGGATACACTGTTTGAGCCGAGCGTCATCACAGTGACTCTCTGCGACTGCGCGGCCGAATGCGCACAACGCTACTGCACAGCACTGGTTTCAGGAAATGAAGAAAAATCCCGGAAATACTGAGAGCTTTTTGGCTTCAAATCCGTATACAGGCGGTAGGCGGAACCAAGTTGTCCATAGTATATACAGTCTATGGGTGCAACCTATAACAATGAGGGCATGAGAAAAAGTTACTCAGTGGGTTTGATTATTATTAGAAGGATGAAACAAAACACAGAAGTACCAAAAACTGCAGTTCCTCCAGTGTCCACAGGGGGCTGTGACCTGCAGTGAGTCAGTCCCCATAGAGCTTAATGTTGTCCAACTTTGCAGCAGAGGTGGTTTTAAAAGGTCAGAGAGTAATGTCCTCCTTTTAAAAAAAACCCACAAAAAACAAGATTTTGGGCAGAAAGGAAAAAAAAAAGGGGGGTGTTTTCGAGTCAGTCAAACATTTGTTAAGATGGTGTCAAAAACACAATGGCCCTCATTTATCAAGCTTGCGTACGGCAGAAAACTTGCGTACATCTTGCATACAAAAATTTTGATGTGAGGATCGGCATTTATCAATCTGCACATGAGGTCTCACGACAGGTCTGACATCGTGTACACAAGTTTGAGTCAGTGTGGATCTGCGGTGCAGCAAATGTCTGTCTCATAGTAATTGATATACACACCTCAAACCTGTCATTAAGCACAATCAGACAGATTTCATTAAAGATTAGGATGTAAATAAAATAAAATAAATTTGTTATGTCCGTAGTGAAAAGACCTATTTGATGACTCTGCCCAGAAACACTGCCACAGACCAGAAGCGCTGTTTTAACATTATGCGCACGTGCCACTATGGAGCGCTGCGTTGGAATCCTAAAAGGCAGGTAGCTCTGTCTTGGCCCAGCAGCGGGGAAGTTTAAGCCAGTACAGTTTTGAAAAATGTTGCTCTGGCGAATAGAGTGCTGTTAGCTGTGCCGGTGCAACGTGAGGACCCGATGCCTGGAGAACAATAATGAGGAGAGACTCCACAAAGGTGCTGTACAGAGAAGACAGGACCTTATCAATGGATTCTGACATGTAAAATATAATTTAGAATATATTTTATATATATAATTTAATATAATTTAGAGTGCTAAATCCATAAAAATGTGCCTCAGGGGCAGCAACACACCGTTTGGTTAATTTATCATCATGAGCAACTCATTGACTAATGATTTATTCAAATTTCAGCCATTGTCCACTATTCCGCAGCAGCGCTGTTCACCACCACCATAATCCTGCTGCAGACAGGAGTTTTCTGGTTTGCTTTTATACCAGTTTTGATGCTTCCAAAGAGAAAATCCTTGTTAGTTTCCACCACAGACGCAAGGATATCCATTTTCAGCTCGGAAAAGTTTCGCATCTTTCTAATATTTCTCCTCTTTCATGTTTGACCTCAGTGGGTGAGGCTTCTGAACCACGAATATTTAAGGGCGTAAACATGTTAATGACGATCGATTTCAGCCGCCGCATTTATCAAAACCCGATCATACGTACGCTGGGATTGGTCAGATACGAACCCTGTCATAAATCTCACGTGTGTCCTATTGTACGATAAATCCTGCTCTCAGATCTGCGCTCAGATCTGTGCAAGACTGATAAATGAGGGCCAGTGTCTCCAAGTCTGCAGTTCTCTAAGTATCCATTAGAGGCCATTTCACAAAATAAGTCCAAATTGAGTTTTTGTGTATAAACACAAGAAAAGACAGGTGGAAAAAAAATCACCAAACAGCAACCTCAGGGGCTGAGACATGAAGCTGACAATAAAGTCACTGAAACTGCAGTTCCCAGAGTCTCTACTGGAGTGAGTCAGTCCCCATAGAGTCCCATGTTAAAACGTCCAAGTGTACCTCAGAAATGAACCTGTTTAAAACCACTAAAGGTGGTTTCAGAGCATAGCAACAGTGAGGTTGTTTGGGTTGAAAGACTTGTTGAGCCTGATCAAGATAGAAAAGGTTTTTAGTCCCCAGAGGCTCAGTCTGTCTGATTTCAGCAGACAAGTGATCAAAACACAGAGTGATGTTTGGTGGATGGAGGTGAAGGAAGCAAAGATTTGGATGAAATAATCAGTCACAGAACAAAACCACACTCAGTGTTTTAGCTACTGGTGACCCACTTCCACTTACTGTTGGCGTCACAAAATAAATCAATAAGGAGTAAAGAGTTTTGATCTGTTGATAGAGGGCATCCTGTGTGCAGAATACAGTGCTCATCCCGTCAACACAGACCTGATCTCTGACCTGAAGCCATTTACTGAATGTCAGCCCACTCCCTCCTCCAAATGTTCCCCTGTTGGAATAAAAAATAGATAAATAAATTAAAAGCAAAACAAAACAAAATATGTAAAATTTAAATATAAATAACATGAGAAATATGGTACAGTAATCTTTATGATCTCCATTCATCAATTTCCATGAATTTAATGGCAGGCTTCAGTTCCTTATTGAATAAGTGGTTTTCTATGTCTGCATGTCTGTAAAGTTTTCCATTTGTGTGACACTTAACTTTAAAAGTCCCCGTCCTCGAGGCAGCAGACCTCAATCCTCTGAAGACTGCACAGGGGTGCTGCTGGGTCATTTCTTTTTCATTTAACTCAGTTGGGCTCTGGCATTATCTCCCTGGCCTGAAATCATGACCCTGAGAGCTCCTACCTTTCTACCTGCATATATGTAATGGCAGGGCCTGAGGCAGGGAGAGCAGTGGCAAAGACCCCCAAACAGATCAGAGCAACATCGGTAGTTCAATCCGTACAACCCAGGTCAAATTAAGCACGGCAGTCAACTGAGGAGCTGAGGTGGAGGAGGGTTGCAAAGTGGTTAGCAGATGAAGCAGGAAGAGGAGACTGCAATATCAAAGTCAACTGAATGACTTTTGTTTCAGCATTTTGATATGAGAAAGGTCATCAGCTGGGTAGTCAGCTGATATGGGTTTAGTTAGGATCAGCTGATATGTGGGCTGAGCCGGACTTTCTGGTCCTGAACTAACATTGTGCTCAGCTCTTTGAATGTATCAGAGTGATTTTCACACTCAGACTGATGAGCTGTTTCTGACCAAACTTGATTTCAAACATCCTAAAGCACCAGTGAGTTCAGCTTGTGAATCATTTGTCCTTTCCCTAAATGTACCTAGAACACTCAAACATCCATAATCATCTAAAAACCTTGGTTTGAAGACTTTTCTTCTCTCTTCTAATATGAGTTTGGACAAATATGGATCTCTACACCTCCATCAGAAGAAACCCGAGGACAAAGCTTGTTCACATATGCACCCTGTCAGCTCAAATTCCAGACTTCCTGTTGGGTTAAGGGTAAGGATTGAACTTTTGCTTGGTCTTGGTACATTTACCCAACAAAAATCAAGCATGTAGGTGGACCCTGACCCTCTGATGGTAAACACAATTAAACAACAATGATTAAACTATTTCATGACACAAATGTTGACATATTTGAATATAGGCCTGTTCAAACCACTTTTGGGCAATCAGACACATTTTCATCCCCTCTATTCTTTCACCCAGTCAATAAACTATAGGCCTACTGTCATTCAGTGGAAACTCTGTCTGGTTCTCATCCACCAAACATATGTAACTATCAAGCCTGGCAGTGATGACTGAACGTAAAGCTGTGTGAATGTGGCAGTCTGGTCTCCACAGATGGCTCCTGTGTATCAGAAAGTCCTGGTCTGTGAGGGACAGAGATATGCCGCTCAGGGCTGAATGAGAAGCAGCAGAAATCCTCTGCTCTGGTTTGATGAAGCCTAAAGGGATCCTTTATCAGGCTGGATCAGGTGGATAAACAGACCACCCACCAGCTGCAGGGTCTCTCCTGATCCAGCATTCAGCCCTGACTCCTAACATTTTCACTGTAAAACTCCTTATAAGAGGAGTCGTCTTCTTCTCTCTGCAGCTGTTCAAAATCTGACATCGCTGCCCCACTTTCTGTTCTCACTGTTTCACTCGATCCATTGTGTGAGGAGCACAGAGGCTGCAAACAGTCATCTTTTCACAGGAGACTCAATATATTTATCTAACAGACTGAAGGTGTGGTGAGTAATGTGGAGGAGGGTGACAGGGCGGACCAATGGATTCTTCAGCATCCGATGAAGACCAAGGCACAAATCTGTCACAATTAAAGAGTCAAACAGCAAGTTTACACAAAGTTTAGCATGAACCTGTAAGGTTCCAGACATGGTTCTTCAAACCACATCAGAAATTGACTTCTATTTTTAGGTGTATCGCAAAAAGGAAAAGGAAAAAAGTTAGCTGTTAAAATAGGGTGTAATGACATATTTTGGTTTAATAATAGAAAAATACACTTTTCAAAACCAACCTGTTCCTAAATACCAAAAACCGAACACTGCCTAACCTGGGAATTCCAACGCATGCCATTCCGCTCCACTCCAGACCGGCAGATGGATTAAATACGCAAACATACAGCGCCCACCGGATCTGATCTGCTGCAGCAAGCAGAGGAGAAGCGCTTGCGATATTACCTGATATTTCTTACAAGACTTGACGAGATCTCATAAGATCTCGCGTGTTTCAAAATGAAACACTGAATGAGATCAGTGGTGTATATAAACACCCACATCCCACAACCATTGCCCTTCCCATTATCACATGAAGAACAGTTTAATGTATTGACAATTTTATTTTGAAAATTAGCCGAATACTTTACTCTGTAGCTGCATACAACCTTGCTGACGTTTGTGCTGCGCTGTACTGGATTAATGCGCTGTGTTTTGGCGTCTGGCAAAAAAAGAAGCCCTGCGTAACTGATCCGACCACTGGAGCTGATCTGCAGTGGAGCACATAATCATGCACATTGATTATAATACTTACATATTTGATCCACCTGCCACTCCAAAGCGGAGCGCAGCCGTTCTGTATCCTGTGCGATTTAGCCAATAGTTTTGCAGGAAGTCAAGCTCTGCCTACAGTGCATCAGCTGATCTAAACCCCACCCACATCAGCTGACAGTTCAGCTGATTTTCATCTATCATCAAATTATCAACTATGAAACCAGTCTTACTTTTAGAACATCTTGGTCCTGCTGACTCCTCTTGCGATGTCTGATTTTACCAGGGTCCTACTGACTGTTACTGAACTGTTCTGGACCCTAGGGGTCTTTGCTGCTGCTCTCCTCCCAGCCTTCATTTTTCATGTGAGCACACAAAACTGAGGCTGTGGCTCCCTGCAATGTTTAGAGAAGGAATGTCGAAATCATTTTTTAAATTGTTAATCTAATTAAGCCTTAGTTAGCCAGGTAGCAGATGTAGGTAAAGTTATAATCTTTTACATTTCCCCTCCTCTTCCTTTGTGACAGTGTGAAGAAGCTGCTGTCTGATGCCCTGAATAAGAACCAGTACCTGCGCAGGTTGGAGCAGCAGCAGATCAAAGACATGGTGGAGTGCATGTACGAGTGCACATACCAGCAGGGGGAGTATGTCATCATGCAGGGAGAGCCCGGGAACCACCTGTTTGTCCTGGCAGGTACCATCAGCCTCATATCTGCACACTATTTGTTCTGTTGACTCTGTGCTGTGAACAGAAGCAGCAGCATGTGCAGCTATGCTACTTCAAAGTTGCTATAATTATTGCTGCAGTTGATTTGCATGTTTGAGGATAATGATATAATGTCCAATCAGCGCTCTGCGTCAACAACAAATGTCAAGTTTTTTCCTGTTGACTCGAGGAAGTTTATCCATCTACAGAATCTGAACTACAACATCACAAACATCACTTTCAAAGTAACCAATCAACCAAGTTTTTCAGATGACCACATGTCCTCCACACAATGACTGGACTCTATCCAGTGTTAATCATCCATTCACTGACCAACTGTGTCACAGAGACTGAACAGCCTGCAGCAGGTCGCCATGCACAGTGATGTGGAGTCAGTGTAATAAATGATCAGGCATGTCCAAATATAAGCAGAAAAACTCCTGTCTGTGTGGAAACAATCAGACTGAATATGAAGTGTGTGATGTGATTCACACTAATCTGAGTCCAAAGCAGCATTTGCTCATCAAACTGAGGGTGTCTAATGATTACTAATGTTAATGAAATCATCATACAGACATCAGGGGCAGTGATTTGATCTCAGTAATGAAATCATTAAGCAGAGGGGTGATTTGTGATTCGTGCAGAGAGCGGGTTCACTTCAGGATCACAGACACAGACAAACAGCGGGTATAAGGGAGAACTGAAAGAAGGAATGAGGGCGTCTAATCTGGAACTATATTAGGGGTTTAGTAACTCAGCAAAGGCTGCTCAAGGTTAGAGACCACTACAACAGGAGTTATAAGGAGAAATATTTATGATGCAGCTCAACTTTCAAAAAGTCAGGACAGTGAGTTAAATGTGAAAAGATCATTGAAAATGTTACTGCTGTGTGAAATATGTCAGTTTATAGTAAATTTGATTCCAGCAGCACGTTAGAGACTGCGTGAGCTAATCGTTCAACAGTTTCAGAATTATCTTGTTGAGTGTCAAATGTGAAAGAAGGAGTTCAACGTTTCATCATCTACAGAATATAATATCATTCAAAGATTCAGAGAATCTGGAGAAATCTCTGTAATAAAGAGACAAAGACCAAAACCAAGACTGGATGGTTCTGATCTTCAGGCCCTCAGGCAGCACTGCATCAAAAACAGACAGGACTCTGGAGTAGAAATCACTGCTTATCCTGTGGAGGACATGGAGGACTTGTGTCCGCATCGTCAGCCCAGCTAAAATGGACAGGCCAGAGCTAGCGGTGTAAGCATGTCCTTCACAAACAGAGAGTGGCAAGAGTCCTTGCCAAAGTGGTTGCTGGTTACAACCCCTTGCTGCATGTCTGCATGCGACATCTGCTGCCATCTAGACAAAGACTTTTTCAGGGAAGACCTTCATATTTCAGGAAGACATTGACAATCCACATTCTGACAACAGGGACAACAGCATGGCTCTGTAGTAGAAGAGTCACGCTGAGGAACTGGTGTGCCTGCAGTCCTGACCTATTTCCCATTGAAAACATTTGGAGCATCATGACACCAAAAACAGGACAAAGGAGACCCTTTCCCACTGTTTCTTAGATCCACAAGCTCTTTTCAACCCTAACTAGCACGTCATCTCATCCTGAACACATTTAGAAACAGGTTATTTGTCCTAAAATCACTCTGTAGATGAATGTTTTTGAGATGAGATTCTGTTTCCTGTGCCGTCATGTCTGTGTCCTGAATCTGAGAATAAAAGCACGTATTGATTGTCCTTGTTTCATATTTGCAGATGGGAAGCTGGACGTGTTTCAACACAACAAACTGCTCACATCGATAACAGTCTGGACCACGTTTGGAGAATTAGCCATTCTGTACAACTGCACACGGACAGCGTCAGTCAGAGGTACATGGTTTTATGTTCAGACAGTGAGAATTGAAAGCATCTCAGGACTCAGGTTGTACATGTATTCAGAGTTATAGGCAGGAAGTCTGTCAGGAAGTCTGAGATCGACTCACTGATGGCTGCAGGAAGTGGATCTGTGACCTTGTAGCAGACATGATCAAATGTCTTATTTCTCCAGCTGTAGCTCCTCCCCCTCAGGTTGTTAAGTCCTCATTCACAGATCAGGGTCTAAAGACTGTCTCTCTCACATATTCAGCAAAAAGCTGTGCAGGATGGAGCAAAAAGACAAGATGGTGCAGGACTCTGTCAGCAAGTTTCTTTCTGAAGTCCTGGGAAATCAAAGCCTCACAAATGTCTCTGTCAGCTCTGTATTTAAAGGACAGACTGGGATCCTCCCTCAGAGGAGCTGACAGCCAATAAGATCAAAGTGAGACAAAACTGTGAGCACAAGCCTGCATGTTGTCCTCAAGGAGCTTACCTCGGTGCAGACGTGCATCAGATGAACTCATTTGCGTTCATTCAAGACAGTAGCTCATGGAGAAGCAGCATAAAGATTTGATGCAAATGAAGGGATAGATGAATCTCAAATGAAGAAAAGATTCAGCATGGATGCAAGTTATGAAAAGAAAGAGAGCACAACAGCATCATTTCTATATACGACAAAGTTTAGAGATGAGAAGTTAGTGACAGACTTCTTCAAACATCCTGAGGTCTGTCCAGAAAAGTCCAAACATCTGAGAAACAAGCTGCATGTAGGATGATCATGTTTGGGTGAGAAACTAAAGTGGTTAAAGTGGTTTAAAAGGTGATGCTGATGCTTCTGCATGACCATCAAAACCAAACATAACCATCACCATGAGCAGGCTGGTCATTTCTCTGAGGTCATTTTCAATGCCTGAAACTGTCAGACCAGATGATGGTCAGCAGGCTGAGGAAAACAGGCTTTGAAGTTTCTCTGCATGTTGACATTTTTTTCAGCTCACTCATCTTCTACTGCTCTATGATCAGAGGCTGATGGCATACTCCCTCCTTCTATTTATGTGGCCCATTAGAAAATACTCTATCCTCTTTAGTGCTCTGACCTCCAGCTCACAGCTCACCTGATAGCAAGGCTGCAGACTCACGGAGGCCATTGGACACAGGTAAACAAGCTCAGCACAGGTGTGTTGACAAAGGCTCTACATAATGTCCACAGCTCTGCATCCCAATTGGTGCTCGGGGTTTTGAAGTGCATACCATGTTCTCGGTGACAGCTGGAGGAGGGACTGAGCTGACCTGACATTCAGGGTGATCTGGAGAAAATGAGGAGTCGCTCTGAGAGCGTCAGGAGAAGCTGGTCCTGTTATATCCTCTCTCTGCAAACAGGAGCTCCTCTCAGAGTTTCTGTAGATTTAAAGTGACTCTCTGTCAGGATGGATGGCAGATTACACAGGTTTTCTGCTCTCCTTTGTTTGTCTGACAGATTGAAGTCTCTCCTTAATGCTGATAGAGGCTTTAATTAAACCCCAGGATAGGGGAGCGATAAGAGAGGAGAGGAAATGTGTTCACCTCTCTGTTTAAACATGGGGGAAATATTCAAAACAGCTGTGGCCTCTTCAGTGTCAACCGAGCAGAGCTACAGGTCAATTAGTTGTACTCTGAAAGGTCAGACTTTTTTATGATGGGGATGATGTTTTTTTCAGCGTTAAATAAAGTGAAGACGTGGGCTCTGGACCGAGAGGTGTTTCAGAACATCATGAGGAGGACAGCTGAGACACGACAGGAACAGTACCGCAACTTTCTGCGAAGGTTAGCACAAAAACACGACCAATGAGCAAATTCTGCCCAGTTATCTCTGTTTCTTTGACAGACTGTTTTTGTGACTGAAGCCTTGAACTGATTTGATTTTTTTATGACTGTTTTTAACACTGAAGCACTTTGTTACTTGTTTTTGGAAAGTGCTGTACAAATGGTTTTAATTGTTAAAAAAATATCAAGAAAATGCAGTATTTGTTTTGGGAATAAATCAACTAAAAAGAACATTTCCTCATGGACTTCTTTACAATCTGGATTATTTCTGCCCCCTGCTGGACATAAGGGGGACCCCACATGCAGGTACAAAGTATACTCCGTAAAACAATGCACAGGAGACAGAATGAGATCTGAAGAGCAGCCTGGTCTTTATTGTACGATCAGAACAGATCACAAACATAGTCTTGATCAGACCAAAGGAGAGTAGCCCCAAATACATGTGTGTTACTGTGTAGTACCTCTGTATGCCTCTAATTAATGTGTGTGTGTGTGTGTGTGTGTGTGTGTGTGTGTGTGTGTGTGTGTGTGTGTGTGTGTGTGTGTGTGTGTGTGTGAATTTGAAAAGCAGGATTTGAAATTGAAATAATTTTTTTTAAACTAAATTTATTTGCTCTGAAATTGTATTAAATTTTCTATTTGAAAATTCAACTCTCTATTTTCCTTAAATTAAAAGATAATAGATTCAATTTCAGTTTGCAAAATTCAGATTCATTTTTGTAATTCACTTTCAGTTCAGCGTGGCACAGCCATTACATCATCGAGAGCAGATAAATTCAGTTTCAAACTTCAATTTCAAATCAAGTAAAATCAGTTTCCATTATTTATTCCTATTTCAAATCCTGCCTCTCAAATTTAATTTGGTTGTTTAATTTCAGTCTCTAGTGGCTCAAATCTCAGTCCATAAAAATGGACCTCAGAAACAGTCCAGGTTGGGTCTAGATCACATCATTTTTGGTTTATGTGCCCCGGTGCAGAACTCGAAAAAGGAAGCTGTTTTGATGTTTGAAGCAATAAATTATATAATAATGCTCATGCATGTGTGTTTTGTCTTCTCTGTCAGTGTGTCTCTCTTGGCTAATCTACCCGAGGACAAACTCAGCAAAATTGTGGACTGCCTGGAGGTGGTAAGTGATTCTGTCAGTCCATCCACATGTCTGCAGGGGGACACTGACTTCTCATTGTAATGCTCAGCCCTCCTGACGTTGCAGATAGCTGCTGTCCAAATATCATTACCATTTAGCCGTATATCATTACTGCACGTCAGCGTATTCTGTCCAGCTCAAGTCAGCAAGAGCTCAAAAATTACAGCTCTGCTGAACGGAGGCCATATTATTCATGTCACTGCTACCAGCTGTATATGGTTACCATGATTATTTGAACAAAGCCCCAGAAAGTGTTTATTCAAAGAGGGGATGAGTGATTTCTCAAAAGTGCATGAGTGACAGGTGTGTGTGTGTGTGTGTGTGTGTGTGTGTGTGTGTGTGTGTGTGTGTGTGTGTGTGTGTGTGTGTGTGTGTGCAGAAACATACAGGAGGACAGCTGCAGCTCTCATCCTGTTTCATCAGAAAAAGAGAAAACGCAGCTTTGATGCCTGAGCGTGGGCTGTGTGAGGGTGTTTGTACCTGGTTTTCCATATTCTCCATCAGGTGTCAGTCTGATCTGTTTGACTGTAATTTCAACTGTAAAGCTGTAAAGACTCAGGACTCCATCTGAACTGTCTTTAAAGCACAGTCCAGGAATGTGGTGCAGAGTGAGTCCTGGAATCAGGGTAGGGTCCAGGTGAAGGCCTCATCACTGAGGTCCTTCACTCTGGTCACCACAGGTTATAAAACAGAGGACAGACAAAGAAGAAGTAGCTGCTGCTTATGAGCTAGCTTTTTATCCCTCTGAGAAACACTCAGACACTAGACATAAGATCAACATTGACCCTCTTCAGTTACTTCAGTGTAACTTCCATGTAGCTTTGAAAGGACATGGCGGTGCAGCAGTCCGGTTACCCCAGAATCTTTTTGTCACGTTTTTTGAAGCAGATATCAGTGCTTCAGTAAAAACAGGTTGACTCAACTCTCTGCTGTCTATCAATATTGGACTGTAAATGATATATTTCTCCAAAAATCAGGATAAACTGGAAGTGTTGAGGATTTCTTCACTTTCTGTCCTCAGATATCAGCGCCCTGACACTAAGAATGATTTGAAGTGACATCTGTCATTTTTTCTTCTGCCTCTTCAATTGTTCATGCGTCTTTGTGTCACGGCTGATATCTCAAGGGCTACCTGAAGGCAGCACAGTGCCTTCGAGGACAGCTGGTCCAACTGAGACTGAGGTGGCCTTCAAACCTGGATCAGTCTTCCTCTTGTTTTTGTTTTTCTGTCAGTAGATTTAGAACAACACACACTCTCAGACACACACACTCGGATACTGTCGAGACTGTAGATCTGTAGAGTACTCCCTGAGTCCTCGTCCTGCTCTGTTAAGTATTGTTATAATGTGACTGAACTCCCCTGGAACATAATACAGCCAAAGAGCAACTGCCAACAGTTCAATATCTGGACAACACAACTTCTCCTCATTCTTCAGCAATTGTTCTTACAGCGGTCAGTGAACTGTTGGACCCCCAGACCCCACTTTTATTATCTGTGCTTTGATATGTTGAAATGAACCCTTCGCTCTGGGTACCAGGGGTTTAAAAACTGATCCAGTTCTGTAATCACCAGACTGTCTTCTGGTAAGGTTTCCAAACTAAAACTAAAACTGTTTTAACTTCTCATTATTTCTGATGGGCTGAAACTAAGTCTGCTGAGAAAATCCTTTTTTTATCACAGAAAAACAAGATGGTCTTCAAAGTGAAGGATGGCGTCAGGATAAGAAAAGCTCTGACAGACGTTTAAGTGCCATAATTAACACAAACTATTGAGCTACAATTACTTTATGTTTTATAGATCCTTCAATCCCTGCTATTCATCTGTAGCAGCAGGTTGATCCTGTGGACCACAGAGAGCATTGATGTCTGAACTGATACTCTGACGCGCGGGAAGCTGCTACCAGGAATCAGGCAGGTCAATCCTGAGATCAATAACATGCTTCACTCTGACTGTCCCCCCCCCATTAGGAATACTACGACAAAGGAGAGTATGTCATCCGGGAGGGAGAGGAGGGAAGCACCTTCTACATCATTGCTCAGGGGAAGGTAACTTTAAACTTTATTATTCTGACAGTCACTGAGCTCCACCCTTGGACATCCATCTGTATCTGCACTAGGCTCAACCCTGTCTCAAACTAACCTGTCTCAAAGATTGCAGTTTCACTTCAGTCTGATGGTCTGATTAGTCAGAAACTCAACACAGAGGAGACGGATAGGGGCTGAGGGTCCACGTGGGACTCTAAAACTCCATTATAGCCCCCCCTCTGTCCTTCTACACTGAGCTCACTCAACCAGAGACATACATGTGGTTATGGGGGAGGAGAGGACTAATGCAGGAAATACCTTCCTCAGACCCTCAGACCAGAGACCAGGAGGCACTCTGAGAGCAGCTGCCACTAGGAAAGCAGGGGAAGTGTAGGTCAAAAGTCAGTCTTAGCTAAAAAACAACACAGTGTTATGGCTATGATGTCACTGCAGTATTTCTCCATTAGGATTGAGCCATCGAAGGGTGGTGACCTTGACCAGGGTGGGCTGCTGGTTTTTAAAGCCCCACAAATGAAGAGGAAGTTTTACAATCTGCAGAGACCTGAAGGACACGGATAAACCTGCAGCTCAGAGGCTGAAGCTCTGATAATAAATGGTCCAGGGCAGGAAGATAACAGCAGCCACATGTCATATTTACTTTCATACTTTATCTTCTTACAGGAACTATCAAAGTAGTAATGACAAAAAAAGTTGAGAGAGATTTAAAAAAAGTTTGAGGAGAAAAAAAATGTTGAAATGAGGAACATGAAAGATTTATCTGACTGTGTTCACAGGTGAAGGTGACCCAGACCACTGAAGACCACAAGCTTCCCCAGACCATCAACACTCTGCAGAAGGGAGACTACTTTGGAGAGAAAGCTCTGATCAGGTAAAGAAGAGAGAGAGATATATTTTTTTTTATTTTTGAATCTACTTTATTTCTCGCTCTTTTTTCAAAAAAGAGGTCAATTCATATAATCAATCACACAGAGTCAAAAAATAGATAAATAAATAAATAAAAATTACATGAGCACATCTTCAAACTGTAAAATATTTCCTGCTATTGAACACAACACCTGATTAAAACCCCAAACCTGCTGGAATGAGTCCAGATCTCCTCCTGCTTTATGGAAATTAAAATCGATGAGGAGTCTGGACTTGATCATGTTCTTACAGACAGTGACTGGATCAACAATAAAACCATCCTCCACCTTCCTCCTGCGGCTAAAATACACTGCCATCTTGGCCTGCCCTAAAACAAAGTTTAAAAGCTGGCACTTGTTCTTGTGTTGGCGTGTGTATTTAAAACCCAGAATAAAAACCCGCTTGTTAAAAACCTCTCCACACTTGGTAAAAACAGTTTGTAAAAACAGAAACAAGGGTAAAAGACTCTCTCTGTGGGCAGGTTAATGTGCGATATAAAAGAGTACACTGCTATGACCCCATGGAGGACTCTCCAGTGCACATCCGCATGTCTCTTCGAGAGTGGAGGTTTATAGAAGGCCCTCCACTCAGGCCTGGCCTCAGGAGCCAGGCTCAGATAGGTCCTCCATGGGGTGTCAGGTCTTTGGTTCAGTTTTTTCCTGTTTATTGTTTTCACCAAGATGTTATAAAAGGTTTTCCCAGTTGTGCCCTCCAAAGGGGCGGGGTGGTTAAAATCCAACAGCGGGCCAGAACAGTCTTTAAAATCCGGTGCCAGGAAGATGGCAGGAAAGGGGTTTTCTTCGTTCACGGTCTGGGTAAAAGGGGAGTTTAAAAGCAGGCGGTCGTGTCCTGTGAGTCTCTGTCTCCAGTGCTCTATGAGTTTTTGGGTGACCCTCATCGATAAAAGTCCCAGCCGGGCAGTGAGTCCAGAGGGGTCGTCCATTCGGGGTCCCGTCAGATCCACCACCTGCCCCAGAGTGACGATCCCCGCTGTCTGCAGTTTTTCCTCTAGACTCTGTCCTGCCCAGCTGGGAAGGTCCAGACGGGTCCCCCATAGGACTGGTTCCTGCAGGAGCCAGTATATAGAGTCCACCTGGCCCCTCCTCTCCTTCCTCAGCAGGCCCCAGACCTTAAAAACACTTTGATAAAAAGCAGGTAGAGAAGATGTGCTCATGTTCTGTGTGTTCATTAAAAACAAATTAAAATCCTGACCCAGGCTGTTAAAACCCTGCAGAATGCAGCGGGACAGGGGCCTCCACAGAGTGTCCTTCGGCCCCATCAGCAGCCTTTGAATGAATTGGAGCCTGAAGGCTGCGCCCCTGCTGGCCAGGTGGACCAGGCCCTGGCCCCCCTCCTCTTTTGGTAAAAACAGGACACTCTGCCGGTCCTCAGACTTTCTGTCATGACCTCTAGCAGGTCTGGTCCTATGATGGACCAGAAGGACTTGTAAAAGTCAGCAGGAAGATGAGACCAGATTATTTGCGATTAAGGTTCGGCCTCTGTACGACATTTTAGGGAGTAGCCACTTCCACTTCTCCAGCCGACCTTTAACCTGCTCTAGGACATTGTCCCAGTTTTTCTGTTTGTAGGTCTCATCTCCTAGGAAGACCCCAAGGTACCGGAGTCCTCCTTTTTTCCACTGTAGGCCCCCGGGCAGCCTGAGCCGGCCCCCCAACTCCCCTCCAGCCATCAGAGCCTCGCTTTTCCCCCAGTTCACCCTAGCTGAGGAGATAAAACCAAAGTCATGAACAGTGTCAGTTAAAATGTCGATGTCTCTTTGTGTTTTTACTAAAACAATAAGATCGTCAGCGTATACAGACAGTTTAAAAGACACAAGGCACCGGGGGAAACTCACACCACTTAGTTTGTCTCTCAGATTGTGAAGCAGAGGCTCGATGGCAACTGAATATAACATCCCAGAGAGAGAGCAGCCCTGCCTCACCCCTCTCTGGATCTCGAATGGTGCACTCAGCCCGCCGTTAATTTTCAGAACACTCGCAATGTCACTGTAGAGAACCCGGACCATGGCTATGAACCCAGGGTTGAACCCAAAGGCAGCCAGAGTCTGCCACAGGTACTGATGTTCAACCCGGTCAAAATCCTTTTCCTGATCTATGGAAATAAGACCAGTCTCTATACCCAATGAACTGGAGAGCTCCAAAATGTCTCGAATTAAAGTGACGTTGTCACTGATGAGCCTGCCAGGCACACAGTAGGTCTGGTCAGGGTGGATGATGGACACCATCACCTCCCTCAGTCTGAGGGTCAGAGCCTTGGACAGGATCTTATAATCCGTGCACAGCAGGGAGACTGGTCTCCAGTTTTTCAGCTCCTGCAGGTCTCCCTTCTTGGGCAGCAGGGTGATGACGGCCCTCCTGCAGCTCAGAGGTAGCCTGCCGGTCCTCAGACTTTCTGTCATGACCTCTAGCAGGTCTGGTCCTATGATGGACCAGAAGGACTTGTAAAAGTCAGCAGGAAGGCCGTCTATGCCTGGAGCTCTGCCGCTCTGCAGGCTCATGGTGGCTGCTTGGAGCTCCTGCAGCGTCACCTCTGCTGCCAGTCTGTTATTTTCAGCCTCACTGACCTGAGGGAGACCCGCCAGGAAGTTGCTGTGCACTTCTGGATTATGCGACCACTCACTCTTAAAGAGGTTTCTGTAGTAGTTGGCAGCAAACTTCCTGATCTCAGACGAGTCTGAGACTTCGGAGCTGCAACCCGTTTGTAAACAGTGAATGGTCTTCCTTTGTCCATTTTTATGCTCCAACCCAAAGAAGAAGCGAGATGGGGCGTCCATCTGTGTGATGTTCATGAAACGAGACCTGACCAGAGCCCCCTGTGCTGAGACGCCTAGCAGGTTGGCTAATGCCAACTTTTTGGACTTGAGGGAGTCTAAAAGCCCTCGATTTCCTGTAGAGTCTGCAGTAGTCTGCAGCTCTACCACCTGCGACTCCAGGTCTTTCATGGACCGAGCTAAGTCTGTAGTGACACCGCGAGTGAACTGCTGGCTGAGCTGTTTTATCTGGGCTTTCCCAAAATCCCACCACTGTTGTATGTTAGTGAAGGCAGGCCTGCTCTCTCTGTGGGATTCCCAAAAAACCCTAAAAGCAGTTGTAAAAGCCTGGTCAGATAAAAGGGCTGTGTTAAAATGCCAATAGGCGCTCTTTAAACGAATGTTTTTGATAAAAACACGACAGGAGACTAAAAAATGATCCGTAAAACCAACTGGCAGCATAAAACACCTTTTAAAAATGTTTAAATGGTGTTTAAAACAATAAAAGCGGTCCAGTCTGGCTAGAGTTAAAACCCCCTCCCTACTGTGACTCCAGGTGAACTGTCTGTGCTGACTGTTAAAAACCCTCCACACATCATTCAGCTCCTGACTCTCTGTCAGCCGCCGGAGTATGTGTGATGAGGGTGGGTGTGGCTCAGGATGGTTCCTGTCCAGGGATGGATCAGCTGCAGTTAAAATCTCCCCCTAAAAACATAAAACCATCGTTCTCACAGTCCCTAACACAGTCCTTTAAAATGTCTAAAAATGCTATACGCTCCACAGCATTGGTAGGAGCATAGACATTTAAAAACACACATTTTACATTCTCAAAGACAGCTTTTACCTTCAATAAAACACCTGGGATGATCTCATGGACAGTAAAAGAAAAGGGTAAAAAACTCTGTGCAAATAAAATCCCCACCCCTCCGCTCAGACTGGACTTGTGGCTTAAAACTACCTCCCCGTTAAAAGCCCTCTTCCAATCACTCTCGTTATCTAAGCTGCTGTGGGTTTCTTGGACAAAATTGATATCTATTCTTTTGGTCTCCATCAATTTAAAAAGAGCGGCGCGTTTAAAATCAGCCCTGGCTCCGTTCAGGTTTAAGGTGCTGATATTAAAATCACACATGGATAAAAAATAAAAAACACTCAGGAGAACAGTCAGTGAAGGGTAAAAGCATCTAAAACTCATCCTCATCACTGATGAATTGCTCTTTTACCCTCCCTAAAACCTTTTTGAGTCTGAAGACCTCTTGTTCTGTTAAAACCTCCTCCCCATGGCTCTTCCTGGTGAGGGGTCTGGCTGACCTCATAAAAGAGCGCAGGTCTGGGAAATACTCTCTTACATTGGGCAGCCTGGAGCCTTTAATCTGTGTTAGGAAAGTTTTGATCTGAGCCGGGGAGTAAGGCGACTGAGAGTCCTGGGTAAAAGAGAAGTCACTCTCTGACTCTGGGGTCTTCCTCATAATCGGTTTTCTCGTTTTTTTGTTCTTTTTAACAGACACAATATTTTTCCTTTTTTGAGACACTTTAAGAAGTTCATCATCTGACATGCCTTCCTCCATGAAATCATCGCTATTCACTTTTCTCATGCTCTCGTCTGCCGAGTCTGAAAGCATGAGCTCTTCTCGCTCCGAGCAGCCCTCAGCAACCGGAGGAACCGAGACTGTGGAGGGCCCCTCCTGAGCAGGACTGACCGATTCTACTGCTGTGACCCCGGTCACAGCAGCAACACTCAACTCTTCCCCCGCGGCCGCAGCGGCAGGCGGCCCCCCCACGACGGCAGCGGCCTCCGCGGCGGGCGGACCCCCCCCCCCGGCCGCAGCGGCCCCAGCGCCCCCCCCCCCCCCCCCAGCAGCAGCGGCAGCCGGCCGCTGTGCTCCCTCCTTCTCCGGCCAGGAGCGAATCAGGTGCCCTTCTGCACCACAACTAAAACACTTCATCGTTTCTGACGTCCTTCAGGATCATGTACACCTGTCTCCTGTGACACACTACGTGCTTCAGTTTTGGGGATTTACAGCCCAGAGAGACCATTTTTATCGGTGACATCACTTGTCCGTACCTGGATAGTTCTTTCGCCAGGGTTTCATTTTTGATAAACGGGGGGGCATTAGAGATGGTAACTTTCGTGGCCGGGCAAACGAGGGGGGAGACCGGAGTGAAGGTGTCGTGAATCACTACTCCTTTCTCCACCACCTCGTTAACCAGCACCGTACTGCTTAAAAAAATCACAATAGCCCCGTTCATCCGTGAGGCAGACTTCACTGAGTCGTACCCGACCACCTCTCCTCCAGCCAGGCTGGCTTCCTCCACCGAGCACTGCACCGCGGGGTTAAGCTTTATCGCATGCCGGCGAGTCAGCTTTTCAAACTCGGCGGCTGCAGCCTCTGCTACCGGCATTGTGCTGTTAGCACGCCGCCCACCAAACCAAAGCAATCACACACATAACAAACCACAACTCTCTCAACACTAAATAATAGACAAACAACTCATAAACACACTCACACTAAAAGAAAAGAGAAATAAAGTCTCAAAAACTCACAAAATTTGAATCGAAGTTCGATTCGCTCTCAGCTCTCAGCACTCACACGCCATCTCACTCAGAGAGAGAGAGAGAGAGAGCGAGAGAGAGAACAATTTTGATAAAACTGTCAACAGAAATGGGCATCAACTGCTGCAGATGTGTCCCACACTGGGTCTGTACAAAGTCAATGGTTGGCTTCGAGGGAACTGTTTCTGTCACTACACACATAGCTCTCTTCTTGGCAACAGCACAGTAGACTATAGTATTACAGACCTAGACCCCTTCTATCTTAGGGCATTCACTGTCAGCCCCCTAACTCTCCAACACCCCTATCAGATCACAGCAAAATCACCTTGTACATTAGGACGACCCTAACAGACCCCCATGTAGCACAGCCCAGTAGGCTCAACCACTCCAAACAGCCTTACAGGTGGACAAGTCATAGCAAAGATGACTATCAGAAAGCAATCTGGCATCTAACTATCCAGACCAAGTTAGACCATTTTCTTTCCACTTCATATCCCCACAGTAATGACGGCCGCAACCAGGCTTGTTGAGATATGACCTCAATTGTATTGTATTGTGTTCACTTTTATTGTGAAGCACTGGACCGGAAGTGCTGGAAGTGCCTGTTACCTACACCTGTATATATTTGCCATTCATTAAAACAAACTTAGATCAGTTGAATGAGTGAACACGACGCACAAGTCTCGTTCTCCTTTATTCGCTTCATTGTTTTCTGGCTTAGTGGCTTAGACTTGGGTAAATTGAAACATTTTCTTGCTATTGATTTTGAGCAAAGTGATCACTGTGTAAAGATGTTGCAGAAGAGATATGTTGAGAAAATACTTGACATGCAAGATTGCAAGCCAAGAGCTACACTCTGTGAGGCAAAACTTGACTACACTGACAATGCTGAAATGATGTGTGACGTGAAAAAGTACAGAGAGGCTGTTGGCAGTCTAATCTACTTAACCACATGTACCCGGCCAGATTTGAGTTTTGTAGTCAGTAGACTTTCACAGTATTTTTCTGAGCCAACAGAAGAACAGTGGTCCACTGTAGAACATGTTCTTAGGTACCTGAAAGGCACAACTGATAAGCATTTATGTTACAGAAAGAGCAACAAGCCATTAGGGCTGCAAGCATTTAGTGATGCAAACTGGGCTGAAGATACAAGTGACAGACGCAGCACTAGTGGTTATTGTGCCAGCTTAAACCAAGATTGTCCACTGATTTCATAGAAAACTAAAAAGCAACCTACTGTAGCACTTTCTACTTGTGAAGCAGAGTACATGGCTTTAGCAGCAACTCTACAGGAGTGTTTGTATTTGATTCAACTGTTACAAGGTATTGACAGATTTGAATACATGCAGCCTAAGATTTATAAGGACAACCAAGGCACAATAGCTTTGGCTAAAAACCCTGTTAAAAGACAGAGGTTGAAACATGTGGACATAAAGTACCACTTTGTAGGGTCGACTATTAATGATGGTAAAATGATCCTTGAATATTGTCCTACAGAACACATGGTTGCAGACATGACTAAGCCAGCTACAAAGTTGAAAGTTATATTTGGAGAGTAATGTTGTATTGTATTTCTGTGGGAAAAGAAAAAAAAAATCCAATGTGAGATCAAGTGGGGGTGTTGAGATATGACCTCAATTGTATTGTATTGTGTTCACTTTTATTGTGAAGCACTGGACCAGTAGTGCCTGTTACCTACACCTGTATATATTTGCCATTCATTAAAAAAAACTTTGATCAGTTGAATGAGTGAACACGAAGCACAAGTCTCAGTCTCCTTTATTCGCTTTATTGTTTTCTGGCTTAGCGCTGCTTAAGAAGTTGACGGTAACTCTGTTAACAAGGCTGTTGGGGATATAACGATATATTTGACCAAACAGCATCTCTATCCAATCTAAACAAATCTAAGCTTCATAGTTCAAACAAATCAACTTGTGAAAAGTGGTTTAATTCTGGCTGCAGATCTCTGAGAAAAACACTCCGTATATTATCGAATGAAAAACACTGGCAACCTGATCATCAGGAGCCCTGCCTTCAATACTGGAAATCTCAGAAGTTATGTAGAAAAACACTGAGCACTAAAAAGAAACAACATGAACAGCACCTCATAGAAGAAACTGAAGAGTCTATTGACTCCAATAATTTTTGTAAAAAATTGCATTCATTTAAGAAATCTAACAAAGAGGAACTGGCCATTCAAAATGGTGACATTTGGAAAAAGCACTTTGAAAATCTATAGAGTGCAATCACACTGGATTCAGCCCAAAATAATCTGCTTAACAAATTAGAAGCCCTTGAATCAGTCGTTAAAGACAATCAAAACCCTTTAGATTATGTAATTAGTGAAAAGTAGCTGCTGACTAAGATGACTAATTATTTAATCTTATTCTGATCATTGGACATTTTCCAGACATCTGGAACCAAGGAATAATCACTCCAATCCACAAAAGTGGAGACAAGTATGAGCCCAACAACTCCAGAGGCATATGTGTCAGCAGCAACCAAGTTATTCTGCAGCATCGTTAACAGCAATCTGTAAAACTTCCTCAATGAGCACCATGTCCTGAGCAAGAGTCAGATTGGATTCACAACCCAACACAGAACCACTGACTACATCTACACTCTCCATACCCTCATCCAGAAACATGTTCACCAAGACAAAAACAAAATCTTTGCTTATTTTGTGGATTTCAAAAAAGCATTTGATTCAATTTGGCATCGGGGTCTATTTCTGAATTTATTAGAAAAAGCTATTGGGGGGGGGTCTATGATATCATTAAAACAATGTACATAAATAATCAATGCCCCTGAAGTAGAGGGGTAAAGCAGGGCTGCAGTCTCAGCCCCACCCTCTTCAATATCTATATTGAGGATTTGGCCAAGTCCCTGAAAGAGTCAGACATCCCTGGTCTCACCCTCTCTGACACACAAGACAAGTGCTTACTTTTTGCAGATGATCTAATCCTGCTCGCTTCATCTAAGGAGGCTCTACAGAAGCAATTAGATCATCTAAAAGAGTTCTGTCAGACCAGGGCCCTGACCGTTAACCCAGATAAGACAAGAGTCATGGTCTTCCAGAAATGACCCAAGTGTCAAAAAGACCAAGACAGGTTCCTCCTGGACTCTACAGACATACAACATTTGCTCCTATTATTGCAGCATATTTGGTGCAAAACATATTTGTGCACCTGTATGGAGCAATGTGAAGTTGTGGACAAAATTTAAATATGTGCAGATTTTTATGTGAACTTGTGTAAAAAATGTTACATTTGTGTACAATAAGCTTTTATGAAAATAGTCTTTAACTCTCCACGAGTTAAAGATTGTGCTTCCTTCTTAAAGCTACAAATCGAAATTGCTGCATTCTTTGGTGCATTCTTTGGTTAGTGACTGAGCGCCCTGAGGGTGGCAGCAAGTCACAGCAGCTCTTCACAGTATTTATGTTTTTGCCCTTTTATTGTTGTTTTTTGCACCTTATTTTTCTTTCTTTTTAATTAGCAGTGTTGTGTTTTGCATATTCTAACCATGGCTGTGAATTTCACGACTCTGGCACTTTGTTTTCTTTTACTCTTTGGAGTTTTTAAGGCCGCGTCTGGTGACCCGTTCAGTGGCTCTATTGTTTACAGCCGTGAACAGCTGTTGGCCCTGCGCCAAGCCCGGCCACCTTCGTGGGACAGACCGGACATCCCTGCTAAGCTCTGCAGGAGAAGAGGCGGATGCAGAGCTGGAGTTCAGCATCAGGCAAAGCGGAGACGTTATAAACCAACTGTCCCGTCCATCATCATGGGAAACGTGAGGTCTCTCCCCAACAAGATGGAAGAGCTCACAGTGCTGACTCGGCTGCAGTGGGAGTACCGGGAGTGCAGCCTCATGATGTTCACGGAGTCATGGCTGAACGAACTCACTCCGGACCCGCTCGTAACTTTGGACTAATTTCATCTCATCAGAGCAGACCAGAGCATGAGGGAGAGTGGTAAGAAGAAAGGAGGCGGGATAGCGGTGTATGTGAATGAGAGATGGTGTAATGCTGGGCACGTCAGTGTTAAAGAGCAGCGCTGCTCTAAGGACATTGAGCTGCTGGCTGTGAGTTTGCGGCCATATTACCTGCTGAGGGAATTTTCGCACGTCATCGCGTTAACTATTTACATTCCCCCCTCGGCTGATGCTGCTGCAGCCTGTGAACTCCTCCACAGTGAAGTGTCCAAGCTACAGACATCACACCCTCAGTCTCTGATCATCATCTCTGGAGACTTTAATCATGCATCGCTCTCCTCCACTCTCCCTACCTTCAGTCAGTACGTGGAATGGCCAACAAGAGACAATAAAACTTTGGACTTACTGTATGCAAACACCAAGGATGCATACACCTCCTCCCCCCTCCCCCCGCTGGGCCGCTCAGATCACAACCTGGTGAGACTGCAGCCCATTTACATACCTATGGTGAAGAAACAACCCCCCACCATCAGGTATGTTAAGAGGTGGTCTGAGGAGGCCACTGAGGCGCCGCAGGACTGTTTTGAGACCACAAACTGGGATGTACTGTGCGGCCCACATGGTGATGACATCGACACCATGACAGACTGTATCACAGACTACATAAACTTCTGTGTTGAGAACACCGTACCCACCAGGAAAGTATGGTGTTTCTCCAACAGCAAACCCTGGGTGACCCCAGAACTTAAGGACCTCCTGAAGGAGAAGAAGAGGGTCTTTAAATCTGGGGACAAGGAGAAGCTGAGGAGGGTGCTGAAGGAGCTGAAGAAGAAGATCAGAGAGGGAAAGGCCAGCTACAAGACCAAGATGGAAAACCTTTTGCAACAGAACAACGCAAGGGAGGTCTGGAGAGGCCTGAAATCCATCTCAGGTCATAGCAGGGGCTTCAGGGGACCTGAAGCAGGAGACAGGGAGTGGGCCAACGAGCTGAATCTGTTCTTTAATAGATTTGACTCTGCTCCCACTCCTCCCCCGACTCATCAAACCAACGACCCGTCTGCTGCTACTTCTTCACACCACCTCAGTTCCATGGCACTGGCATCATCAACCCCCCTCCACTCATCCTCCACCACCCCCTCTAGCACCACTCCCAGCCTCTCCATAACAGCTGACCAGAGGAGAAGTGAGCTGAGGAAGATGAAGCCAAGGAAGGCCACGGGTCCTGACAGCATCAGCTCCAGACTCCTGAAGGACTGTGCAGACCAGCTCTGTGAGGTGCTACTGCACATCTTCAGCTTGAGCCTGAGTCTGGAGAGGGTCCCAACACTGTGGAAGACTTCCTGCGTGATTCCTGTCCCTAAGACAGCACACCCCAGGGAGCCCAACCACTTCAGACCTGTGGCCCTTCTCACCTGATGAAGACTCTGGAGAGGATCGTGCTGAGGAACCTCCGCCCCTTGGTGAACTCTCATCTGGATCCTCTGCAGTTTGCGTACCAGCCGAACATCGGAGTGGACGACGCTGTCATCTACCTGCTGCAGAGGTCCATGGCCCACCTGGAGAATACCGGCAGCACTGTGAGGGTCATGTTTTTTTACTTCTCCAGTGCTTTCAACACTATCCAGCCTTCACTGCTTAAGGGGAAGCTCGAGAGGGCAGGAGTGTACTGTCACCTAGCCGCATGGACCGTGGACTACCTCACCGACAGACCAGGCCAGTTCTGTCCTGGACTGTTCTTTGGACTCCCTGGAGGAGGTGGGTGAGAGGAGGATGTTAGCAAAGCTTGTATCCATCATGGACAATCCCTCTCACCCACTGCACCAGACTGTGGGGGCTTTAGGCAGCTCCTTCAGCAGCAGACTGAGACTCCCACCCTGCAGGACGGAGCGCTACCGCAGGTCATTCCGCCCCTCTGCAATAAGACTTTACAACGAACTGTAGTAAAACTGGACTCACACCACCACTTTTTTCTGGCATTTAAATTGAGTATATTGTATATAGTTTTATTTTTCTTCTCCCTTTTTCCTTTTCCTAATTTTTTTCTTAATTATTACATTTATTTAAGTTCTTAATATTACGATCTTTATTTTTATAACTGCATTTTTGCACTCTTTGTCTGTGATGCTGCTGTGACAAAAAAATGTCCCCCATGGGGGATCAATAAAGGAATATTCTATTCTATTCTAAAAGGCGGTCACTAATCTGAGATTGATGGGTTTTACAACCAATCAGAAGTGATAGCATTTCGTCTTACAGCCAATCAGAGGAGACAAGGCTCTCTACACGGAGCAGTGGATGGGGTTTCTGCCGTACCGCATCGGCCACTCACTCATAGCATCGGCCAAATGCAAGACCTGCGTAAACCTGGCCCCCTACCCTGTGCAAAAATTCAGGAAAATAGTCTGCTTCATTTGTAGTGGTTTGTGCTGTTAAAATTTTCGTTTTTGCTACTATGGTTTTTAAGTTATTAAATTTTGTTTTATAGGTCACCCAGAGGTCACCCAGCCCCCCATTTGTTCTGAATGGCCGTTTGTTAGTGCTTCGTTTGTGCTGGTTGGTGCCGTTAAAATTTTCGTTTGTGCCTCTACGGGTATTAACTTATTACACACTTAACTTTTTGGTGATGACGTCACCCAGCCCCCCATTTGCTCTGAATGGACCTGAAATGGTGCCGATCATTTGTGGTTCGTTTTTGCCGCTGTTGCCAAGAAGTATGCACCTCGCAGAAACGCCCACCGCTTATACTATACCTGCCAACACTCCTGTTTTCCCTGGGACTCTCTAGTATCTCAGACCTATCTCCCGCCCTCATATTGTCATTTCTCCCAGGAATCTCCCGTAGTTTGATGGTCCACGTTCATTCATGAATCAGATCACTAAATTTGACTATATTTGTCCTAAGTTTCCAGGTTTCCAGACAACTGAAGATTGTCCTGCCTTTCTGCTGAGCCTCACAGTCACTGGATTGGTACTTTTACTTTACAATTTGGGATGATTCAGGTCGGTTTAAGCTGTAAAACACATTTAAGCAGTGTTTGTTGCAAAATGAACACTTCAATGAAAGGGAAACAAATGTGAGATATATTTATGTTGATAGTCTTGCACCGTCTCGGATTGATGCGTTCAGGGCAGCCTCAGACAAAAGAGTGCTCTATTTCACACACAGATGTTCAGAGAGACTCATATGGGAGAGCATGTCAAACATATGAGGACTTGAACACCAATATTTGTAGACTGAATAAGTTCAAACTTATCGTAGCAATCATTTTTATTACAATTTTTATTGTTAAAACAAAAAAGTATGCAGCTTCACTTAGACTTATTTGGATGAGAAATCTAATAACACATACCTACAGACATCAGTATAGCCGAGAAATGCATCCACCCATAAAGCACATATCAATGCTACTAACCTTATATCAGCTGTTTTTCTGTTTGCCAAAATATGTATCCACTTGTTAATTAGCTATTGAGACAACAACAAGACATATTTTTGGAAATATTACACCAGGAAAGTCCACCCATTCTTTGGGAAGGTCCCAGAGAATCAATCTTCATGGGTTCATGAACGACACAACACTATGACACACACAAATTATACATCAAAACTTAGTAAATCTACCAGCCAGACAGAAAATGTGGACCTTGAAGCTGTGAGATGCTCACTTTTCAAGCTACAAGGTTTTTTCAGGAGGAGGTACCTGTTTCACCTCTATCCACCGCCATCCAAAAAGAACACAAATGCTCGGAATCCGACTGTTGCTCATTTTCTCCGAACAACTCGTGCTCCCGTCTAAACTGTCCTTCTTATGTGTCGTAGCTGTATTCGAGCAGTCGCTCACTGTCCAGAGTTTTTTCCGATACGACATGTTGTTTGTCAGCAACAAGCCTTTTGTGGGCAAGAGTGAGATATCAAGATTCCTATTCAAAGTTATTAGAGCTGCTGAAAACATGGGGGGTCTCCATATTTGGAACTTGATTGTGATGTCGTACTTTGAGGTAGAAATGTGATTTGAACTCTGACCTTTAGATGAGACCCGAACCCTTCAACCTGTGAAAACCACATTTCAATATATCTTATGGTTACCAAATGAGTTTGTTTGGGCCAGTCCTGTTCTAAGCAGGCAGAGGCTCACTGAGGCAAAGTCTGTGTCACAGGTGAGCTGCAGGTGCACTGTCACCATGGAGACAATTTCCACTCAGAGCACAGTGCCTGCCCACCTGTCCTTGATTGACAGCTGTCTTCCAGACACCACAACACAGAGACAGCCGGATTGCCTTGAGTTTCAAGTCAGATTCATGACAAAGGCCCTAAATGATCAACGCTTTGACATATCAGCACCATATTTGACATGTCCCCTCGTGACCCCACTCTGAAGACATGTCCCACTCTGCAGCCATCTTGGATGACCCCACCATCCCCAAACAGGAAGTAGCCCTTAACGCATTAATGCCCTCATGTACCTTCCTGTTAGGACACTGTGCTGGTTTTCCTCTCTCACTTCGATGTAACTGTCTTTATAACTTTGACAGCCTCCTGTTCAGACTGTTCCTGGTTATGACAGAGTGGAGATGTGGCTGTTCAAAAAGCTTCTCTGTGAATAGCCTATTGAACATCTCCCTGATCCTGAAAGCGCCTTGAGGACAGTCAGTGAAGTAAAGAGGTTTTTTTTTCTCTTTCAGTGACGATGTGAGGTCAGCAAACATCATGGCTGAGGAGGATGGCGTGGAGTGTCTGGTCATCGACAGAGAGTGAGTTTTCTCCTGTTAGACATGAACTTGAAAGAGCTCGGTCCTGAAGCTTCTGTTTTATTGTCATCAGGACTTTTAATCAGACAGTGGGGACCTTTAATGAGCTGCAGAAATACCTGCAGGGCTACGTGGCCACGCTCGACCGAGACGACAAGAAGAGACATGCCAGGTTTATTTTTTCATGATTTATATTTTCATTTGAACAAGAGCTCAGATATAAAGTTTTGCCTTTAATTCTCAGAGTTTTGAATGTGGGGAAGTCCACCCTGACCTTGCTGATGGGTTAAAATTCTCCAAAAAGGAAATCGGTGTCTCGCCATCAGAGTCAGCCGCTGCCACCAGATATCCTCCAGCTGAAGGAGATGGTGTCGGCGTTTCCTCCAACACGACCTTTTGACCAGCTTGAGGTCATTGCTACGCTTGGGGTCGGAGGATTTGGACGGGTAGAGCTGGTGAGATCTGGAGATTTGAACTAATATCAAGATTTGTGAAGCAGATCTAACAGAACATCAAAAATCTTCTTAATGAAATAATAACCATCACTCCCTATCACCATGGTAAAACAGTAGTTACATAATCATGTTTGTAAAAAAATCAGGGCTTGGGTCCGGTCCAGGCTCAGCTCACTCAGGAGATACTCATTCCGTCTGAGGGTTTGTGCTGATTAAAGTTCTCATGTAAGTTTGTATAGTTTCTGAGTTGGTAGATCAGAAGAAGCTTGTGATGAAAAACAAGTAATTCACTGGGAAGTATGATCAATAATACTGGATAATACAGAGGTAAATCTGAGTCATTAGGACAAATAATTAGAGGCCTGCTTTTCTACTGTTGTATCAGGGTTATTACCACACTGACTCATTCAACAGTAGAAGTTAATAGCAGAGGATTTTTGTAGTTTTTTATATTATATTTTTGTTCAGACTTTTACAGCCTATAAGGATAGGTTGAAATAAGGCTGAACATAGAAAAGAATCTTTAAAAACATACTGCACTGTGAGGAGAAAGACAACTGCACAATGCCAGACCTATATCAGTCTGACAATTTGAATTAATGCGAGTGCTTTTACTCCAATCAGTGCTTTAATGTGCTGTTAAGGACAAATGTTCCTCCTTTGACATCCTCTCTCCTCTCAGGTGAAGGTTCAGGGAAAGGACATTACCTTCGCTCTGAAGGTGATTAAGAAGAAACACGTGGTAGACAACAGGCAGGAGGAGCACATCCACTCTGAGAGGAAGATCCTCACCGAGACCTGCTCGCCCTTCGTCGTCAAGTCAGTCCTCTTCACCTTCACCCTCTTCATCCTTCCCCTCCTCTTCGAAACCCCCTCAGTGTCCCCTTCTTTATGATTAAGGTCTGTGTGAACAAATAGCTGAGCTCTTACTGGTTTTGGATGATATTATAGCAGAGGTCTTGTGCTGATGACGTTCTCTCAGCAGGTCAAAAAAGCTGAAATTTTTTAGGAGATCTGCTGCAGAAACCTTTATATTACAGCAGAGGATTATTCTTTTGCTTTTGGCAGGTTAGCAGGATTTTTTTTGTCAGATAATGTTTTTATGAAATTATAAGGATTATAATTTGATTTTTGTCCGATGATTTTGTCCGATTATGTAAGTCTTATTGACACTTTTAATTTGGTGCAGTGTGTGACGGGTCCCACACACGAGCACAGATATTTATTGGACGTACTGTGTCATGGTTTACCTGTGTCTAACTTGGTGATATGTGATGATGTATTTTCTGATCACAGGCTTGTATTGTTTGAAGTGTATCTTTCTTGTTCTGAGGTTAAATCTGGCGCCCCTGCACAGAGACGTTGGATTCTTAACCCCTCTACTGCCGGTCGCTTCTGTGTGGCTTTTGAACAGCTCTGTGTCTGCCCTACCTCTGCGAACACAGAGGAGCTCCACTGCCGTATAGGGTTCCTCAAGGGTCGATTTTAGGGCCCTGCTCTTTTCTTTGTATTTGCTGCCCCTGGCCTCCATCTTAAGAAAGCATGGCATTTCTTTTCATTCTTATGCTGATGACAGTCAGATATATGTGCCACTTAATAAGAAAAATGCTTTTTACCTCACTCCACTTCTGGCATGTCTTGAAGACATCAAAGCCTGGATGGCTTTGAATTTTTTAAATTTCAATGAGAGAAAAACAGAAGTGATGGTCTTTGGTCCCAGTGGCCCTTGTGAAACCCCTCCTGTAGATTTGGGTATTTTAGCAGACTATTTAAAGCCATCTGTCTCGAATTTGGGTTTTAAGATGGACAGTGATTTTAAATTTGACAGGCAAATTAGCTCTGTAGTGAAATCTAGCTTTTATCATATATGGTAGCTGGCGAAGGCAAAGCCATTCCTTGCACGTAAGCATTTTGAAACAGTAATCCATGCCTTTGTTACATCTCGGCTGGATTACTGTAACGCACTTTACTTTGGAGTCAGCCAGTCCTCCCTCTCACGTCTCCAGTTAGTACAAAACGCAGCCGCCCGGCTCTTAACTGGAGTACGTAAGAGGGAGCACATTACTCCCATCCTGGCCTCCCTCCACTGGTTGCCCATGCATTTTAGAGTTCATTTTAAGATTCTTTTATTTGTTTTTAAATCTTTAAATGGTCTGGCTCCTTCTTACCTCTCTGAGCTTCTCCACCCCTACACCCCTGCTCGGTGCCTCAGGTCAGCTGATCAGCTGCTCCTGGAGGTACCGGGGTCCAAACTGAAGCTCAGAGGGGATAGATCTTTTTCTGTTGCGGCCCCAAAATTATGGAACAAGCTACCCCTCCAAATTAGACAAGCCCCCACACTGTCCATTTTTGAGACTCGTCTTAAAACCCTTTTTTATTCATTGGCTTTTAACCCTGCATGAGACTCCGCTTCTGTTTTAGTGTTTTATGGTTTGTTTTTAGTTATTTGTTTCTTTGTTTTTAAATTAGTTTTTAAAAACATTGTAACTATATTTTACTTTTTAATTCTGCTTTTATTTTATCCACTGTTTTAATTGTTTTTTGATTGTTTTTTATGTCTAGTTGTTTTGTCTATTTATGTACAGCACTTTGTTTAGCTGTGGTTGTTTTAAAGTGCTTAACAAATAAAGTTGAGTTGAGTTGAGAGTTGAGATTAGGAGTATAATTCTTTGGTTTTTGTAAGGTTAGAAGGATTCTTTTTATTTTTTTAGAGTAAGAGGATTATACTTTGGTTTTTGTTGGGTAAGGACAATTATTCTTTGTTTTTTTTGAGATTGTAAGGATTTTTCTGTGATGTCTGTCAGGTTAAGAGGATTTTTTTTTATTGTAAGGATTCTTCTGTGATTTTTGTCAAATTGGGAGGATAATTCTTTGGTCTTTGTCAGGTTAGAAGGATTATTCTTTGGTTCTTGTTCAGGTAAGGAGGATTGTTCCTTGGTTTTGTAAGGTGAGGATGATAATTCTTTGTTTTTTTTCATCATATTAGGAGGATGCTGTTTAAAGTTTCCAGATATTGTATCCATCCAGTGTTTTTTGTGCTCTCAGCCTGATTCTAAATCTGTTTGTTCTTCTGAGCTCTTATTAATAATTAGCTCTAAAAGCACAACCACAGGGTTGATTTATATCACATAACTGCTAAATAATAGCTATAATAAATTCACTTATGTCTTTAACTACATAACAGGCCACTGCAGCACAGCGTATTAACACCCTCTATACCTGTGTGAATAATTGAAGCCGCCCGCTGACTGTTTACGATCTGTTTGCGCCATTATTTCTGTCCCTGCTGGTTTTATTTGTGCACTTTATCAGTTTAATGTTGTTTAAAAGAAGGAAATGAAGCCAGAGTGATGCCATGTTTTCTAAACTGAAATCTAATGGGGACGGTTTAAGTGAGTGATCATTAAAAGTGACAGTGATGATTAAATAAACAGAAACACATTAAAGAAATTAATAGACATCTGTTCAGCCAGATGGTTCCAGTTTGTTTCAATATCAGAATGAATTAAATTATTTTATAGACATGTAATAAGATAAGACAAATGAAGGTAGTATAGAAAGCTGAACCTGTTCGGTTATTTCTGCAGGCTGTACCGCACCTTTAAGGATAATAAATATGTGTACATGCTGCTGGAGGCCTGCCTGGGTGGAGAGGTGTGGAGTCTGCTCAGAGACAGGTAAGAACCAAAATCACTGTCCAAGTTACAAAGTGCACATAAAGTCACCAGCTAACTGAGCTGCAGAGCAAACAGCATTAGTGTGATCCAGCTCTGTTTGCACATACAGTTTGTTAGCGAGCTGTTCCTTCTGATTTATGAGGGGATAGAGCAGGGAATGAGGGTTCAGAGCTAGCTGTCCCATCAGGATAAGGGTGCACAGCACAGCTCTGTGCAGTAGAGAGTCGAGATGCAGACAGCTTATCTCCTCAATCTGATACAACACAAGAGCAAACTGCACAGACCTGCAGAGTCTTATGGGCATGTATGTGCTTAAGTATCACTAGATCTAGATCTTAATGGACCAAGCTCTGAGACAGACCAGATAGCTGAGCTGGGCACTAGAGTCTTGGTGATTTAGAGGCCTCACCATCCTCAGAAAGGTCACCCTCGAGGGATCTCCTCAACAGTTTCAGATCAGACCTGACTTTTGAATCAGAGGAGTTTGTATTTGTCTCATCCTGCAGGGGGAGCTTCGACGAGCAAACAGCCAAATTCTGTGTCGGCTGTGTCACAGAGGCATTCGATTACCTCCATCGTAAAGGGGTCCTCTACAGAGACCTTAAGCCTGAGAATCTGATGCTGGATACTGATGGATACATCAAACTGGTGAGACCAGGCCCAGGGACTTAAATGATCTGTGTTCAAACCAGACAGTATCAGGAACTGAGTGCCCTGAAACTGTCTGGAAAATGTCAGGAGCTAATGTTTGAAAGAGACCAGAGTATGCAGGTGACGGACAGGTGACCTTTATAGTCCTTTCAATCCATCTAAATCAAGTGGTTTAACAGTTCTGTGAATTTGAGTCCATCATTAGGTCCTAGGTGTATTTGAGAGTCATAACACAGCTAAAAGTCTGCCAAAAGAGGAGCAGAGAGACTATAACAATTGTTTTTATATGAGATGAGGGTCGAGCATGTTGTTTGTGCTAAGTGGGGATGGATTGGTTCTGGTTCTTCAGGTCTGGCCAGTCAGCTGTATTGGGTTTGATTTATCTGCAGAGAATCTTCTATGCAGTTTTAGCTGTCGTAGCAGGAAGCTGCTCATCAGAGCAGGGTTTGTGAAATCTCATTTTAGAAAAGTAAAGTTGGAGGTATTTTTCAGATGCAATGAGGTTCAGATCAGTGTTCAACAAGCCCTAAAAGTTAACAGATCTGTTTCTTCATCCCAGGTCGACTTTGGTTTTGCTAAGAAGGTCAGATGTGGACAGAAGACATGGACTTTCTGTGGAACGCCAGAATATGTGGCTCCTGAGATCATCCTCAACAAAGGACACAACTTCAGCGTGGACTTCTGGGCTCTGGGTATCCTGGTGTTCGAGCTCCTCACCGGCAGGTTAGTGCAGGAGTCGTTCACAGAGAGGATTTAGCAGAGGAAGGCTAAAAAACAAGCTGCTGCAGACTTTCAGAGAATCAGAAGCTGACTTTGTGTTCCTCCACAGCCCTCCGTTCTCAGGCAGCGATCAGATGATGACCTACACCTTCATCCTGAAAGGTATCGAGAAGATGGATTTCCCCAAAAAGATCACAAAGAGACCGGAGGACCTCATACGCAAACTCTGCAGGTAAAAATGATGGCACTAAGTCCTAACCCAGAACTCAGACCAGTCATACTCTGCCTCCAGGTTTCTCTGATCAGAATCTTGTGATTCAAAAGTTCACTCATAAGTATTTTACCATAAAGGAATCTGCTGTAGATGATAAAAAAGACAACTTTGGAGGTGGCTGATTCAAATCCTGCAGATTAATCACATACTTGCAGTCCATTGTAATGAAATGTTTTTGACTAGATCAGGTCTAAATTGGTCCATCTTAAGCTGAATCTGTTGGATTGTGGGATGAAGATTAAAGATCCATTATGAACTCTACTCAGTTTTTTATATAAATATATTCTTTCTGTATGAAAAGAAGGATCTGGAGTTCTAGCTGTGTCTTAAGAAGTTGTGGAGATGAGTCAGAACCACAGACACTAGTCTACTTGTGCTTTCTTCACTTTGACTAAGGTCCATCAGAATCATAAGGAGGTGGTGTTGTGTGGATGTCTTAGCACTTTGGATTTTGCTGAGTTCTTGAAAAGCAAAAATTAACACCTGACATTAAAAATGTCTTTCAAAATAAATAATGTTCTTAAATAAATAAATAATGTTGGTCTTTGATTTTACAGGAGAAACCCGTCAGAGCGATTGGGCAACCTCAAGAATGGGATAACTGACATCAAAAAGCACAGGTGAGAAGAGAACCACTCACTTTGGTGTTTGGACTTGTTTAGAAAGATTAAAAAAGGAGCATTTATTGATTAACATTATTATGATCAGTGTTTAGTGCTCCATCAATGCCACAATCACAAATCACCTCATGAGTTAGAGGACAGGATGTCAAACCCATAAGTCTTTTTTGTCTGCAGGTGGTTTAATGGATTTAACTGGGAGGGACTGAAGGCCAGAACTCTACCGTCTCCACTGAAAAGAGAAGTATGAGCATATATTTGTGCTTAGTAGTAACCAGCAGTCTCTGCAGGTTTTTCCTCTGGTTTATGGCAGATGGTATCCTTTACACTGCTACATTTTCACCACCTAGTGTTGGAGAGTTTTAGCTCTCAATACAGATGTAACTACTAACCCCTAAAGTAGGAGGAAAAAAAATATATATCTGTTTGAAACATGGACATGGTGTGAACAGTTGCCATGAGAGAGCTGAGCTACAGAGACCCAAACGGTTTCTACCATCAGGCTATAAACATGTTTGTTACAGCTGTTGGACAGTTTAACGTGGAGCTCACCCTTAAGTGGACACTGGAGGAACTGCAGCAATTCTGCTTCAGCATTATTAATCATTCATACTGATGAGTAATAATGCTATCCAAATAAGGAGAAGTGGGTGGAGCTTGGGATAAAAAGATACTTGCAAATGCAAACAGCTTCTTGTCAGGAAAATAAACTTACCAACCAAGAGAATGCAGGTTTTAGACTTTTCTGCACTGGTTTATTAAAGGGGACCTGCCATCAAAATGTAATTTTGTGGGTTTTTTGTGTCAGATAAGGTCCATATTATGTTCGTCTTATGTTGTAAATGTGAAAACAAACCGTTACTTCGTTTGCATTCTGTAAAGGTTTAAAATAAAGGAATGGGTAAACCAGGCCAATTGAAAAAGCAGGCCCCTCTGACGTTGCGCTGACCTTGCTCATTATTATTCACGAGCACGTCCTCGGTGAGTCGCGCCCACTCTCTCGTTCTCGTACTCAGTCACAGCCAGAGCGAGACCCAGCTACCACTATATCCGCTATGGGTCTCTTCCAAACGACCAGTGTTTCCTTGGGTTCACTGCCGGAAAATGAACTTAAAGCTGGGCAGAATGAAAGAAAACACAGCTGGAGATCTCCGGCTTCTTCTTCAACTTCCACCTCCTCTTTGGACTCGGGGTCTAAAATATATGGTGTAATACCTGCCGTTTTTAGCCTTTAGCATTAGGTGACCAGACGTCCCCGATTTCAGGGGACAGTCCCCGTATTGGATGACCTGTCCCCGGCAAAAGCTGTCCCTGAAAATGTCCCCGATTTAAGCGTTTCATGAATGAGAGCGAAAATGTTGCGTGTGGGCTCGAACAACGGTTATTACAGTAGCCGAATAGGTAGGAAGCACAAGTAAGCAGTCCTGAACAACAGTTTTTAAGGGGGTTATTACAAGGGGCATGCGCTTCTACTAAATAGTACCGAGATTTTGTCTGTGATCACACAGCCCCTGCACCCGCCGCTGCCGCCGCACTGAATATCCCCGGATATCATTACAGACATCTGGGCACCTTACTTTAGCACACATTAGCAAAATGGATAAACCGAAATCTGAACCTCCACTGCTGAGCCAATCAGAGCACAGCAGGCTTCACAGCAGCGATCCAATCAGAGCAAAGCTCATTACCATAAATGTTAATGAGCCAAAATCAGTTGGTTTTCCTGTAAGGTTTTTTAGGCACTAAAAACAAACCATCAAATAACTTTTCAGCTAAAATTATGTTGCAAACATGATCAGAGGACATCAAGGATTATGAAAAAATGATTGAAATGGATAAGAAATTTTGATGGCAGGTCCCCTTTAAGAAAATAGGAAATCCACTATTTTATACTGCTTTACTTCATCACAAAGCTAACAAGGAAAATACATAAATTATGAAATACTTTTTAGTTGACAAATAAGAGTGCCAAAAGTGAATGTAAATTGAAAAGCCTGACGTGTTTATTAAGTGTATATAAAACCCCCACCCCTATGTTGCTCTTGAAATATAAAAGTTTCCTCTGGTGCTTGCTCTCAGAGGCCTGTACTATGAAACTAGATTAACACACAAAGGATAACTCTTCCACAACTTGCTCAAATTCACCAGATCTCCATATCCTGATCCTCAACACAGCAACATCTGTGACATGTGGAGAGGAATCAGTACCATCTCTGGACACAGCAATAAAAAGAAAAGAGCTGATGAACTCAACCTGTTCTTCTTTCAAAGGTCTTTTTATTGATAGCAAATCATGTATAAGACACAGTACAGGAAGGTAAATTTTTTCTGACATCCTCCACCTGTATCGCAACACGTCCCATGCCCAAACATGGGCAGACACAGGTAACCATCAACAGAATTGCATAAGGGCAGAACAATGAGAATTATGACAAAATAATAATAATAAAAATAAATAGATGGAGAAAATGCATAAGAATGATCAACAACAGTTCACAGGAAATATATGTAAGCACAGTCTAAATTAAAAACAGAGACTCAGACAAAAAAGAAGTAAAAAGAAATGTAAAAAAATACTTGAAACTACTGATGCTGGATACTGATGGATACATCAAAACTACTTAAAAAACTACTCTGAAATTTTTGTTGTGGGATTCTCGTAAAATACCAAAAAGAGGTTCCATATTCTGTAGAATTTATTCTCTGATCCTTGGATAGTGTACCTGACCTTTTCTAAGTTCATGCAGGACATCATATCCCTGAGCCACTGTGAGTGAGAGGGAGGAGCAGTATCCTTCCACTTAAGTGAGATGGCTCGCCGAGCTAGCAAGGAAGCAAAAGCCACAAAGTTGAGCGAAACTTTGGGCAGAGCTAAGTCCGGAGCAATGCCAAAAATAGCAGTCAGAGGATTGGGCTCGATTCTATGATGAAGAGTCTCTGAGATCGCCTGGAAGACTAGTGACCAGAAGTTATCTAATGAGGGGCATGTCCAGTACATGTGATAAAGCGAGGCAGGTGCACCTTTACATTTATCACATGTAGGGTCAACATCAGGGAACATTCGCGCTAATTTGGTTTTTGAAATGTGAATCCAGTGTACTACTTTGAATTGTAAGAGTGCATGTCGGGAACACATAGAGGAGGAGTGTACCCGATCCAGTACTGAGTCCCATGTCCCCTCTGTAAAGGTATAATTCAAGTCTTGTTCCCAAGCATATCTCAAAGCCGCCACAGAGGGACAGTGCAGATTGGAAATAGGATTAAATAAGATAGACATAGTACCCCTAGATGTGGGGTTAACCAAGAGGAATGTGTCGACGGGGTTGTCTAAAGGCTTACTAGGAAATTGGACTGTTAAACGCTGTATAAAGTCTTGAATTTGCAAAAATCTGAAATAATGTGACTTGGCAATATCAAACGTGTCAGACAATTGGGAGAAGCTAGCAAAGCAATTATTAATGTATAAATCAGCAAAGCATTTCAATCCTTTCCTGTGCCAAATTTTAAATGTGCCATCAGCCATTGAGGGAGCAAAGAGATGATTTGCAGCAATTGGGCTTTGAAGTGAAAAATGTTGCAACCCGAAACTCTTCCTGAATTGGCCCCAGATTAACAAAGACTGTTTGACTACAGGGTTACTGTTGGGGATAGCTGAAGCTAGAGGAAGTGCAGCACCTGGGAGGGTAGGTAAGGAAACAGGGCTACTAGCACAAACCTCCATTGTCACCCAAGCTGGAGAGGAGGGCTCAAGATGGAAGTGCCTCCAATACAACATACACCTAATATTGGCTGCCCAGTAGTAGTACTGAAAATTAGGCAAAGCCATTCCCCCCACCCGCTTAGGTCTTTGAAGAAATGCCTTCCGTAACCGTGGTTGTCTACCATTCCAAATATAGGATGTCATTAGTGAGTCAAGGGCCTTAAAGAAAGATTTGGGGATAAGAATGGGGAGGCACTGAAATAAATAGAGGAATTTGGGAAGCAATGTCATTTTGATTGAATTTATTCTGCCAATGAGGGACAAGGACATGGGGGACCATCTAGACAAAATCTATTTAACCTGATCAAATAGAGTGAGAAAATTGGATTTAAATAAATTTTTTAATTCTCTAGTGACACATATTCCAAGATAGGTAAAATGATCTTTCACCACCTTTAATGGGAGATCCATGTAGCTTAGTTTAAGAGTCTCTTTATTAATCGGGAATAGCTCGCTTTTGTTTAAGTTGAGTTTGTATCCTGAAAATTGGCTGAAATTCTCCAAGATATTGAGAGCTTCCGGTAGAGAGGTGGATGGTTTAGAGACAAGTAGAAGTAAGTCATCTGCATACAGCAAGACCTTGTGTTCGATTCCCCCCCTCCATACGCCCCTTATCCTCTCACAACTACGTAACGCAATCGCCAGAGGCTCGATAGCAATTGCAAACAGGAGCGGGCTTAGCGGCCAGCCCTGTCGTGTCCCACGGTGAAGGTCGAAATATTTTGAGTAATGACTGTTGGTTAGAACTGAGGTAGACGGACATTTGTACAATGTCCAGAAATTACAGGGCCAAATCTGAATTTTTCAAGCGTCTGAAAAAGATAACTCCACTCTATTCTGTCAAATGCCTTCTCAGCATCCATAGAGGCAAGGCATTCAGCATCAACATGTTTTGAAGAGTAAAGAATGTTGAGTAGACAACGAATATTATAGAATGAATAGCGTCCCTTAATAAATCCAGTTTGATCCGGAGTAATTACAGAAGGAAGGGTATCCTCAAGTCTGTTTGCCAAAACTTTGGCAAGGATCTTCACATCTGTGTTTAGTAATGAAATCGGCCTGTATGAGCCACAATCAAGTGGGTCCTTGTCTTTCTTGTGTAACAGGGTGATACAGGCCTGGTTAAATGAAGGAGGGCGTGTACCTGAGTTCAAAGAATCAGAAAACACTGAGCACAGGAAAGGGATCAAATCAGTAGAGAATTTTTTTTAAAAATCTGAAGGGAGTCCATCTGGGCTGGGAGATTTACCTGATTGCATAGATGATATTGCTGCAGAGACTTCTTTCTGGGTGATGGGAGCTTCGAGATTATTTCTAAGGTCTTGAGAAAGGGACGGTAAGTCAAGGTTATTGAAGAAGTTTTCCATAATATTGACGTCAGTAGTACAGTTTGAAGAGTATAGATTAGAATAGAAGGTTCTGAATTGATTGTTAATTGTTTTCTGGTCAGATGAAATACTGCCATTTTCAGTCCGTAATGCAGCAATAAGTTGTTTTGCTCTTACCCAACGCAGCTGATTAGCTAGGATTTTGCCGTTTTTTTCACCACGTTCATAATAGTTACTTTTACTCCGAATTAAATGATTTTCAATTTGGCGAGACGAGAGAAGATTCAATTCTGCCTGGAGTTTCAAATGCTCCTTGTACAGTTCTGGAGATGGTGAATTTGCATATTGTTTATCTATGTTTAAGATCTGGTTCGCAATATCAGTCTGTTTTTGCCTTGAACACTGCTGCGAAAGATATAATTTGTCCTCTCAGGTACGCTTTCATGGTTTCCCAGATTGTTTTATTCGACACATCTGGTGTTTTATTAATGCTTAAAAAGGTCTTGATATATGATGAGATATGTGTGAGAAAGCATTCGTCAGAGAGCAACAATGGATCTAGTCTCCAGTGTCTCCTTGCATACTCAGCGTCTGGAAAGGCTAACACCATGACCAGGGGAGCATGATCTGAAATAATGATAGCTTCATAACTGCATGACTTTAGATCTGAGATTGATTTATTGTCTGTAAAGAAATAATCAATTCGAGTATACGTGTGATGGACATGAGAGAAGAAGGAGTATTCTCTCCCTGAGGGATACAAGAACCTGCAGGGGTCAGAGAGGCTAAAATCATCAAGAAACGCTTTGACATATCCAGCAGACTTGCTAAGAGTGGTAGGTTTAGGAGAGGAGCGGTCTAATGTTGCATCCAAAAAACAATTGAAATCTCCACCAAGAATTAGAGAGTGAGAATTTAGATCAGGAAGTTCAGAACTTATTGAAAAACTGTACATCATCTTTATTAGGCGCGTAAAAATTGGCTAAAACTACTACCTGAGACAATGATAAAATGACCAAATTTATCTGCTATGATGTTGGAGGCCTCAAAAGGAATGTTTCTATCAAATAGAATAGCCGCACCTCTGGCCTTTCCCCTGAAGCTGGAATGGAAATCTGACCTGCCCAGTATTTGCCAAAACGCCACTGATCAGTCTTGTAAGTGGGTTTCCTGCAGGAAGGCTACCCCAGCCTTGAACTGTTTTAGGTGTTCCAAAACTTTATTTCTTTTAATTGGGTGATTTAACCCCTTAACATTCCAGCTTATGAAATTGAGATTACCTTTCATCTAAAAGAAGCTTGAAGGATAATAGAGTAAGTAGCCCCAAGGGAAGAAAGAGAAGAGAGGGAGAAAGAAAAAACAAACAGAGAAAGAAAAAAAAAAACAACAACAACAAGAACAAAACGAACAACAGCAATATGTCAACAAACCCCTGAACCAACCCAACCCCAAACTCACACAGCGCTCCATAGAGCGACCACAGAGTGACCCCCTCAGGTCTCAGCATAAACATACCAAGAACTTACTTCCTATTCACTAGCTCCCATAAAGTTTAACAATTAACCCTCTAACCAGTAGAGTAGAAACCTCATAATTGTCCACAATTGTTTACTCGCAGAAATCAGGATGATCATTGGACACCATTCAGTGTCACGGCGGTGTGGACTCACTCTCTCCCAGGCTGTGGAGGAATTTGGTGGCTTTATTGACAGACGTGAACCACTTCTTCTCGCCGCTCTGGAGAGTAATGCGCAGCTTTGCCGGGAAGAGCAGAGAAGGATGGAGACCTCTTCAGCCATAACATCTTTGTATTTCGCTCACTGCTTTAAGACATCAGCACTATAGTCCTCATAGAATCGGAGCTTGTGGCCGCGGTGTTCCAGCTCTCCTCGTTTGCGCGCCTCCCTAATCACCAAGTCCTTCAACTGGTACCGATGAAAGCGAATGATAACGGGATGGGGTTTGTCCCCCGGGCCGGGCTTGGGAGCGAGGCTGCGGTGCGTTCTGTCCAGCTCCGGGGGGAGAAGGGAGTATTTCCTTGCCTAGGACGTCTACTAGGAGCTGGGAGAAAAAGGTGGTAGGGCGTGGACCCTCGACAGACTCAGGTAAACCCACAATGTGGATATTCTGCCTCCTGCTGCGTCCTTCTAAATCGGAGAGTTTTGATTTCAGCCACTTGTTGTCTTCTTCTAACGCAGAGCACGTAGCTTCAAGTTGCTGCAGCTGTTGGCTGACCCCGTCTGCATTAGACTCCAGATTGGTAATACGCTGTCCTTGGCCCGAGACCTCAGCTTGAATCTGGTCCAGCTTGGTTTCCAGACTTGCAAAAGATGTCCTGAAGTCAGCGGCGAGGGAGGTCCTGTGCTTCTCAAGCAGATCTGCGATGTTCCCCGCTGACGCGTTAGCTGTGCCGCTAGCATTAGCTGCTGAGGTATCCGCTGCTGCATCTTTTTTTGCATTGTTTCCTGTATTTTGACATAGCTTTTTGTTGTGGTATCGAAACTGTCTGTAATCAGACCCAGATGCACCACATTAAAATGAAAAAAGTTGGGTTCGAAAAGGTAAAAGATGGGAGCCAGAAAACTTCCCTCCTACTCCATGCTCAGCAAACCGGAAGAAAAACTCAACCTGTTCTTCAACAGATTTGACACTGCTGTCACACCCACTTCCACTGCTACTCCACCTTCCTCTCCGCAACAAATCTCCACTACAACTTCTCCCCTTCCTCCTCCATCTCGTTCAAATATCTAAACCACTTCAACTGCCTCCCTCCTAAAACACCAGTCCGTGTCTGTCACCAAAACAGGAGTGAGGATGGAGCTTGGAGGACTTTGTCCTGGGAAGGCAGCTGGTCCAGATGGTGTGTATCCAAGGCTGCTTAGAGACTGTGCTGCAGAACTGTGTCAATGTCTCCACAGGATCTTTAACCTTTAAGTCTACAGCTAGGGCGAGTACCTGCTCTGTGGAAAACATCCTGCATTGTGCCAGTACCAAAAACAAAATGTCCTGCTGAACTCAATGACTACAGACCAGTGGCCCTCACTTCACACATCATGAAGACCCTGGAGCAACTGATTCTACGCCTTCTGAGGTCTGAGGTCAGAGACGAACTGGATTCCCTGCAGTTTGCATACAAAGAACACATTGGAGTGGATGATGCTGTCCTCTACATGCTTCACCGTGCCCCACTCATCTGGAGGAACCTGGGGTTTATGTGAGGATCATGTTCTTTGACTTTTCAAGTGCATTTAACACCATCCAACCCACTATACTCAAAGACAAGCTCACAGAGATGGGAGTGGATCCTGCCTGTGTTTCCTGGATCACAGATTACCTGACAAGAAGGCCACAGTTTGTCAGGCTGGGGAACTGTGTTTCTGGGACATTAATGAGCAGTACAGGGGCTCCACAAGGGACAGTGCTGGCACCATTCCTGTTCACACTGATTCTGTCAGACTTCAAATACAGCACTGAGTCCTACCGCTATTGTGGCACGTATCAGAAATGAACAAGAAGGTGAATGCAGAGATCTAATAAGAGCCTTCAGTGACTGGAGTCACAAAAACTGCCCCCTCCTCAACACCTTAAAGACAAATGAGATGGTCATAGACTTCCATAGATCCAAACCCCCTTTTCAGCCAGTGAACACCTGTGGAGTGGACATTGAAGTGGTGACATCATATAAATACCTAGGTGTACATTTGGATAATAAGTTGGACTGGTCTAAGAATATAGACTTCATTTACAGTAAGGGGCAGAGCCACTTCTTTTGCCTGAGAAGACTCCAATCAGTTGACATCTGTAGTAAGATGCTGCAGATGTTATATCAGTCTGTGGTGGCAAGTGTGCTGGGGAGGAAGCATCAAACACAGAGATGTGATACGTCTTAACAAACTGGTGAAAAAGGCTGGCTCTGTGGTTTGACTCAAGCTGGACTCAGTGGAGGATTTTTGTGGAGAGATCTACACTGAGGAAGGTGGAGACTATTCTGAAGAACATGGATCACCCACTTCACAACACCTTGATGGACCAAAGGGCAAATGGTGGTGGACGGCTCCTCTCTCTTAGCTGCAGGACAGAAAGATTCAGAAGATCTTTTGTGCCAACAGCCATTAGACTTTATAACTCTTGTGTAAATAGTAGATAAATGTAAATAGTAGATACTTTTAGAGACATGTCAAGTGAAACAACAGACAATTGAATTTCCCTTCAGGGATTAATAAAGTTCTTCTTATGTCATCTGCAGACACAGTTAGGGTTAAGAGGAGTTTTCTTATCTCCTTCAATAAATTCTAAAATAAATAAATTCTAAATGTTAACTGATATGCCGCATAAAACTGGAACTTGGAGCTTGGCAAATATTAGTGCATTGCTTAGATCTCATGCTACCTTAATATTGAGGCTGCGGAAGTTTTTGCGGTTTACATAGTCTGCCTTACTTGGCCCCAGACTGGTTGTAATGGGGATGTGTGTGCAGTCTATGGCCCTCTGGGGAAGCCTGAGAAAAGGGAGGATTCAATATCCAAATGCATAAATAGAAAAGTTCAATATGTGGACTTGCCATTTATGACCCTGCCTGCCAGTGCATAAAACCCCTCTTTGATGGCATGCAGGGGCAGATGGCGAGGAAAAAGGACAAACATGTCCAGCAGATCCGTTAGTGCCCTATCAACTGCATGAACTGCTTTGCAGCAGGTATTTTTGCTGAGGTTTTCTGTATCAACCACAGCATGGATAAAAGTGCCTGTGGGTTTTGTAGCAAAAATGAATAAGTGAAGGAATAAAGTAGCCTAATGCAAATCCTTATTTAGTCTTTTCATGTGAGCCATGCTTTGTCAGTGTAAAATAACATGAAGATAATTAGACAACTAAATCTGTAAAATACTCACCGCTGCAAGACAGACAGTCTGCGGGCTCAGATTTGTCAGTGGGCAGTTTTTTATACCCTGCTCTCGAGCAGGTTTGGCGTTCCCTGTAAGTAACCAGGGCAATGAACCTGAATTGAAAGAAATCCACTATCGTAGTACGGAAAACCCAGGAGTTATCCAGAAGTTATCTCGCTAAGATCAAATCCAGCTCTGTAGTACAGGACTCTATTAACGTAAACAAAGGTTTCTCAAGTTTCTGTTCTTGTGGATAAAATTTAAACTATCTGTACCAATGCTCTTTGGTACTAAAATGTAATGTAAACAAAAGTGCTTACTCTCTGGTGTATAAACATAAAGAAAGGTGCTTGGTCTCTGAGGCCTGTACTATGAAGCTGGATTTGATAACTTCTTGAATAACTCCTGGGTTTTCCATACTACAAGGTGGATTTCTTTCTATCCGGGTCAGTTTCCCTGGTAACTCACGTGGGACGCCTGCTCCAGAGCAGGTTATGTTTCAGGATAAGATCTCAGCAGGTATAAAAGACCACCCACTGACCAATTGGATCGCTTGGAAAAATGGCTTGCCCATTTTTACCAGATCCCGTGGACACCAGTGCACGGATAGTGAGAACAGCACTTCGCTGAGAGCGTTATATTCATAATCGTTCAAATCCGTTTGATTTACCTGACATTCTCTCTGAACGATAGAGATTTTCCTCATGCAGCCTTAATATTCAGGTAGCATAAGTCTAAGCAATGCACTAATATTTGCCAAGCTCCAAGTTCCAGTTTTATGTGGCCTAACAGTCATCATTCAGAATTTATTGAAGCAGAGTAGAAAGCTCCTCTTAACCCCAAATGTGTCTGCAGATGACATGTGACCATCAGATGATGAAGAAAAAGGAAGAAAAGCTCGTCATCAAGGCAGTGTGAGGAAATCACTGTTTACATGTTGAAATATGTAAAAATAAAATCTAACAAGAAACCCATTAACCACTTTAGGATGTTTTTCTATTTATTTTATTTGCTCCCACGTACTCTTTTCCCCTCTGCTGTTGCATCTGAAATAATGATGTCAATGATGATGGTGATCGCACACACTACATGACAACATATAAGTGGACAATAAATTTATGAACGCACAAATGTAATTTACACAATCAGCGCTTTTTTGCCAGCAGTCCCTCCAGCTTCTAGCCGTGATGGCATTCTTGCTCCTCGCAGTCTCACCAGTCTCACGATTATTCCTTATATTTGTGCTCTGTTCCTCGGCTGTGAAATATGATGCGCAGCCTTCTCCATTGTGGAGATTGGTCCGCTGGCACTGACCCCACTCCCTTTACATGTGCGCGCACGGATCTAGATTGGCTACAACTGGATTCAGTTATCGAGCTGATATCCTGCCTCATAGTACAGCTGATCGGGATCTGGTGAATTTGAGCAAGTTGTGGCGGAGTTATCCTTGGTGTGTTAATCCAGCTTTGTAGTGCAGGCCTCTGGTGTATAAATGTAAACAAAAGTGTTTACACTACACAAACATTTTAACTACCTGTATCAATGCACTTTGGTACTCAAATGTAAATGCAACCTTTGGCTGCTCTTTAAGTTCAACCTGACTATATGTGGGTTTTTCTGAGTAATTCTTGTCATTGAATACTATTTTTAATCTTTCCCTGCATACAGCAGGTTCATGTTCATCTTTTTGCCTCTACCCCTCAGACATGCTGAGTATGCTTGAGGTTTCTCTAACAACATCATATTAATATTGTATAATCATCTTCAGAAACCGCTCACCTCTCTTCTCAATGTCTTCTGTCTCACAGCTGAAAGGCTCAACAGATCACAGTTACTTTGACAGCTACCCTCCTGATGAAGACCCTCCTCCTGATGAGCTGTCAGGCTGGGACATGGACTTCTGAAACCTTCTGCTCTGTCCTGTCCTATTTTCATTCCAAACCAAGAACCAAACCCAGAGAGCAGAGAGGGTTCGATATCACCTGGCTGGAAGTTTTATGGTCTGGAAAACAGAAGCTGCAGTTAGACAGTTACTTAAAGCTATGGACAGCTGTCTCAACACAAATAAAGAGCAGCTGAGTAAAAATTAGCACAAGACCCCAGGTGTGGTGAACATATGACACCTAGCTGACTGAAAGAGAAATTATCTGTAATTCTAATTCTTAATCTGATTTAATCAGATGAGTTTTCTATATATTCAGCTCTAATGGGTGTCATAAATAAAGAAATAAACTAAACTGTTTGTGTGTGTGTGTGCGTGCGTGCGTGCGTGCGTGCATGCGTGTGTGTGTGTGTGTACGGAATGAAAATGTTAAAGCTGTAGCCTGGAGATAATGACTGCAGGATACAGCTGTTTGTTGGTATTTTACATAAGGTTTCCTTTTAAGGATAGGTTTTGCAGCAAATTGACTTTATTTTGTGTTGTCCTGTAAAGATGATTTCACTCCCTCTTTTCCCCAACCAGGACTCTTCTTCTACAGAGCCATGCTGTTGTGATACATGCAGAATAAGCCGGGTGGTCCCTCAACTCTTCATAGAGGAGGATGCAGCAACCATGATTTCTAAAAAGTCAGAATTTGATTGATCGGCCTGTAGGACAGTTTTCCTCTTTCCCTCAGTCCACCTCAAATGGGCTGAGTCCAGAGTCCAGAGAAGTTCCTGGTGTTTCTGGATCATGTTTCTTTCAGGTGTAAAATTTTTATCAAATAGTATTAAACTAAGAGTTCTTTAAAAAAAAAAAAAATCACCTAAAATTAAAACCTGATTCTCAGAAAGGATCACTTTGTTTTTGTCATATTAAAATATTATTTTAAAAACCAGGTTGACTGCTACCCAGTTCACAAAACCTATCCGTGTAGGTTTGGGGCCTACAGGGTGACCGCTCCACTTGTCTGCTGATAAAAATTGAGATTTGCCCTATGTGCTGAGATCTGGATTAACTTGCTTGGACTGCAGCCCCTCACAACTTGATCTCAATAAGAGGTAGAAAATGGATGGATGCACTTTTGTTGTAAAAGTACATTTTTATTCTTCAGTAAGACACCATGTCAAACGTTTATACTCTGATCTTGTGACTAAATTTTCTTACAACTTTTCACACATAAAATATTGTTCAGTTTTTATAAGGTTACAAATCTATCCTGAAAATTTTCTTTGACTTTTTTCTTTAAATATTCGATTTTTTTCCCCTTTCATTACTCCATTACCAGAACCTGCGCTCAGCCAAGGGGCAGCAAAGTCTGGTCTCTGAATTTTCTGCAATTTTTGATCTAATTTTGCGTATTTTTATCAATTTTGTCAACTGCTGATGGATATTTCTGCGAGGATAGGGGTTTATTCATGAGGAGAGCTTTTATTGAGACAGAGCAAATCTGGACCAAAACATCCGAGGTGTTTTGTGGTTGCTGTGTTGGCGAGGAGGTGAAGGCCAAGTTGAAGGCTTGGAAATGGAGATATAAACCCTTTCTTCCACCAGTCATCATGGGAAACATCACCCCTCTGTCCAACAAAAGTAACGAACTGGAGATATTGGTGAAGACTGAGAAAGCATACCCTAAAGGCTAAAGTTTTGTGATGTTCTCCATATAACAATTGCTAGGACTCAACATGGTGAAAAAAGCTGGCTCTGTGGTAGGACTCAAGCTGGGCTCAGTGGAAGATGTTGTGGAGAGATGCACATTTAAGAGGGTGGAGACTATTCTAAAGAACATAGAACATCACTTCATAACACCTTGATGGACCGAAAAACAACAGTGGTAGATGGCTCCTCTCTCTTCACTACACGACAGAGAGATTCAGAAGATCATTTATACCCACAGCCTTCAGACTTTACAATTCTTCTTTACATAGTAGATGAGATTAGAGTCTGGACAAATGAATTTCCCTTTAAAGATAAATAAAGTTCTTGTATTTTATTACACTGTGGAATTTTTAATTATCAGGTCTTGAAAAAAAAGAAAAACATCTCTTTTAGGTCTGCATACTTTTATTCATTTCTTTGAGTTTGTGTAGGGATGGTCGGGGCTCAGAGGAGGAGGGGTCCTTTCAAAACTCTCACATCTGTCGTGATAAGTGTCCATCACAGTCATAAAAAACATCAATGTTTCCGAGCTTTGGCCCTCTCTCTCAGACCTCACCTCTACAAGATATTCAACATACAGAAAATAAATAGATGCACGTTAAAGGTCATTTCCATATACAAATAATATTTATGAAGCTTATTGTACAAGCATTTTATTTTACCTACAGTGTAAATTTACAAGAAAGGACTGAAGTCTGAAGTGAGCTGCTGAAACTGACTGTAATTCCAACACACATGAATAAAAGTCAGAAAACAGGCAGCCTCTTTTCAACCCTACAGCATACACCGCTGAAATCTTTTTTTGCACAAATATGAACCAAAAACTGGAAAAGAGTCAGTACAAAAAATATGCATACACGGTTATTGACACAAAATAAATGCCTCTGAAATATCAAAATAGTGAATTATCTGAAATACATCAGAGAATTAACTCCACCAGCGATTAAACTTTTCATATATAAAACACTATTTCCAGCTGCTTGTTTGAAGGTAGACTGAGCCCATCTTAACAGGTGATCAATCAAATCAAACCTATTCAAAAGCAGAAATCCCCCCCGCTCAAAAGGCACTTTTTTTCTTAAACAGAGAATACTATCATCTGCATACAGAGAGCTATATACAAAATATAATGTACAAATCTAGAGAGAAAAAATTATGTCGTTATGTCTGCTCTGAATAAATATTTGGTTTTATAATCTCTGACATGAATGTATAACCTGGAAATACCTTCCTGCTCCCCCAGGTGTTTATGCTGGTTCCGTTTTTTTTAAACCTGCACTTGATCAAACAACGCACCCCCTTATGACTCATAAAAACCGCCTCCTTACAGTAAAATTAAAGGTCTATGCAACCATGAAAACAATCTGTCCCTCCCTGATAGTTGCATAGCTCATCATTTTAGGCTTTTGCGACTCAAGGCAAATTGTATTGACTCTGTTGCCCCCTCTGTTTAAAGGAGTACATTGTACGTCTTTGCTGACCCTGTTTGTATCCTGATTAAAAACATTCACTTGCTGTGAATCTTTCCCAAGGGAAATGTAAAACAGGCACTTGAGTTCCACACTTGACACACTCTTTACAACAAAAAAAGACGAGACTATTAATCTGTGAAACAGTTTTTAAATATGATGAATCAGCCATTGGTCTGTGAATGTGGCTTCTTAAGCAATAAAGTCTCTGCGGTATATACAGTCTGCGTTTTGATGGTTGTGATCTTGTTTTAGCTCAGTCTGGGGATGCACACTTATCACCTTTTGATCTAATTTTGCCCTCTTAATTTATAGTACTGAATTAATTCTATTTCTATGACAGTTGGAGAGATTTTGGGTTTATTTTAGCACTGCAGACAGGAGATTTTCATGATCACCCCTAGGCCTCTAGGCCTAGGAGCACGCTCATTAATATGTCCAGCTGTTGACACGACCTGACCATAGCCTATGAGCAGGCCTGTGTTTTGACCTCTTCCTTCCTAACTTTCCCTGCCTCAGCAAATATTTAATAACACCTCTTGATTTTTTCTTTTTTTTTCTCACCAATATGCATCTACTGTATGGCACTTTATAATGTCATGCCAACATGCTCTAACACAGACTTGAGGGTGCAGGGTATAAATGAGGTTGGTTTTTACTGTGCTGCACTCTGATGGTGACAGGAAAAATGATGGGATAACATACTGAACTGTATAGAAATGCATTTTCATAATTGTCACTCTGAGCTGTGAATACATAGATGTCACCACTGTGTAGCAGCGACATGGTCAGACACAGAGAGGGTCAGCCTGAGACCAGGTTATTTAAAAACACAGGATCAGTCCTCTGTGCTGCCAAACTGCAGGACTCATAGTGTGTTTCAGCCTAGTGGTCTGGTTCTGTTCAGTCCAGTTAAGTCTGATTAAACCTGATCTTGCCTACATTTCTAGAGCAGACTATACCTTTCTCTGGCATTAAATCAGGAAGCATGTTGCATGTGCGTACAAGTTAACAGACTAGACTTTAGAGGATTCTTGCATTGCTTCTTTTAGATTTTTTCTCTGTTTTTTAAATAAGCAGCTAGATTTGATGTATTTGAGAACTTTTCGAACTTCTAATGATGGAAATATAAATGACTGAGTGCCTTACCATACTGAAGCAAACCACCTGGTGGAAACACAGCTTTGTCAGTTGAACTTATCTGCCCTCATGAAGGTGTGAAAGCCTCTAATTGTCCTGTAGTTTGAAACATTTGGCTGTTTAATGTTGTAGTTCCCTCTAAATTCCCAAATTCAAATTCAGGAAACGTTCTCGTGTCCCTGCAGATACTTCCTGTAAAAGATGACCACAGGTGCAAAGTAGCTTACTTGTGAAATAAACTCTGAAAATGAGTTTCCTGAACAAAGATGGAGCAGAAACGCTTGACGATCTACTGTACCGCCTCCATGAAGTCCTGGCTTTGGAATCTAATATATAATAACTCTGTATAGCAGCCAAGCCAATAATTATACAATATAGTTCTCATATAGTGAATAACAGTGATAGTTTAGACATAAATACAAACACAGAGTAACAAAAACCATGCAAGTGCCAGTCTGATTTGTGGTAATAATGGAGGACAAGTTAAAGCCAAGGAGGAAAGAGAGGCATTGCTTCAATCCAGAAAAGACAGAGGAGTTTTTCCTCCAGTTTCTCCCTTTTCTGCCTCCATCAACCTTTCTCTGTGCAGAAAGTACATTTATGTTTCCATTAACCCTGCCATCGTCCGACAGATCACTCAGCAGGGGTGAAGTGGGTAGAAATGGAGCATACAGATTTGACTTTCCTCTCCAGCTATCTTTACCACAATCCATTCCTAGCGATGATCATAGAAGTCCATTCTTACCTGCACAATGTGGAACTCTGTCCTCCAGCAAAAACTGCTGTATTTAGAGGGAGTTCAAGAGTGAAGGTATAAAGGATCTGAAGGAGAGGGTGATTTCGTCTGACTGATATTTTCTCTGTTTTTTGGCTGACGTTGTGGGATGAAACAGAAGGCAGTAACTATCTGCAGGCGCAGGAGTCCACGGTCATGTTAGGGTAGACCTTCAGCACCACGTTCTTGTCTTCATCGAAGAAGAGGATGCTGAGAGAGGACATCTTCTCTGGGACGCAGCATGGCTCAGGGATGCCCGGAACGACACCCACCGCCCGAACGATGCTCTGGATGGTAGCGTGGTTAGATGGCTTCAGAGCCTAAAACAATGAGACAAAGATGGGATTATTGAGAAGAACATGCAAAATCTTGTTTATTTAAAAGAACTGTGTGGTATTGAAAAATGTCATTTACACAAACACAGAGGGGTCACCTGTGGAACAGCTGACTGGGAGCAGATATCCTTGTTGTTCCTTGTTAGGAGGAGTTTTTTTTATCAGAGGAGGGGAGCAAAGCTCATCTCTAAAGTGCTGAGTGCAGCTCTTGGCATTTCAGACAGACTTGCTGGGTTCACTACAGAGTCTGCAAGAGGTTCACCTAGTGGTCAGCCAAATGTTACACAATCCTTCAGAGCAAAAATTAAAGACCAAGACAGTCACAGGTAGACGCAGGTGACAACAAAAGCCTCCTCTAAGTAAACCATTGCCAAGTTTTAACTGAACTGACTGCAATAATCTTTTAATCATAAATTTGGAGTCTGGTTCTGCTGCCTGTCATCAGAACCAGACTTTGGACTTTGGCTATTGGTCACTTAATCAGACTTTGATTGCTTTGGCCTTCAGTTCTCTTTTTATTATCACAAATAAAGGCAGGGGGCCATCCACCAATGAGTCTGGTTCTGCTACAGTGTTTTCTCAAATTCATTCAGGTCCCCAGCAGATGTTTCTCCAAACCTGTAGATAGTGTTCAGCATTAATGGAGCCTTCACAGATGTGGAAGCAACCCGTGACATGGACTCTGAGGATCCCCATACCATCAGGGCTGCTGGCTGTGGACAGGGAGCTGAGAACAAGCCAGGTGGACCCTCCACTCTTTCATCACCAGGTTTCATTCATCACCAATAACAACCAGCTGCCTCGTTTATTTACTTCAAGTTTTTCAGCCTGGAGGTGATTATTTCATACATTTAAAGGATTTTACAAACAACCATTTTATTTTTTAATTCAAAGACAGATTGTGCTGTGTGCGTCATATCACCCTGATTTAAAAGAAGTTGTGATATTGTGTACTATGTTGATAAAATTGTTTCATTATTCAGTATTTGGACTGGGTGCTAAGAACAAGCCGGGTGGATCCTCTACTTTACTCAAGAGGAGGATGCAGAATCCATGATTTCCAGAAAGTCTGTCAGACTTTGATTCATTAGACTACTGGACAGTTTTCCTCTTCCCCTCAGTCCACCTTAAATGGACTCAGGTTCAGAAAAGTCTCTGGTTTTTCTGGAACCTGTTTCTATCTGGTTTTCTCTTTGGTTCAGTTTGAACCTCATTTGTGAATGCAGGTTCTTTGAGGGTCTGAGTTTGTCACTTTTTATAAGAAAAAAAATAAGTTTCAGATTCAGACAGTTCTGATTCATGTAGGTCTACTTTAACAGCACTTTAAACTTTGTTTCGTGAGCTCTTCCCTTTGTAGTGAATTTATCTTCATTTCATTGTTCTTCTTGTTTCCAGTGTGATCTTCCAGCTTGCTGTTATCTTTCATCAGGACTGTGCTTTCTTGAGCTTTACAACTGAGTCCAAATCCGCAAAATTCAACATACCAGTATTTCCAGCAGAGGCTTCTGCAGAGCCTGCTGTCTTGATCTCAGTTGTGCTTAATAACTGAGATCAAGCATCTACCAGCAAACTCTGGATCATCAGGATGTTTTTTTCTTTTTCCAAAGAGCAGCTGCAGGTACTTTCAAAGAGTTCACACAGCAGATCAGCTGTTTCATGTCTTACTTTCAAACATGTGACAGGACTCCTCCTGCACCTCATTATAAAGCGGGCAGCTTTAAATGCTGGTTATTTAGCAGCTTCTGAAGCTGCAGCCTGACAAAGGAGGACCAACATCAGAGGAGCGGGAGGGGGAGGCTTCTGGCCTCAGGCTCTTCTTCTGGGACTAACTACATCCAGGACAAAGGCAGGAGACTCTGAGCTAATGAATTAAGTGGATAGATCTGGTGCATTCCGGCCATGTTTCAAATACCTGTTGTGTTATCTTGTCAGCGGGGCTGAGAGTTGAGAGAGCAGCGGACGTCTCAGATCAACTCTCTTTGTTCCATCACATCTCTTAGATGCCTAAATCTGAGCGTTACATTGGCTGCAGCTGAGGAGGGTCTGGCATGAATTAAGCGAGTCTCTGGGTTCGTTTTTGTCAAGCATGCTTGTAAAGTTTTATCGGTTTGGGATGTCGAGGTTTTCCACCTGCTCCTTGAAATGTCTCGTACTGTTTTTCATTTTTTGGGGTGATGTCAGCTGTAGTTTGGATTTTAGTGTCATCAATTTAGAAAAAACTTCTTTTAATGGCTTGATTTCAGATGAGCTGTGCATCGTCATAGACTGAATGATCTACAGAAATAAAAACTCCAAGGTGAGTTTTCTAACTGTTACTGCAGAGGAAGGTTCAAAAAGTTGGCATGTATTTATGTATGTTAGAACAAAAATGCAGTAAACAGAGGACTGGAAACAGAGTGCCCAGATTTACTGATATCTGCTTTCATTTACATATTATGGACCATACCAAACCTCTCTGTCTAAGTGGAGGATTCTGGGAAAACACTTTTAGTCTTTGTGCTTCAACCAGAGCAGTACAAAAAATGCATCCATCACCAGGTTTCCATGATCCATGCTCAGCTGTGTTAAATACTTGATCCTGATTGGTCCAGACCCCATAAAAATGTGGTTCATTACCCACAACAAAAGCAAAATAAGAGGAAACTTGATCACACCAGTAACAAGACCAACAAATCTCTCCTCTGCTTGTTGAGAGTGTGGAAAAAGAAAGGTCAGTATCTGGAGTATCAACTTGTCCTGGAAATGAACTGTTACCACAGGACCCCCTAATTTCTTTTCGAGATCCAATAATATGATCTTCTGTAAAGCTCTACCAACCTGAAGGTACTTATTTCCTGCTCTAAACTTCACCATCAAAGCTAAACGTCAAGAAATCACATCTACAACACAACATCAGTAGATAACAAGACCATAAGCTTTTGTATCTTATTCTCAGTGTAATCCTGTGTCCCATTTTACCGTTGAATTGGCCAGGTTGAATTTAGATATAATTAAGGGGCCTAAACATCTTAGATAACTGAAGATGTTAAGGAGGACATCTGATATTTGTTAACATGTGGGAAAGGTACATCAATTGTGTGAAGGACTGAAGTCTGAGTCTCACCTTTGGCATGGGGAACTGGCAGGAACCTGAGCAGTAGTAGGCGTCAAATGACTTTGGCGATATAATCCAGTCGCTCCATCCGATATCAGCAAAGTCCACTTTCAGGTACCTGCGGGCGCAGTTCCTGGGCTCGTTCCACTGCTTCTTTCGTGCCTTTTTAATTGTCTGCTCGTCGAACTGCAGCAGGGGCATTTTGTGCCGCTGATTTTTACGAGTCTTTTTCCGGGGACGGCGAGCCTGTTTGTTCTCTATAGGCTCGTATGGAATGGTCTCATCCCATCCGGTGGTCTCATAGGGATACTCGGGCCCGGGAAGTTCGTTGTTTTGCAGTGGCAGCAGAATGTTCACGGAGCGTTTGTGTCTGGGTTTCAGCTGCTCAAGCTTGGTACTGTTGTGCTCTCTCAGCCCCGGTTTATGGAAGCTGACGGAGCCCTCTGCTCCCACCAGGTGGTGCCTCTGCAGGGTGGCCACCACACTCTCAGGCTCTGAGATGGCCGAGTCATTGGCATAGACCAGGATGTAAGGTGAGCGGTCTGACAGCAGCCTCTTCCAGGGCCGGGGTCCCTGTGAAATCACATCGATCCCGATCAGGAGCTGGTCATGGTTTTTGGCCTGGTTGACCACACGAGTGACATCCTTCCACTGCCAGGAGATAAAGTCCCTGTACAGTGTGGACACGTTGATGCGGACGTGACCCAGAGTCCGAGTCCTGTTATCCACAGAAGCAAAGCTCCAGATGATTATGTGGATATGGCTGTGCCTGCGGGGGCCGTGGCGGCCCTGCGTGCTGTTCTGAAGGTCTCCAATGTAATAATGGAGTGTTGCTGAGAGGATGTCCTCAGACTTTGTGAGGGACGTCAGGTTAAAGATCTGCAGCTGCTTCTTGTGTATCATTCCTGTGAACAAAATGAGAAATATTGACTGTGCCAGAGTTTTACCAGACTTTC